CGCTCAAGCGCCATCACTACTTACTCCTCGCCCACGACTGGTCACATCAGCTCGATGCAGAGAGAACCAGGCCTGTTCCCTGCCTGTGTTCGCTGTCCGGCCCGTCCCTAACAGTTTGGTCTTCCAATTAGCTAGCCAAGACGCGTCCAATAACCACCGTCACTCGAGCCAGCCGGTGTCGTTAGTGTCGCACACGAGAAACTTCACAATAAGAAACTTGGGGTGAAGTTTGAGCAGGCTGCACCGCCGATCACTGCACCTGGGGGCAGTGCCCACAAAGAGATGCGTCGAATCTCGCGAAACGGCAAATGAGCAGCTCCCTCTAGCAAGGGAGACGGATGCTACCTTGACGAGCGACGCGGGTGATGACGGCGGCCAGGGAAGCCCGTGACCATACCCATATGGCGGGCGGGTAGTATCCGTAACGACCAGAAGGATACCTGATGTGAGAATGGCATGCATCTGCAGCTGCAACTAACAACGGTGCTGACACGGGCCGCACAGTTCATGCGCCCAGCCCACCTCTCTCCCTCCCTCCCTCTCTGCCCCTCCCTCCCCGAGCAAAGCCTCGGAAACAGAAGTCGTCGATGGGCAACGGGAGCCGCCTGGTGATCAGCACGCCGCCAGCGGGTGACCCGTGCAGGTCCTATGCAGCCAGCCGTTTGGGGCGGGAAAAGAGGAAGCCTTGGGGTGTGTATGTGGTGAATGGTTTTTTTTTTGTTCTTTGGGCTGACGATGTCCGTACATAGGCGCCCAACATGAACAGGCCTGCATTTGGCATTCCAACGTCACTGGTGAAGCTTGCGACAGCAGGACAACGGAGCTCCCATCACATCACATCCAATCCAATGCAACCCGGTGAGCAATGCACACACCTACCCTTTGGGGGAGTCTTTCATCCCCTCGGCGCGCCACTCGTTCCCACTCCATCTCAGAAACTACGGTACGTGGACAGAATTGCTATACCGTTTCCCGTCTGACCCGCAACGCCGCCCAAAATGCGCAGCTCATGAGCGAACTACAGGATGGGCCCCTCGTTGCGATCGCTCGTTCGGGAAATCTGCAGAGGCGACCTGCCCCGGGTTGTGGGCGATCATGTGTCTGATCCCCTTGGTGATGGAACATCTCGATCGAGGGCGACCGCTGCACAGCCTTGAACTGGCTTGGGCTGGGCCACGAATTCCTGGTTCCCGTGCACGATAGTGTGTACCGAGACCACTTCGGATTAGGAGACGAGCCTCTCGCAACCTCAACCCCCTAGCGCTTTCGTGTTCGAAAAGAGAAACCTCCCGCCGTTCGAAGCCAGCCGACACTCGCTTGTTTTGAGATTGGCCACTCGCAACGGAGCCGAGGTGAGGTAAGAGTCTCGGAGGTCCTCCCTTCCCCCTCCCCCTCCCCCGAAGACGACAAAACATTACTCGCAGGGGCGTCTCGGCACGTGAAATGAACGGTTCAGACGTGGGACCGTTCAGATGAGAGCCGTTGGCTTGACCGCCTAACCCTAGCAAGGACGAAAGGGTTCGTCGCCCCCAGTGTCGACTGATTTGTCTGGTCTCGTCTCATCCCATTCGGGCGGACGCTGGCCGATGCAGAAGAGTCCACGGCGATCTGGCATCTCAGTTCCGCGCCGCCGCCCCCGGGACATGCACCAACGTTCCCCGGAGGCCCGAAATGGCGCTGAGTTGACACAAATATGGCGCTTCCAACCCACTCCCCCTAAAGCCCGCAACACGCGTGGGTGCGAGAGTTTGCGATTCTGTTGGTTCGCTCGAAGGGGGGTTTACAACCTGTCAAGGGTTCCTACCGGCCATTTTTCTCAGCAAGGCAGGCGAGTTGTGTCCTGCCGAACAAACAAGGGTAAGCACCGCAGTCGTTTGCTGCACGCTTGGCAATCAAGCGTCAGGAAATTTTGGCCAGGAATTGGCTTGTCGTCGATTGAACCGGATACCCCCTTTCTCGCAATCTTGTCGTTGTCCAAAGAACCGATTCACTGCATGCAAGGCAAAACACTGCCGTCGCTTTACCACAAGCAGCCCATGTGAAGCACGCTTATGATTCTCTCGACTTGAAGTCCTATTTCATGTAAGAACCGATATCTGGCGCGCGGGATCGAGGCTAGGCGGCCCGTGTTCCGTGGACATTGCTTGACAGTTTAGGATGCGAATGCAGAAGCTCCGTCAATCTCGGAGCGACACGACAGCCAGATAGCGTCCCAAGTGGAGTGAGCGACCACATGCAAACCATCGCCGAGTTGTTGAGACTGAACGTATATCCTGCATCGCCCAATGTTTTCTTGACTGACGCTGCCCTGGCGTCTACTTCCTCCAGGAAGCCACATTTTTCCGGACCGCCTACTGACGAACCGAGCCGAGAAAGTGGTTTTGTCGGGGTTCCTTCGGTTAATTGCTGAGCGAGACGCAAGGCAACAGAGGCATCCCGGGCAATTCTGGGCCATCTCTCATCGCGAAATCCCCTCATTGACCATAACTCTAGAAGAGGTACATCTCAACGACCCGAACGTTTCCAGGATCCGAATTGCGCAAGACAAAAGGAAACTCAAACAATGGCACCCCTACAAACGTGGACGGCTGAGAGGCCCTACCTCAACCTGCACTGCGGGCTGGGCGAGGGCCCCTACTACGAAAAGGCGGCCAACGTCTTGCGCTTCGTCGACATCAAGAAGAAGCAGGTCCACTTCGTCAACCTGGACCGAGGCCCGAAGTCGCTGCGGACGGTGCAGCTCGACGTCCCTGTCGGTGTGACGGCCGACATTGCGGGTGTCGACCCCAAGGACAAGATCCTGGTCGGTCTCAAGTACGGCGTCGCCGTGCTCGACGTCCAGTCGGGCAAGTACGAGTACATCTCCAAGCTGCACGATAAGGACAACGAGAGGCTCAGAACCAACGACGGCGCCGTCGACCCTCATGGACGGTTCTGGCTCGGTACCATGACGGACTTCGGACAGGGCGCATTCCAGGTTGAAGGTACGGCTCCTTGCCTCTGGGTTTGTCGGTCAATGACGACCCTTGTCGCTCGCTCACGATCTCACCAACCCCTTCACCGCATCACATGCACATCCCGTTCCCAAACCAACACGGTCCCGAAGAGAACCTCCCCCCGCCGCCCCCTGCAGAAACATGCTAACTCCCGCAAACCGCAGGCGCCCTGCACCGCTTCGACGGTACATCGGGCAAGGAAGAGGTGCTCAAGGACCTCCTGATCCCCAACTCTGTCGGCTGGTCCCCGGACAACAAGACCATGTACTTCACGCACTCGACGGACCGCAAGGTGTACGCGTGGGACTATAGCCCCACGGACGGCGCGCTCTCCAACAGGCGCGTCTTCTACACGCATGACGGCGCCGGCGAGCCCGACGGCTTCCGTGTCGACACCGAGGGCAACCTCTGGCATGCCGTCTACAACGAGGGCCGGGTCCTCAAGATCTCGCCCGCCGGCGAGCTCGTCGGCGAGGTCAAGGTCCCGACGCTGGCCACCTCGTGCGTGCAGTTCGTCGGGACGGAGCTCTTCATCACGACGGCGCAGCTCGGCGAGGGCGAGGGCACCGAGGAGCAGCGGGAGCTTGGTGGCGCGCTGTTCCGCGTCGATGTCGGGGCCAGGGGCCTGGAGCCGTTTGAGTTCAAGCTCTAAGTGGTCTCTGACGGGGTCACGATGAGGGAAAGGGGGGAGGGGGAAGGGGAGGGGTGTTACGCGGGAAGGGTCTGATACGAAGGTTCGTTCTCACAATGCCACCCTGTGACGGAGACGTGTTCGTGAAGAAGAGGGGGTGTTGACGAGGAGGTTGATGGCGTCGCCCCCCTTCGGGCGTGGGCAATGGACGAGGACGAGGACGAGGACGATCACGACGATAGTGAGATGCGTTGATGACGATGAATGAAGCACATGACACCGCTCTTTTTCCCTTCACCGTGTTTGCCGCGCTCCATGGTGGCGTGTGTTTGCTGGAAGTGCTGGGCTGCTCCGTATCGTGACGGGCCCCCGAGGCTCGACTTCGCGAGGCGGTCCCCCCCCCTCCGTTTGAAGATCCTAGCAAACGCGCATCAATGGCTTGGCCGAAGCACACAATCACCGTGTTTGGGTTGCGCTTCCTGCGGTTCACGATAATTTTCTTCTTCTTCTCCTTCCTTCCGCGCACTCTTGTTGTCTCGATGAAGAACGTTGACTCATGTCCCGACTCCTATTCGAGTTTTGGTCATATGCACCCCGTACTGTACATGGAACTGCTGCATGCACGAGGTTCGCCTCACTTTACACTGATTCAGGTGGCGATTGGGAGGGGGAGGAGAGAGGCTGCCAATTCTTCTGGTTTTGGGCACCAATGCCTTCAACGTCTCAGCTCTGGGTTGCGCTTGCGCTGCAGAGTGCCCGCAACCCCCTTTTTTGCAATCATCGTGGGACATGCGAGAGCAGGTACGAGAGGGGGGAGTTGGAGACGCAGCTAGTGATGTCCGACATCGCTAGGATGCGCAGTAGTAGCAGCAGACGGCAGAGTAGGAACAAAGCAGGCGAACCCAACGAACCCAGAGTCCTGCACACGCCCATCCGGCCACCTGTCGTCCGTCGTCGCCTATCGTCTGCATCTGCACAACCGACGTGGCAACCCGCTCGTGTGTCATGTACATATACATACAGAGCATATGCGACCCTGTACCACCTCCCCTTTCCCCTCCCTCTCTTTTCCTTCTCTTCTCTTTGCCTTCGGTCCCGGTTTTCCCAGATCGGAGAATTAAAGTGGTTCCTACAAACGAACGACCGGGGGCCTGCCGCATCGTGCAGTAGATCGGAGCCCACGCCATGTCATCCCATGCCATGCTGGAAGGCTAGGGGGGAAGAAAGGGCAGATGCGGGATACCTTTTTGGCGCTCGGGAGCCTAGTCTAACCCATCCGGCCGGCCCCCTCCCCCCGGCCGTAGGCCCCGGATCCATGGTTTGCCGCCGTCACCGCCGCCGCTGTGCCGCACCACCACTGCTGTTTCAGTCGACTACTTGAGCGCGTACATGCGGACCGGGAACAGTTCCTTGGGAAAGCCACGCTGCAGCTCCGTCTTGATGAGACGGAGACCCGCTTGCTCGAAGAGGGCGCGAAACTTCTCATCCACCCTGTTGTGCGTCAGTATCCGTACATGCAGGTGTCTTGCATGCATTCAAGGTGTCCAGCCACGCGGGCCGTTGGGGGGGTGAGTGAGAAAACAGGGCCGTCAGAACGGCAGAACCATTTCAGCGCGACGGTGGTTGGGAACAAGGTCGGGAGGGATGCGGGTTCTGGTGAGTCACTCACCTCGTCACGCTGCTGTCGACGTCGTCGAATAGGTCGACGCCGCTAGTGCTCAGGTTTTCCTTGACGACGATGAGACCATCGTTGGGGGCGACTACCTGCTTGCAACGACGCATGTAGTCAACGAGCTGGTCATCTGTAAGATGACCCAGGCACCACTGGTTCCAGACAAGGTCGTAGGTAGTGCCTTCAAGGGGTTGCCACTCCTCGAGGCCAATGTTGAAGACAGACCCGACGCCGGGTTTTTCCAGGAGAGCAGCGGTGAACTTTGCAATGGGCTCGACGATGTCAACTTGTTCAGCTACATCGAGTAGGAAACCCTCTGTGATCCGACCGATGCTAGGGGCTAGTGTTAGCATGGGTACATGGGACGGAGACTTGGGCCGGGGAGGCAGGGGTGTTGCGCCGATGTACAGGACGGTGAGAGGCCCCGGCTTGAGAGGCAAAAAGAGAGACCAGGGGGTAAAGAAATGGGTCAGGAGAGGCGAACTGTTAGTTCGGCCCGCTCGTGCATTGTTGCGGTTGTGGTGATGGGTTAGGGGAGAGTGTGGGGAGTGAGACGAAAAAGAGGATAGGGAGTCAAGGTTGAAGAAACATGAGAGGCGGTGAGATGGTTGATGTGGCGGTGAGAAAAGACGGGGGCGTGTATCGTGTTTGCGATGCCAGGTCGATATGGAAAACCCCGACGAAAAACTTGTTGCGTCGTACGGGTACATCGGACACGACGAGGACAAGAAGAGATGGGAGAGAAACTTACCCGGCCCCGCCTTCCAGAGCGCGGCTCACCGTCCGCAGACCGCTCTTCGAGCCAATGCCTAGTTTGGCGAGAAAGTTGCGCGAACCCTGCAGGTCGACCTTGCTGATGTAGGGGAAGCCGCCCAGCATGCCGTTCACGTTGGCATCAACGCCCTGCCAGTAGGAGCGGCCATCGGCAGCGCTGATCTTGGCGTCTGGCGGCGGTGTGGGTGCCTGTTCTGATGCTGGCGCTGCCGTCGATTTTGCTGTCGTTGTTGTCGTCGTTGTTGCTGCGGCCGCGGCTGCGGCTGCTGCTCGGTTACTGGGGGGCATTGTTGACGACACGCGCACACGTACACGCAATCTCACTCTCTTCCCTTTCGGAAGTGTGTGCGGCTATGTGATAGGACGGCGTGGTGGTTGAAGAGAAAGATCGGAGGAAGGTTGTGTCACATTGTTAAAGAATAGGTGCATTGCATCACACCGTGTTGGACGAGGTCGTGTACGGAGATGGAGAACCCTCGCTTTCGTGCATTCCGCGGGTGTTGGTGGGCTGAAGGTGGGGTTAGATGAATATCCGGATAGCCTTGTCGCCTAAAGGAAATAATTCATCTAAGCGGTCCAGGCCCGGTCAAGCCCGGATAAGGAGAATCCTCGCTGCCGTAACGGAAAGAAGCGCTGAAGCTAAGGTTAAACTCGCAACTCTATCCTAACCGCCGGCACTGGGCCCTTGATCGCCCATTGCGCGCGATAGAGTTACTATCAAGAACGCTTGCTGAAATGTTCTTTGTGCATGGAGGTTTCTTTTGGCTTTTGTCATGAACACCATCTGATCGTTTTACCAACTTAACATCAGCTCCTGCAGGTGTCAAGCCCTTGCCGCAACCCACAACTCGATTCACGAAGCATGTTTTACTTCAAGTTCTCGACGTGTGTGAACGACGGCCCATCTCATGAATGCAATATCGGCAAATGATTTTAGGGCCATACGTCCCTTCTCACGTTGGTTTTGTATTGTGGCAATGTTTGGGCCCCAACACCTGGTTGTTCACAACGACTCTTCTCTGCAGGACTCAGGCGTCGTGCGTATCAGGGTCGAGATGTTGGGACGTTGGTGTGCACAACATGATGACGAAATCACTCAACCCGGGTCATTGCATCTTCCCAGTTTTCGGAATCGGTCAGGTGACTTTGCCTTGCTCTTGGGAAACTTTTGTAATACGACAGAAACTGTTTGATAGCCACAATGGACGAAAGTCGCCGCCTGTGGACGCGTCTCACAATCCTTTATCGGCAGCAATTTCTTTGGAAGTTGTCAAATTGGGCCCATTTACCAGACGAATTGGTCTCCCCAAGAGGGACATCCACGAGAACAACTATTCGTATCCTTGGAGGTCATGGAAGATCATCTCGTGGGGACACAACTGCAACACCCTCCACGTCACCTCTCGCAACTCCGGCTAAACCTGTCTCTGAAGCAAAGAGCCAAGGACTAAAACTTACAGAATTTGTCTGAAGGACCGCATCATGGTCTGTGTCTCAGTTTGCAACCGGTCTTCCAAACACCAACCGATCATCGATGGGGACCAAGAATCCGGGGATGCCAAGAGCCGTAACCAACGTGCAACCAATACATGGCGCGAAGCACCTGGAACATGAGGTCTACAGAATCCATGGATGACATCGTTTCCTTCTTTGCAGGGCCGCACCCTGGATGACTCGGCCATTGCCGGTGCATCCTGGATCTCTCGACCTGGCTTCATGTGACGCTCGAGGCAACACAGCCCACTTTTGAGGTTCGGCGCAGTACAGCCCAGGCCTCTGCAAGGCGAGGGCCTCGCGGCTGGAGCCAAAGCTGTTACTGTCTGTCCCTCTCCTACATACTACCACGTTTCTGATGCTAGCCGAGGGTCCGAACGTCAAAGCCAAGGACCCCTTCTCTTCCCCGCGGGGACGGAGCCTGCGTCTCGCGTAGGGATGCCTCAACTTACTAGAGACTCAGTCTTTCGGTTTCCCGGCGGACGTTATGGCTATGCATCCACTCATCAAGCTTGATAGGACTTCGCTTTCTACGCGCCATGTCAGAAAAGTTTGGCCGACAACGGTGACCGACAACGGTGACCGACGACGGCATAGTTCAGCCGCGCCGCGTGAGCCGATTCTTTTCGTACTGCAGAACATCTACAAAACCCCTCGGCGACTAAAGTAACCGGTGCTGGTTCGCCTCCACGGACACAGCCTGCAAAACCTGCGGTCATGTGCTTCTAGCGTCCGTTTCTTTGCCCCAGGCATTTTTCAGTCGCGCATATCAGCAGTCCATGAAAGCATCGACAAAGGCTATGATTGTCCCAGGATGTGTTCGTCCGTCTATCGATTGAACTTCGCCATTTTCGGGTTGAGTTGCGGACAATCATGAAATGGATAACGTTGAGAAGATGATGAACAAGGCGAGACGACTTGAGGCGGTTTGAGGTGGTTTGACCTCCTTCGCCTCTCCTGCTGTGTTTTGCAGCTCTGGCCCAGCCTGCAGGCAAGTCAAAAAGTTTATAGTTCTCCAATGAAAACGCAACAAGGGATGGTTGGGTACGAGCCAAGCCGATCATCCGTGTCCGTGGCACGCGTGGCTAATTCTGCGGCTTTTCCTCCAGATTCTCAATGCTTATTTTGAGACTGGTACGCCTGGCCAGGGGCGATGACCTGGCTGTTCCGAATCAAGCATGAACAACCTTACAAAGTTTGTGGTGGGAGGGACCTTGTACGCACGGCATCTTACGAAAGGGGGGGCAGGACTTACAACATCAGACGACGGAACAGAGTTTCGCTTCCCTTGAGCGCCTCGCCCCTTTGAAGGTCAGGATGTAAGGGACTTGGGACGACAATGGACCGGGTCCCGAAATGACTCTCGGTTGTTGGCCTGACTCAATGTTGCTATTTTGACGCTGGCGAAGATGGCAATATCTACAGCCGCCTCTTGATGCTTGGGTGGCTCAGCGCACGGCTCATTGACGTCTGCCTCGCTAGGTTGGTTTCAGGCCCCTTTGGTTACGCTGCCTCGACATGTTCCGCCTTGGGCCACTCACAGTCGCATTACGGTCCATGTTCAGTACGAGAGGAGAGCGAGTACATAAAGAGCCTGCTGCTTCTTCCCCCAAGACGTCGTTTGGTTTGGTTCGACGGCAGGCCTCACAGTATCAAATTTAACGCAGACATTCCCTTAGATACGCTTACTTCGGTTCAACTCGGACAACTTTTTATCCCATAATCTTCAATTTCGGTTCACTTCAGTCCATCAAAATGAAGTTCCTTACCTTTGGTTTCCTCCTGGCCTCAACGATCGTGAGCGTCAGCAGTCTTCCCGCCGATGTTGACAGCAGGGCTGTCAGGTATGTTGACCATAAGTTTGCACGAGGAACGGTTCATTAACCCTTCAAAGCTTCCAAACCAACTATGACCAGCACTTGGAAGATCGCGAAGAGCGCAAGGAGGCTCGCGATATCGCTGTCCCTTCGTTCGCTGGAGTCGAGACTACCAGCGGCGTAATCGACATTGAGGACGAGGAGGATGGAGTGCCCCTCCGCGCCCGCCAGCTCCTGAAGAAGAAGAAGGGCAAGAAGGGCAAGAAGGCCAAGGGCAAGGGCAAGGCTGCCAAGGGCAAGGGCAAGGCCGCCAAGGGCAAGGCCGCCAAAGGCAAGGCAGCCGCTCCCGCAAAGGCCAAGGGCAAGGCCGCCGCTCCAGCTGGTGCTGCTAAGAAGAAGGCCGCCGCCCCCGCCACCCCCGCTGCCGGCAAGGGCAAAGCCGGTGCTGCTCCTCCTGCTGGTGCTGCTCCTCCTGCCGCTGGCAAGGGCAAGGCCGGTGCTGCTCCTCCTGCTGGCGCTGCTCCTCCTGCCGCTGGCAAGGGCAAGGCCGGTGCTGCTCCTCCTGCTGGCGCTGCTCCTCCTGCCGCTGGCAAGGGCAAGGCCGGTGCTGCTCCTCCTCCTGCTGCTGCCCCCCCAGCCGCCGCTCCCCCAGCCGCCGCTCCTCCTGCTGCTGCTCCCCCTGCTGCCGCTCCCCCAGCCGCCGCTCCCCCTGTCGCTGCTCCAGCTGCCGCTCCTAAGCCTCTCAAGCCCGCACAGCCGGCCGCTGTTGCCCCTGCCCCCGTTGCTCCTGCAATTCCCGCCAACTGAGGTGTTGTTCAGGAGAGGATGGATAGAGAGATCAGCACTGGTGCTGGTTGGCTGAGTCGGTTCACGATGTTTACGACAATGCGCATTAATGGCGGCTTACAGGACTAAGAGGCGAGGTGACCAAAAGGGTTAGCTGCTCGTCGACCTCTAATGGGGGTGACAACGGGACACCGGCACTCCTCAAACAGCTTCGGGCTGTCATTGGGGCATCCGGAAAGAATAACATGTTAAGACCCGGAGTGCGGATGTACATACATAGCCGCCAATGATAAAAGTTTAGCGTCAGACGAACATTCGCATGGTGCAGTTCACTCGCAAAACTGGTCCAATGTGGAAGAGGGTGGTTGCTCTCGAGTGATTTCGGATTTCTGAATGCGATTGTGATACAGATGTCTTGGTGCTATGATGTCTTGGCTCCGCGGACACCAGCAGTAAGGGTCTCCCTCATTCGAGAGTCTCCCGTTTCATGGGTTGGCCCATGGAAACATGTTTCACTCCTGTCCCTGCTTCACACCACCATCACACACGGACATGCAAGTCACACACCACATGCAATCTACCCTCGTCTCAACTTTGTTCATGCTCCTCTGTCATTGATGGCCCGGTCTACTGTGGCGGGGCCGATCTCTCCGAGTGCTGATCGACAACCAGGATGCAATCCCCTCTGGTGGGATATCCCACAATGGTCCGACTGCCACCTAACTATTTGAGTAAAGTCCGCTGACTTAACCGAATGAAACTTGTACTCGACAGTATCGTCCATACTTTTGTGTATTCGCCTTCGTTCCTCGTAACCATCCACCTCGAGGCAACTTACAGACCCCCACCTGACCGACCCCCTGGTTCAGTGTCCGAGGGTTCCGGTCGACCCACTCCGCTGCACCGGACATTAACGAACCAGTGAAAACCTCGAAAATAAACGATTCGAGCTTCGTCGAATAAAGTCTCCCCTGTCTAAGCGCAGAAGCCAATATCCACTTTTTTTTCGTCTCTGGTGTTTGCTTTCTTCTCCCAATTCGCCCTGCCCGACCCCACCAAAGAAGTGCAGCTCTCTATCCTTCTCCATTATCTATCGCGCATGAAGAAAATTTCATTTCCAGCCCCCCATGTCTCTATGGAATAACAGCAAATCTTGTCGGCCAATTCCACAAGCAACGGATTACCATCCCATCAGCTCGACAAGCTGGTTAATGGCCGGTTGGCCCAATGGCAAGGCGTCTGACTACGATTCCTCAACAAGATCGTGTAATCAGGAGATTCTGGGTTCGACCCCCAGGCTGGTCAGTTCTTTTGGTTTTGCCTTGCTCACTCACCCTCCTAGGCAATTGAGGATGTGACGCTGCTGCCACCTTATTTCTTGTTTGGTCCTCCCCTCCTTCTTTTTCTTTTTACCTTTGTATATCATACCCTGCTATTGGCAGGCATAATAAGGCTGTTTTTCCATTAACAACTGACGTTTCTTTTAAGCTATCTCGCGACGAAGCCATCGGCCCAATTCTCTGGCACAGAGTGAAACAGGGCACAGGAGCTCAAAATCTATACAAATGGCTCTCTCCATTGAAACCACCGTCGACGTCGACCGGTATCATTGGTTTCAACCAAAGTAACAATGCAACAACAGCCTTGAAGGCCGGTATATGCGGAAGTTGCTTGCTGGCCACAGATAAGCTTAATCGATGACAGAACTCAGCTGTCGGGATACTCCTCGGCACCCATGGACGGCTCCTCGTACAGGCTCAGGCTTTCATGCCGACTAGAAGTTTGTTCGAGGCACGTCTTGAGTTCCTGGAGTGCCCGGCGTGGCTGCGCCACAGTCAACCCTGTCGCCCGCGAGGTAGTATCCCGACTGCTTGTCGATGGCTGCGGCGATTGCTGGATGACTTCCAAGACACTGAATCCAAATGGCCGCATCTGCTGAGAAGTTTCTTTTGAGAAGTTGAGCTTTGAGCTCAAGCGGAAGACTATGATCACTTGCATTCTCTCGGGCCACGTTCGAGAAATTCCTTTTTGCCCCCCGTCTCAGCAAGGATCCCTCACCAACGACCAAAGGTCAAATTGGCACAAAGTCAAGTATTCTGTGTGTAGCTAATGCGGATGTCTTGGTGGGCATAAACAGCACTAATGAGTGTGGATGGTTGTATAACATGAGAATTGTCCATTTCAATTCGAAGCTCGCGTATTGCTTTCACTCTCGTCTGTTGAAGTAAGCTTTCGTTCCTGATCCTAAAGGCATTGAGATTGAATTGTCAGTGTGTTAGTTAGCCTCTTCCCCTTACACCTGGAGAGAAGCGTCTGCACGGCCAATCATCGCAACAAGATGGCGAACAGAATCCCTGAAACGCTCGGTTACTCTGGTCTATGCCTATGCAATATACTTTCATGTCGTATTCCGGGTTTAACACTAACATTGGTTAGGTGTGTATATTCTTAAAGGGGAGTCGGGGCCGCGAAAATGTGATTGAAGTTAATTGGATAGGCTTGGAATCGTCTGCTCGATGCGTCTGCTTTGAGAACCCTTAAAACAAGGCTGCATCGGCCCACCAACCTGCCCTTCGTGTTTTCTCGGCTTTATTTCTTACATGTTCTCAAGACACGCTTTTACAACGACACACGGGTAGCAAATTATAGACCAGCTGACGGTGCCAGGCCGCTTTGATCTCTGCTCGAGGTGTATTTGGTTCAGCCTCGGCTTCATGCTCGCGAGTTCTAAAATCTCTCAACTTTCGGTCTCAGGCAGTTCCTCTCAATTGGCACCAGCCTGAAGAAAAGGTGGCAAAGAAAATTCGTGGTGTCCTTGGCGTAAGGTGCAGTCTATATCCGTGGTTCCATAGAAGAGATGTGCGGAAACGTATATCAGGTTGCTGATGAAAGCCTCAAAAGCCGGTGTCGCTTGTAAATCGCCAATGCATGTACAACGTAAACCAGTCGAATATACCTGAGCACTTGCTGCTTAGGTAGTCGTAGGAAAGGACAATTTGGTTTCTTTTTTCGAACTAGTACAAGATGAATATGATGTATAAACATAACAGTTGAAAACTTCAGTCCAAAAGATTCGTTGCCCTATTAATATTCTAAATCTTTTTCCTCTACCAAGCATTAAAACCAGTTATAATCACAAGTAGCGTCATTTGCATGACTATTATAAGCTTACAAAGTTCGACATAGCGAGAATGGTCCGCAACACCAGCTGCGTTCTCTTCCAGGGGGCCGTAGTCGACGTTCAATGTCGCCGAGAGCGCAGGCTCTACGTTCGGGATGGTAAAGACACATAAGCTCTCTATACACTGGTTAGAATCACAGCTGATGAAGATCAAATTCATAGCACCGTCCAGGGAGCCGTGTTGCCTGAGATCGCCCGTGCATATTTGAGAGGGAGCAGCCGTGGACGACAAAAAGCCATGGCAGTGGGCCTCGTCGAGGCAGTGGTGAGAGATACCGTCGAGACGGCCAACGCAACCGGCTATGATGTCGGTATGCCCGGCTCGGCGCAGCCTTGCAATTGACAACTTGCCTGGGCCGCTGAGTACGGGGGAGTTGGCAGTGGACAGAGGCGTTGTGGCCAGCTTCTCCTTTCAAACCTTTGCGCCATTGCATTCAAGTCATTGAAAGACAAGACATTCCAAGATCAAGAAGACAATACGTCATCTATACAACTATCCTCCCTGACCTCCAACGATCAGTCACATCTCACTATATGACCCTACGTCGATGCGTAGGGAGCTCATCTTCGAATAGGGATTCTTACGCTACGCGCCACAGAGGACGAGGAAGGGGCAGGCACTTTATTAATCTCTCTTCAAAGAAAGAGTGGTACCTGGGTGCGTCCCAGGCCACATGGTCGAGTAGTTGGCAAGGTGCCACAATCCCCTCATGGGTTTCCGTAAGGGCCTGCTGGTTCGACTTGGGGTGATCTAGCGAGGTTTGAGCTTTTTGCAATTTTGTTCTCATCCTTCTGTGACATGGGGTTTTACAAGACTGCCACTTGGGACAACGTTTTCTCCAATCTCATTAGGAGGGACTGAATTGCGTCGATAACCAAATTTCATGTTACAGGAAAGCAGCGGTTAACTGTCAACGGAGGTAAAGTTTTATCAGTGGTTTCCCACCACAAAAACAGATGTGCTGTTTCCTGAGCGGAATCCGAGAGGAGTTCCTGGATAAGCGTTCCGAGAATGACAGGGGAATATTCAGGTAGACTTTGAGGATTCCATCTCGTCTCATCTCTTCTGTCATCTCGACTCCGCGCTTCCTCGCTGCCTTTGTCCACTCCCGTCCATGCTTCGTTTTTTCTATAAGTATTTTCAATTAGAATGCTTACAGTAGAGATAGCGGAGGAGATAGAATCATACTCACCAGTCTACCTGGACAACGAAGCTTCGAGGCACGCTTGAGAGACGAGGAGCAGGCACGCTCAGCCATCGAGTTGGACCCCGCAAGGCGCTAAGACTTAGGCGAGCTGTCCCGGAGCCAGAGCCCTGGATCGCGAAAGAATCTTCCGATTGGCTGACATTATGTCGACATCCAACATCCACCCCCGGGGCAACTTTCCATCAGCAGGATCTTCGTTCTCTTTCTCCTCGAGTGAACATTTGCGTCATCACCGACGCTCTACACTCATCTTTCAGTCTTTCTCTCCATATTCTTTATTTTTAAATACAGTCTTGGGTTTCCTTTTCTTTCCCCTTCAAGGTCCTATCGCCAGTTATTCCAAAGTGCATGTGGCCTTGTGTGCTTGGAACCCTTTCTGACACGGTTCAATCCAATGTCCATTCTCCTGTACAATCTCTTGCGTCATTTGATAATCCCGCCACTGTGAACCGACTGGTCAAATGTAAACTTGTATCCTTCTAATCTCGTGAGAGACATCGATCATCGCTATGGCAGCAGACCCACAGCCGTCTCCAGTCGTTTCCAGCTCAGGAGTGTGGGCAGAGGCTCAAAACAGCTTACCACCCTCAGAAAAGGGGGCATGGATTTATCGTGCCACACATGCGCCCGAAATGGAGAGCCCAAAATGTAGAGCTTCATGACAATCCTTCGCCAGGCGGTTATGGTAACCAATTGAGGAAAGCTTCAGCACCGACTCGTTGCGCCGTTACCACTACCCTCATGCGAACTGCCCGAGTCTACAAAGCGGTTTGTCATATACGAAAAACCAGTGGTTATCGCATCGAAAGGATAAGCCTCATCAAAGCGGTAGTTTCCCAGAGTGTCCTTGCTAACATGGCAATCGGACTTTGAGACAGTGTTGCGCTCACCTGAATTGATCACGTCTTGGCGGATCGCCGTCGATCATCCGGGACCCGTTGACCCCATCAAGGGCACAACCGGGTTAGACCGTCCCGATCAAGAGCTGGTTGCTTCCAAAGTTGCTAATACCAGTGCTGTAGTGACTTGGACTCCTGTTCCCCCTTCTGTTGGTAGATATGGCAAAGCAGGAGTTTGACGGCGGCAATCATTCCGGCAGTGGTAGAGAGGCTCACAAGTGGAATGACAGATTGACTTTCAGGATGACATTCTTTGAACTTTCTCTAGTGCCAGACGTGACGAGGCTCATCCATACAGACTGACGACCTGCCATAGGATGTACCATAAACGAACTGGTAGACTTGTTTGTCGCATTGTGTGGCCGCTGAACACCCTTTGACGACTTCAGCATTGCTGCTCAAGCTACCAACACGGCCCTACCGTAGGTCAACAAGGTGTCAACTAAACACTGATGGTTCTGATCGACTATAAGATGTCGCGTGCAGCAGTAGCAGCATCCAAAGCCAACACAATTAGGGAGTGGACACTGCGAGTCCCGCTGGCGAATGGCCCTTGAGGAAGCAGAAGACCCTCTCTGCTGATGAGCAACCAGACCATAGTAGGTTGAGGATGGAGCGGGCCAAATCACCCAAATCAGAAGTATGCGAACATGACAATTCTTCTTCTTTCCTCTAGGCATCATACGCCATCCATCGTCATGGCCGACGTTCGCGATTATCACAATACAGGTAGAACCTTCATATATATATCAGCTGCTCCGTCTCATTCGAGCTCGCCCTGCTGCTTACTCTCACTGTGTTTGTCGAGTCCACATCTCGACTTTGAGTGAAGTTGCAGCTAGCAGCGAGATACTAGGACTGATGTGAACACAGTCATGGCCGAGAGGAATACTAAGCGCATGCCCCTCCTTGCTTCACAGCAGAGGCAATGACGCTGTTGCTATGTGCAACAGCTTCACGTGGTTGTCCAGACTCTACTTCAAAAGCCGAATTGGCTTGTCGAAGGGTGAAGAACAAGCAGCACGAACGTGCCATTCAGAACTGACTCGTCCGGGGCGGTCCGACTGACGAGTATGGTTCTCGCCCCGGCGCCGTCACCGCGAACTGCTTCAAACACGGCATGATGCCCGAAAAGCCGCATTCCCCTATCTCGCCTGACTTCCACGGGGTGTTTCGGGGCAAATACAACGAAACCGGCAACGATGCACAAGATTCGGTCGTCGACCGATGGTGAGCCTTAAGAGTATTGATCGTACTGTATATGTGCCTCCTCACTTGCAATTTTCAGGATACTTCGCTACATGGCTTGCCGGGGTCCGCCGGACCGTGGAAGAGCGTGCAGTTGTTGTCTTCGGAGACTAGCCGTCACGCTCGGAAAAGCCTGGTATATAGCTAAGCGAAGACCGGTACGAACCTTCTGCCGTGACATTGCACCCTCTAAGGACAGTCAAGCAGTGGCAGCACATCTTTTTCCTCGCAGCTTTGCTTTCCAATCATACATGATCAAAGTGCTCTTCACAATGCACCAGTGAATCGTACAAGGTCGTGATTAAAAACGTACATGCCCGTCCCCGGGCACCTCTATCAACGACATATCCGTGAACACGTTTAAGCCATACACCCGCCACACACCCCAAGCGTCTCCTAACCGCCCACCGCGCGGCCCACTGCGCCGGCAATCTCCCCAAACAGGATGCCCTTGAAAACGCTCTCGCCCATGTTCTGCGTCCAGTGCCCGGCCTTGGATAGCTTCTCCTTCCACAGCTTCTTCTGCTGCGGCGCGAGGTCCTCCCAGCTGACTGCAGGGCCGTACACCTCCTCGTCGTGGACGGCGGCCTGGAACCGCGGCACAGGGTCCTCCTCGATGTGCGTGGGGCTGACGACGTCCTCGCGGATGACGATGGGGTCACCCTGGAGGGCGTGGACGTCGCCGATGAGCGACGTGAGGAATTCGTTGGGTATGTTGGCAACGGTGTGGCGGCTGGGGAGGATGCGAGGTTCTACGGCGCCCGTGCTTTCCAGAGTGAGCTGGAGGAGGACGGCGAACAGTAAGACGAGGAAGGTGACAACCGAGATTCGTGACTTTGTGAACTTGCTTGGCTGCAGGGCGACGGCATACCGCTGCGGGCGGGGCGGGCCTCCCTTGCGGATGGGGGCGTCCCTGTCGGTGAACTTCTTGAGGAGGATCGAGTGCACGACGACGGTGTTCTTCATCGAGATGCTCGCCAGCTTGACGTACTGAGGGCGCGCAGTGGTCTTGGGCGGGATGTAGACGGACAGGGCGAGGTTGGTGATCTGCAGCGGGTGGACCTCTTTCAAAGCCGTGAGGAAATCAAAGTCGACCAGCAGGTCAATGCTCGAATGCGCCTTATGCTCGAGCGTGTAAAGCGATATCGACCGGTCCTGGCCGGCCGCGGCGACAAGGAACTGCGCATTCCCAATCTTGCCACCGGGGGTCGAGGGCGGGCTGAGATTCCGCACGGCGATGGTCGTGATCTGGTTGACTGCGCGAGGCAGCTTTGCCGACGCTGATAGCCGTCCTTCCTCGCCCGCCTTCGTGGGCAGTCGGATGCCCACCAAGAGAGAGCCGGCCCGCTTGGGGATGTTGGTGCCCGCCAAGATAAAGTCTGGCGAGAGAAAGCGGATCGACCGGAACGTGGGCCAGGCGCCGGTGCCGTCCTCCTTGATCGTGTAAGCGAGATGGGGGCCGTCGACCTCGGACTTGGTGACCTTGATAATGAATAGTTCGCGCTCGTCGCAGTACGCAATTTTGAACTCGTCCTCCCCAGTCTGGACGACGTCGATGTCCATGGGCTCCCTTGTGATATCCAGTCTGCCCCTGACCTTGGGCGCAGCAGCGCTCGCAGGCGAGACCTCGAACACCACAATCTGCGACTCCTTGGCCAGACCAGTCGCCACGGCGCCGAGCTGAGGCTTCTCGCCGTAGGGCGCAGAGAGCCGCAGGACCCGCTGGTAGGCGTCCTTGTCGATCTCGTTGTGCTCGAAGAGGGCGGTGCGCGCAAGCTCGGCGACGGTCACGCCGGGGGTATTAGCGCCGGAGGAGACGCGCGCCTTACTCTGCTCTACGCCGAAGACACGGAAGTGCTCGTTCTTGCCCTTCTCAACGTCGGCGGGGCTCGAGTTGATGCCGGCGTAGACGTAGCTTGTCCGGCCCTTTTTGGGGCCGACAACAAGGGTCATGACGCTGTCCTCGTCGCGGCTGAGGTCGGCCTCGCCACTGACGCGCAGCTCGTCCTTGGTCGAGGCGTCGATTACTGTCTGTCGGGCGGAAGGTCAGTCGCATGTCGCGTAGGAGATGGGGGAAGATGTTGACGTACAATCTTGTTGGCGACGCCGCTTCTATTGGCGCCGCCGCCTCCGCCGACAAGGAGGCGGTTCGCATCGTGAGGGTCGAACTCGCAGGCGTAGGGGAGGTAGTCGAGGGTGATCTTCGCAGTCTCAAAGGGGGGGGCCATGTTGGCGAAGCTGAGGAGGGTCTTGGCGGGGAATTGTCCCTGCGATTGACTGGGGGTCGGTCGTTTTTCTGAGAAGAGGGTTCGTTTTTTTTGAGCACGCGTGTGTAGTTTGTCAAAGAACCATGGCCGACGGTAGTTTGGTTGCGCAACGTGGACAAAGGAGCCGTGATGCTGTAGAATGATGACGTTGGGGCGCGGTAGAAAAAACGAGTTGGCCAGATATGGCCTTGCGGAGTTTAGGGGGGCAACGTCAGTTGCTTCAGCTCCCATCGGGGATTGGCACCTCTCCACGTGTTAGCGTGGGTGCTAGTGCTAGTGTGAGGAAGCTCAGCTGGAGCACGGAGCAAGCAGTGCTGTCAGCTCTGTTGAGAGGTTCATCGGGCTGCGCGCATCCCTGTCCGTCTTGATCACCGCATTGTCAATCCTACCCATCTTTCCAGCCTTTGTTACCTTTTCCCCAGAAACAGTTGATCGGATCGCCAATCATGTCGTCCTTAACCCAGCATGTGTGTTAAGCATATCACATCAGTCCCTCGTCCCGCTGTCAACGGCAGCATTCAATGGGCATTAGAGACAATGTACCACAAATAAAACAGCTTTTCCCTTTCATCATCCAAGCTTCACACCGGACATCGAAATCTATTTGTGAATGTCATTGATTAAAGCAAACGCTGGTGGCCTCCCCTAAAAACACCTACTAATTTCGAAAATGATGTCTCAATTTCCATACCGTAATGCCATCTGCCCTTACCGGCACGATGCGTCGGTGTCATGAGCTCGTCCCCATTCGAAATTCCTATTTTGGTCAAGACTTTCTGGTCTCATTGCGCTGGTCGATCCCCTTCTCGCCCTTACTGACCTGTGTAGAACTGGTACAGGCCGTGGGGCGGCAAGCCCAGCGCAGCTCCCTCGTCATGGAACTTCATGTTGCCCAGCTTGTTTGATTCGAGTGGACGTATAGTCTTGCCGTCAGGAGAAGTTGACTCTGGATCCTGGCGAGTCTGTGACTGCTGAGCTTGTTGAGCCCGCTGGTTTTGCTGAGACTCGAGGTACTGATGTTGAGAATCGAAGAATTCCTGCTCATATACAGAGATCTGGGCCTCAGATAGATGGCCTCGAGCCTGAACTTCAGCCTGAAGCTGAGCCTCGGTCTGTTCCTGCAGGTACTGCTCTTGCCGAGCTCGGGCACGCTGGCGACACTTTTTGCTCATCTCGTTGCAGTCGTGACACACCTGGTCCTTGAGGGTCGTGTACTGGGGCTCTTGTCGATGCATGCAGATGGACTTGGAGGCATCCTTGCACTTGAGACAGCGGTAGGTGACGCACTCGATATGGCCGCACGAGTAGGTGTAGAAGACGTTCTGGCACATCTTTGTTCTGATATCTGCTTCGTGTAAGCCGTGAGTATGGGAGAACCATTTGTACGTGGAAAATCGGAAAGAAAGGGAATTTACCTGATGTTCTTGAAGTATGGTGCTGTAGATCCTGGGTGAATTTGATAGACAACCCTTGGTTGATTGTCACCGGTGACTTCTCAGTCAAGGCTAGTTGTTGAAGTCGGTCAGGTGGGGTGATAAGGAGCACCGTGTTGAATGGCAGGGAAATACTTGCCTTGTCTTGGGTAATACTGCGGAAGATGGCTGAGGGGTTTAGCCATATAGGTGAAGATGCCAAATCAAAAGAGAAGGGTGATCATTGTCAGATCTTGACGAAGGAAGCCTTGTGGTGATGGATGTTGCCTGCAAAGGTGCCAAGGGATCGATGTTGTCTGTGGTTAAGCTTGAGGACCTGAAATGTCTGTATCCCTCAAGACAAATCTTGCTCTATATCCAGCCAGAACCTCCGGTTCTGACAATTCCGGGTATGCTTCTAGGAAAAGGTTTGGTTCTGTAGAAGGTCAGCCCAACATGCTTAACGAGTGTCAAGACGGAATTTGCGGGAATTGGGCAACGGCCTTTAGACGACGAAAGCAATGAGAAACGAAGTATCGAGATGCATGGGCTAAGAGACGCCACCCCTAAAACTGAGATTGAAGTAGAACAATGAGAAAGAATCCATTGATTGGAATGAGGGGCAACTTTTTGTAGGAATACACTTCTTTGGCTCAAGCGCAAAGAAGCTGAAAGCAAGGAGGAAGGGCGGGTGCGAAGGCTACTCACCAGATGGTTTCTTCTGCGCGACTTCCTGCACTGTCAAGTACGAGCGTGACTGAAGAAGGCAGACGTCGAAAGTAAGACGTGTTATTGTCCCGATAGATATGTCTCTTGGCAAGGATGGGACCTTTTCTGTCACAAAAACGTTAGCAGGGGACATTGAGTTACGAAGATGGTTGTGTCTTGTTCGCGAAGGGGTCGATGACGCAGGAGAAGATGTGGGACTTTGTACCTGCCAACGGAGAGTTAACAAGAACTAAAGGAGACGCTTGATCGGGTTTTCCTGCGAAGTTGCATGTGTGTGGTCTCGTGCTGTAAGTGAGGTCAGGATGTTCGAGAAATCGAATTCTGTGTTCTCTGTGTGGGCAATGTGAAGTGTTATGGTGTTGGGATTGTTGTAATGGAGCCTAGGAGCTCGAATGTAGGCACTGGGACGTGAGTTGAGTGTGAGTGGTGCCAGAGAAAAAAGGACCGGAGACAAGGAGGCGGAGGGTGTAGACGAGAGAAAAGGGTATTGTGAGGCAGTGGGTAGGAAATATGGCTGCGCGAGAAGGGAAGGGAGTAGGTACATGATATCTGCCCAATGAACTTGAAGCAGAAGGCACGGCTTGGTTGGTTGAAATGGGTATACTCACATACCGACGTAAAGGGAAAGATGCGGAGCTCGAAGTGAGAAAAAGACGCTTTTCGGTTCTTGAGGTAATAAAATCGTAGTAGTAAGAGACGTGCGCTCTCAGATGGAAGATATGTCTGCCTGAGAACGGAGAGACAAAGACTCCGTGCCGTGGTTCAAGGAGATATGAATCTCAGTGCCGAGTGAGCTGGATCGAGATCGAAGTCGAGGTGACGAACGTAGTGGAGGGGAGGTCGAGAAGATGGTTCGAGGTAGAGGTCGAAATAAATAGCCTGGAGTGGTAGAGGCGAGCCCAAACGGAAAGGGTAGCGGAATCGGGCGAGGGACTGGCGACGTACCTTCTTCCTACGGCAGAGACGGTTTTCTGAAACCTAGGGGAAAGCCGGAGACGGAGAGCCACAAATGAACAGTCCCGGCGGCGGTCGACGCAGCACTCAGACGGATGGAGTCGCGAAACCGGGGGAAGAGCTAGTCGGCGGGTGTGGACTCTGTTCTCCGGAACGGAAGGGTAGCAGGTTTAGCTTCTGAAGGTCTACGCCTTGAGTTAGGGTCTGAGATGAACCAGAACGGTACGAATGATCCGAAAGTTTTCTTTGACTGAGCTGGTCAAGTAGGAGAAAGGGCTAATGAGATGCTTTCTCTGTGAACACTCGACGTTGAAGTTGATATAGAGTTGGCGGAGCGCAAGGCGGCGGGACGGCCCCGGACGAGAGGACGGGGGAAGGAACGGACAGACGGCACTCTGCGGTTTAGAGCAGTTGGTGTCCTCGAACGATATCACCTGCTGGCCAAGACGTCAACTAGCGACATTGACTTGCAGTATTACTGGGAGTGCGCACTGAGGCATCTCATCTACGACAAGCACGTCCTGCTGGAGACAGCAAATCTACAGCGGATCAAAAGAACCAAGCGCATGGTACACAACAAACCGTCATCACCGCGATGGAGTATCAAACAGAGGTCGTAGAATGAACGCTCTCAGATCGTATTCCCGTCACCTTGCTGCTACAACGCCGCTACACCTATGCAATACGCTTGGAATACAAATTCCTCTCACCCCCGGTCCCCTAATCCACCAGGATCTTCTCCTCCAACTCGCCAAACCGTTCGTAAAAGCTCTCAAACAGCTTAATCGCGTGCTCGACGTCCGCGCTGCCGCCCGTCTCGCGGATCGAGTGCATGCTCAGCTGGGGGTTGCCCAGGTCCAGCGTCCGCACGCCAAGCTTGGCGCTGAGCATGGGGCCGATGGTGCTGCCGCAGGGCGAGTCGTTGCGCACGACGAACAGCTGCAGCGGCACGCCCGCGAGGCGCGCGCACTCCTGCAGCAGCACGATGCCCGGCGAGTTGGTCGCGTAGCGCTGGTTCGCGTTGACCTTGATGACGGTGCCGCCGTTCATGGCCGGCTGGTGGCTCGACTCGTACTTGCCGGCGTAGTTGGGGTGCACCGAGTGCGCCATGTCGGCGGACACGAGGAAGGAGCGCGAGAGCGTCTGCTCGTAGGCCGTCGACTCGTAGTCGCCGTCGTGGGACACGGCCACGTACGACCCGTCTGACGCCGTGTCGCGGCTGCCCGGCAGCGAGGCGAGGCGACGGAGGACGGCGGGGAGGAGGTTCGAGTTGGCGCCGTGGGCCGACGTGGAGCCGATCTCCTCGTGGTCGAAGCAGGTGACGAGACGGATCGTGGTCTCGTTGTCCAGGACGTCGGGCTCGCGCACCGAGGCAATGAGGCCCTCGATGGAACAGTACGTCATGTTGAGGTTGTCGAGGCGGGCCGAGAAGATGAACTCGTCGTTGAGGCCGCCCAGGCACGACTTTTGCACGTCGTACAGTACCAGCTCAAAGTCGATAACGGCCTCGGGCTCAACCTCGGCGTGGGACGCGATGACGTTGAGGATGTGAGGGTGGTGGCGCTCCGTCATGGCCTTGAGCGGCTTGAAGTCCTCCTCGGCCTCGTCGCCCTCGGGCTGGGCTGCGGCGCCCTTGTTCAGCTCGGCTGTGGCCAGACCTGCGATGGGGAACAGCTCGTTCTCCTTGTTGGGGTCGAACGTGGAGCTCCGGTCGAGGTGGATGGCCAGGGTCGGGATGCGCAGCAGCGGCTTGTCGACCTTGATCAGCTTCTGGACAAAGTTGCCGTCGGCGTCCTTGACGAGCACGCGGCCGGCAATGCTGAGGTCGCGGTCGAACCAGCTGTGCCAGATGCCGCCGCCGTAAGTCTCGACGCCGACCTGCAGGAAGCCGACGTTGTTCTTCTTGGACACGGGCTTGATGCGCAGGGTCGGGGAGTCGGTGTGGGCGCCGATCATGGCGACCGGGTTACCGGGCTTCCACTTCCTGCCGATGGCGAAGGCGACGATGGACGAGCCATTACGGGTGAGGTAGTACTTCCCGCCGGGGTGCAGCGCCGAGTTCCAGGAATCGCGCTCCTTGATCTTTGTGAAGCCGGCCTTCTCGAGGCGGGCGGCGGCGGTCGCGCAGGCGTGGTAGGCTGGCGGGGAGGGCACGTTAGCTGGGGAACCGTCTCTTGGGCTGGCAACGAATGCTCACGAGTAGGAGAGGCGTTGACAAAGTCGACAAAGTCGAGGGCAGCTGCTGGGGGAGCCATTGTGCGGGTGGCCGTCGAGAGGTGAGCTTGGGGATGGAGGGGTCGAAGGAACGTGACAGAAGCAATGGCGGGGTTCTTGTTTGGTCGGGCGATGTTTCGGCACAAGAATGTTGTGGCCGATAGCATTTAGGGGGTGCAGAGCTCTTGTTGACAGCAGCGGCCCTGATTCGGAGAGGCAGGCCAATGGGTCTGTAACTTTGTTTGCCTTGGATTCTTGGATATCTTTTCGCTGTGTTCCACGTTGTCACGAGGACAGCGTTCGTCGGCGGGTATCGTTATCGCATGTCGTCAAAGGCAACCCGACGTTGATCCGGCGCCGAAGCTGGGATTGTCTCCCTCACCTGCCGGAAAGGAATACAGGGTGGAGTGTGCGCCGGCTCTGCTGGCTCTGGCGTCGTGGGAATGGATCGAGTGCCCCCCCAACGCACTATCCGTCGCAGAGCCAGAGCCGGGGTACCTGTACGTACCTGGATGCATCAGATGGCCCTAGTCCAGCGCTGCCCTTAAGTACTGGTACATCGTACTCTGAGTCCGTCTGTACGTGATGGAGGGAGGGTTAAGCTAAGGCACATTAATGCGAGGCAAGGCAAGGCGAGGTAGGGTCAGCAGCATCCCTCACTACCATTGTACTGCCTGCGCCTTCGGTACTCTCTCTGTATGTACTGGATGACTGACCACGCCACAAGAAACCATCTACGTAGCATTTTGCATCCGCCCGGATACCTATGTTGACGAACCAATGCCGATGCTGGTGGTCATCGGCGCGGCTCTCTCCCTCTCCCTTCTCCCTCAACCGCCGCTGCCCCCCAGTATGTGGATTACCCGACCCAAACGCACACTCGTCCTCAGCTCGGCTGTTGTGCCTTCATCAGGTCGCCCATCGAGTATTCGTGGGGCTCACTCACACCCCATTGGATTATTGGACCTCCCCGCCCCCCTGGCTGACAGGACAAGAATTAGCAGAAGGAAGAGAGGACCAAGAAAGACAAGCCAAGGCAAGGCACCCGTACAAGTGGCGGCAAAGTCAACGAGACCCATGTCGACCTGGCGTTGCAGCACGACAGATACGGAATGAACCCCCTCCCCGGCTCTGCAGATCCCAGGGGGTTCCTGGACGCACCCACTTTGTAGGCACGGCCAAACCACCGCCCAGCGCCTCGCATGACCGACGATGGGCAGCGGCACTCATCAACGACTGTCACGCTTCTTCTCCTTCTCCTCGTCTCGTCCCTAGGAAAGAGTGTTCGATTCGATAGAGGCAAGCAGACGCGGCAGCTTGGCAAGAGGGAGAGGGGCAGTACACTAGAGACCAGCAAGCAAACTTCAGATGCTCAGAGCACATGGTGAAACTGTCGCCCGCCCCCTCCACCTTCCACCATTTCCCACGAAGCAGACTTGGGCCACTCTGAGCTCCGTACCGGTCGGGAGAGCCAAGCTCATTGGCGTGACCCCAAAGGCATCTTCGCCCTAGGGATGCCCTGCAGGCCTTTGTCTGTGCACTCCCCACCTCACCTCCCATTTCCAGTCTTTGCTCAGGACTCTTCTCCTTCATAGCGACACGCTGAGGCGAGAAAGCTCTTGTGGGTTCCAAGGGTCGCTGGATCTCATCTCGCAAAAAGAGACGACATCTCTCTAGCTTTGCTGTGTTGCGCTGGATGACGGGGGTGCTGTTGGTCTTGGTCCCAAGGCCTCCCTCTCTAACCGTCAGCGCAGGCTGCAAGCCCTCTTGTCAAGACGCGGCCCGGAGCCTGATGCTCTTCCTGAGTCGAGAACAGCGTTTGGACATCTCGACCCTGTCAACAGACGACTGGTAGTCGCAGCCACGGGACCTCAGTTGGCTCTGTCCTTTCTGCCCGTGTGCCTTGTTGGTTGTCGATCAGCACAGCAGCCACGTCCTCCAGCATTTCCGCCGACCGCCGCTTTAGCTGCCCGCTTACCCTTGTCAATGACAAAACTAACGAGCAGGGGTGTTCCATGACTGACACGACCCCATTTGACACGCTGCCCTTTTCCCCTTCTTGTTCCCATCATGATGCCAGGTCCCCTCGCAGCGAACGAGTAAACCACTGGCCCTCAGACTCGACTTACGGCAGCGTCGATTCGGCCATGGGGGAAAGGCTCGTTGCGGTCCCGAGAAGGCCTTGAAGAGGAACCGACCGCCACCCGTGTGTTTTGCAATCCAGATGGAGGCTCAATACGAACAGCTATTCCCTACTGTTGCATATTGCCGCATAATCGTGCTGCGTACGCATAGGAATGAGCCGCGCCCAAGGTCTCTGTCCCACTCTTACCGGCTTCCAGAAAGCATCGGACTTTGTAACCCGTCAACGGGTAGTCCCTCCGCAGGACCCAGGCTTCCAATCAATCGTATTCCATAATTTACTCTTCCCCAACGCCAGATCTCCGACTGGTAGCCTTCCGACCATCGATCGCGGTCCCTATAGCCCGTCGAACGCAATCAAGCACTAGCCGTTTGCGACATGCTGTCAGCTGTGCCGCTACGAGCTGGGCCCGACCTGAACGGACTGCAGAACGCTGGCGATGACTACTTGGTTCTTTCAAGCCACCACTGTCGCTTTTCTGAGCAGAAAAGAGGGAAGGAGGGAGAGACTGGCAAAATGAGACGAAGACACAGGTGCCATCTACCGAGATTTGAGCCAATCCACGCCCTTCGTCGAGCCACTCGGCCAGGGTTGGGCCTTGCCCGTGGATGGGCATCGTTCCAGCGACACGCAGACGCTTCCGTCACCTTTCAGTGAGATCCTCAGGGGCACATTGCTCAGTCGCCGCTGTACCCTGAGGAGACAATCAAGAGTCGTTGAGACGTAACCCTCGGCAGATGTCTGAAGTGGTTTGCGCCCTGATGTGCTTGGTGTGCTTGGTGGTATAGATGACATGAGCAACCACTCTCACTCAGCCATGCAGCTTACCAGAGTTATGTCGAGGACAAAATGGAACTTTGCATATGCCTACCGTACTTTGAGATGGGGCACTTGTCCCGGAACTGGAGCATGGCCTTGGCCCACCCACGTTGGGGAGTCTGGCCCCCTGCTCTTTTCGGTTCGGCCATTTGGGCGCGACGATCAGACATCATTGACTGTATCAACAGAGCTGCCGTCTGTACCGCACTTGTTTCTTTGTTCGTGTCTTTAACAATTACAAGCAAAGACTGGCGGCTCTTCCAGCTGGCTTATGCAGTCTGTTGCACGCGCCAGACTGAGTGAGGCGAAAGTAACTAGCCGTCTCCGTCGCGATCGGGAGTTCAGTTGGGGCACATCGATACACATCTCTTTTCGTGTACGCCATTCCTTGATCGACCTCTGCCAGGTATGACAAAGTCCACGCTCAGGCCATGATGTTCCCCGTTGAGGCCAGCGGCTGGCCATGTCTCCCGTAAACACTGGTTAATCGTTTTTTTGGTCATTGTTTTTCTTTCTTCTTCTTTTCTCGCTCCAGCATTGTGAGGAGTCTCGATTGTTATATCAACCGGTTTCTGTGCACGCCTAGCTCCCGCACTGGCAGTTCGAAACTTTGGAGGGACCCGCAGATCGTCAAAGGGAAGTGGGCTGTTGGCATGCTGCCAGCATGCTTCAGGTGCCTTCTAGTTGCCAGGTTGGAGTGTCGTTTCGACCTCGAGAAAAGAGGAAAATGCGACCGCATAGGCGCTCTCGAGTGTGTTAGCTGCATGGCCATCATCCGTGCCGTTCAAGCGGGACGAAGGCGCAAAATCTAAGAACAGCCAGGTCCTGCTTTCGTCCATATCATGGTGTATCTCAAGTCAAAGACCCTGCCACTAGAGTCCACATTTGCAGATGTGGAGGGGGGAGCACAGAGGCCATACAACGACACCGAGCGCACAGCGGCCATGTCAGCATTGACAAGGGCACAACGTCTGGATCATCAGCAAGCAGAAAGGGGGACTCGTTCCAGTCATGAATTCCCAAGCGGAAGCACAACGGCTAGCAGAAGGCTGGATGTGTGTGGCTGGCTGCTCTGCACGGCACTGCGTTGACCTTGTTCGAACCCGTTTCGCCTGCGCTCTCCAGGTGGCCGTTCACCCATGAAGCCATCCATGGAGAAACACCGTCTCACAGTCGAACGTTCGTCGCAATGTAGGTACCTGTTGACCCACTGGGCATGGGGTGAACGAGGACAACAAGGCGATCCCCGCGCAGTCGCTGGATACGTCTTTGAGCAGAGGTGTTCGGGTGTTTTTATCTGGCCCCCCGGCGCATTGTAAGAAGCTGGTATAACCATGCCCAGTCGAGTTTCCTGTTGTTTGCTATGCCCCCCCATTTTTGTCGGCGGCGCTACTTGGATCCCGTGGCCCTGGCAGCCACTCGAGGTGGGTGGCGGGGTCCGGTGCATGTGCTTTCTGCACTGGTGTAGACGGGAGGACCACGCAGATGTTCTCTGTCCGATCTGCTTTGGTGTTTCTTTTGCTGGCCAAGTCTTCGCATGCCGGCTCAGGGCGGCCATGATGAACAGTCCTTCAATGAAGCCCAGACTGAGCAGTGTGTATTCGTGCGACAAGACCCCATTACTGGTTGACAATCCTGCCCAACTGAGGTGACTAGAGTCGGACCCTGGCGTTGATCGCTCGAGACATGGGCCAATGAAGCCCAAGCACCGACCGACACCTGCACGACCGTCGACGGGAGAGAGCAACGGCTAAGTCTCCCAAGCTGGCCAGCTTGTCCCTGGCAAGAAGTTTCCAATCTAGCTTTGCCTTGGCGAGTTGACTTTACAGGCTTCGTAATACTACGCGAAGTGCGCTCAGCTGTAATCAGCTCGCCTTTCCGACATCGTGGGGGCTGTTCGTCGGACCAAGGATTTGATTGATGGTGTTGTTGGCCCTTGTTGGGCTGAGGAGATCCCGACAATGTAGTGCCAATGGACGGGTGATGTGCTAGTGAGGCGATCAACTTGACCGAGACTGGCTGTCAGCCACATGCACGCATCAAGTTTGCGGCCCCCTTCGGTTTGGCCGCCCCCCCTCGGCGTGTACGTAAGGTAACCAACGCCACCAGTTAGTTAGGTAGGTAGGATGAGAGCCGGCCAGCTGATGAAGGCGTTGGGCAGCTGGCAAGGGCACGGATTTGGCCATGTGCCCACGTGCCGTAGGCCTCTGGCCATGTCCCCGTAACCGTGATGGTGATAGCCACAGAGGAAAGATGATGATGGCCCTCCAAAGTGGGCGAGGACTGTATGAACCGGCGCAGGAACACAGTGAACCACTCAGTTCAGTTGGAATTGAGAATCGGGACCGCGGAACTGGTGCACAGCAAACGTAATCAGGGCCGAGGCAGCCTGACTAGTCAGGGTCCCCCAAGCACCATGCTGGGCTGTCCGCATTTGAAACGAAGGTGCTATTTTGGCTGGCGAAGGTACGCGGCGCGCAGTGGAGCAGACTGGGAACACTCCGATGAAGCCTTCTTCGTGTCTGCGTGTACCTGATGTATGCCGCTGCTGTCTTGTCGGCCGTCTCTCTCAGTCTGCGTGCCACCAACTTGCCATTCGGTGCAGGACGTTTTGGGCGTGCAGCGCCGCCAGCTGGTGCATGGTGCGGGGCGTCTGCTACACATATGGGCGTCTGCCCTGCACTTATATGTGGGATGGATTCAGGAAGACGACGCAGAAGCCAGGCGTAACGGAAGATCCTCGTCTTCCTGGGCTTTCGCGACATGGCTGGACAATGTTTCAACAGAAGGAGGCCCCAAGGCTGGCCTGGTCGTTGTCACATCGCCCTGCAGCCCTGGTGCTGACTTGTCGGCCGCCGGCGCGGACGATTTGACACGGCCCAGTTCAGGAATCCTTCATCATCGGTAATGTCCGTTGCTGATAAGATGAGAGCCGCCATCCGTCCAGATGGCAGAAGCCAGAAGCAGGTGGCGGTGGCTTATCCTCGACTTACCCGGAAGTGCATGGGCGGACGATATTTGCGAGTAGGGTTTTGTGGGTGCCGGGTACTGAACCTGCTATCTCAGTTGAGAGGTCGACTGGGCTAGATTGGATCCGGCATGATGGTGGTCGAGGACGCGCAACGTGCATCTGGACGCGGCTGGAACGAGACGAGTCTGGGACGTAACCTTATTGCGAGAGGTTCAGCCAGTCATGGCTGTTGCTCAACGGCTTGACAAGACCGGACGCTCGTAATGGGAACGAGGTGAAGCTTGAATACACGGCCGAGAGACGCAATTGCTTGCTTAAGGAAAAAATAATCTAAAACCTTACTCTCCAGAAGTAAGAATCCAGGATCCGAACTCTTCCTCCGGTGACCCGAGGCTGCACGGCTGCTCCTGTTGCCGCCGCCGCCGCTGCCACTCCTGTTCGTCGAGAGGCTCTGACCAGGAGGATGCACCCGCACTTACATACGAGCTGAGCAAATCAGAATAAGAAAGAAACATAGACAGCCCTAAGGGCAGATGTGTGGACGAGAGAGTGATGTGAGTGTGTGTAACAAGATGCTGTGCTGCCACCACGTACTACGGCGCAGAGTGATGTAATGAGAGAGGCGAGAATGCTTCCTTTCCCTTACGGAACACTTGGATTGAGGTAGGCAGCTGAGCGGGCCCCTCTTGACTATCCAGGAGCGCAACTGCCAGTCACTAGCAAGGTTAAATAAGCACCGACTGGGTCCAAAGTACGACGTGATTGGGCCGGGCCATTGGGGGGAGGGGGGGGAGGGGGCGTGATCGAGTAGAAAGAAGGGAGGGTGTAGCGAGTTTGAAGGGGCCTGACTTGGTGTCTTGTTGGAGATCCTCTGTAGTGACTGAGTACGCTTCCTTTTTCTTGCCAGGTACCTTGGGCAAGACGAGGTATCTTTGCGAGACGGGTGATGGCAAAGTGCACAATAGCATCGCAGAACTAGGTTTCGACGTTGTCACCAGCTCGTTCCGGCTATAGCTTTGAACGAGAGAAGCGCCGAAGGGACAAACCCCTCCATAGCACCCAACAGGTAACGTGAATTAAAAAAAAAAAAGAAAACACCTGCTGCTGCTGCTGCTTTTCCCCCCTTATCTTTCCCAGTGGGTGAGAGATGTACAGGCATCTGCGAAACAGACCCTTCGGTCAGCTAGCCACAACAAGATGGGTGGAAAATATCCTCAAAACCACACAGTTGAGAAATGCGACCGAGAGGAGAAGGCCAAGACAGACATAGTCCCGTTTGATGTTCAAAACTGCCAACACCTTGTTTCCTTTAAGGTTGAGGACAACCTGGGGTGTACTTGTTGACCTGACTGGTGTGCTCAGTAACGAAACCTTCCCTCGAACAACCGCCACCCGGTTACTGTCAGGTAGACAGACAGCCCCCAAAGACAAAGCCAACCAAGATAGCGAGGGGCTGCTTTCCTGCCGTTGTAGACACCAACCGCCGAATTTAGATGTCAGACAAAAAGGTTGAGTGGAAAAATTGAAAAAGTTCGCCCTGGGAGGTTCGTTTCCCTTTTTCATCCGTTGCATTGAGAGGTACGAAGCACCTTATTCTGGGTAGAGTTTTGTAGCATGCGTGTGCGCAAGACCAAGGCCAATGACCGGCCCGAGTTCAGATGATGCTCAGGGCGCCCTTTGGGGGTTCTTCCTGTCCCCTCGCTTTCCCGGAAACGTCAAACGCTGAACATGCGCCATTTTCGGCTGGCTTGTTGCGTTTTGTAGATCGAGTTGAGAGCAACGTGCAGTAGACAGACAAGAGGGTCTGTAGAGGCCAGCACCATACCAATGTCCCCTGGTCGAAGCACATAGAAAAATCACGAACAGACCCCCCACCCCAACGGTGGTGGTGATGATGGGTCTAAAGGCCTGGTCGGATCTGGTCCAGAAGGGGTCTAAGGGCACAAAGTGCCAAGCACACAACACTGAGTGACAACACTACGCCTAGCCACGGGCGAGCAAATGGTCAAATGCATAGTTTAGTAGAAGAACGGACTGTCACCTTGATGTAAGCAAAGTTACTCGGGGATGCGTAAGGCAGAGTATCTGCCTGCACCCTGCAATCAATTACTCGGTGAGCAGGGCCAAAAAAATAAAAGTAAAAAAGGCGGTCGCTGGTCGAGCCTGGAGCATGTACAGAGTACATAAACATCGCATATCGAAACAGGCTCCGTCGCCGGCCCCGGTCGCCTTACCATGCCGCCCAAACACCTGCCACAACAGCACGCAATGTTGGCGATGTGACAAGCCTCCGCCTCTGTAGGCCCAACCACTTTCTTTGCCTCAGCTCGACGACAAAAAGGGCATGTTGGGAACCGGGTCGAGTCACCACGGCAGGCGGCGCCGGTCTACGGCGTCTTCGCAGATGGGATTGGAGCATGCAGTCGGAGTGGTGTTGAAGCTGGTATCGTCGCAAATCGTGTGGCATCTATTTGTTTGCTTCACTTGCCTGTCCCTCACCTCGCACAAAGCACACCAGTCATGGATTAGTCTATACGGTTACACTGCTCTTTAGAGAGGTGAGTGTTGCACCGCTGCGCAGTAGCTTGACTGGATTCTGGGGCTTGCAAGGTGCCCGTGGCCTTGCGTATCCGTGCCCTTGTTATTCTCTGCTCCCGGTACGCATGTACTTCGTCCCGTTTCGCTGCAATACCCATATTGAGATGGATCGATGTGGATGAGTCTAATATCAACGTCCGTTCCATGGTCTCGGTCTCGCCTGCGGCGCTGGCCACAACCGTTGGCATTTGCACTTGTTCAAGATTTCTCTCCTCTAATCCAAAGAACAAGAATGACTCTCTTGAAGGCACAGATTGCCAGCGGATACACCGCCAGGTCAGGTATCCATACCGCCGCAGTCACTTGGCACAAGCTCAGGGACAGGACTCCTCACACCTTGTGAGAAGCAGACCGTCACGGCTTGGTCATTCTCGGCTTAGCGTCCATGTGTGCGATGACGCTAAACAGGGATGATCCTGGAGCACTCTGCCCAGTGTGCAGGGAAAGACAGCGACTTGAGCCACGAGCCGGGAGCCTCGAGCTTTCTTGTCTGCTTGGGAGCCTGCGAAGGGTGGTGGGGGGCCCCCCGTCCCGTCTTTTCTCCCACCAGGTGTATGTATACTACTATGCTCCCTGGCCACAATGAGGCGCGTAGCGCCTCGGCCCAATGTTGTACTAGGCGTCTTCCTTGCTGCAAAGACCAGGTGAAGTTCCCATCTGGTGTACTTCTAGGCGACATTGCTTGACAATGCAAGGGCCCGGATGATCCACGTTGATTGCCGTGTGTGAAGTTTCTTTTTGAGCACCTTGACTTTTGTCTTTTAGACAGCAAAGGAGAAGTGCCAGAGAGACGGGAAGAAAGGAGGAAATAAAGAAAGCAGTCGCTGAAACGAGGATTTGGGGGGGGGATGCGTGGGCGGGAAGGGACTCGGACTTGAGGACCGTGTTGCTGGGTCGCAAAGACCTGGAGAGAAGACACCGGTGAATAGGAATTACAAGACTGGGACGGGAAAATGGTTCAACCAAAAATGGAAATAGAAGAAAGCAGAAGGAATGAACGCCTGCTCGCCCAGTCGGAAAACGAAAAGACAGAGGGAAAAAGAAACGAAAAGGTAAAGACTACCTAACGAGACCCGTCCCAAAAGGTCAACGGTTGGTCTGAACTAGAGGGGAGAACTGGGCAGTGGGCCAATGTCTCGCCTTGGTTGGACTTGGAGAGAGACATTGCCAATTTGTAGCAGTGGACCGATGATGGATTGGGGCGAGAACGAAAGAATGTAGGCCGTAACCATCGAAAGTTTGGGGAATTGACGAATCTTGGCCCACCCGTCGGTACCAGAGCAAGCTGTTGGAAGAGGATGTCGAATGTCGAATGTCGAATGTCTTGAGCGTTCCTCTGGCATTGCGGATTGTCCGGGGTACGTTCCTGTACTGGATAGAAGAAAGCCAAAAAAAAAAAAAAAAGGTTCCGTGGCGTGGCCGTACCGGTCCTTGCCGGCGTGCCTTGCCCTGCTCACCGGGTGATGTAAATCGTGGTCAAGTGAGACCCGTGACCGGGGGTTTGCGATGGCCATGGGGCTGCTCCTCCACGATCTTCCGGCGAGGACTCTTGCTGATCGTCGCGTCGTAATGTGCCTGTTGGTTGATAGAGCCATGGTGCGCGTTCCGTTTGGGTCTCTCAAGAGTGCCGGCAGCGCCGCGGCACCCAAAGCTGGGAGCAACTTGGAAATGGCCTCGGAGCGAGCCAAGGCCAGATTCGAATGCATGGAAGGCACTCCAGACATCCGGGGTCCGGTGTGTTGAGGTTTGGCCCCGACCCTGGTCCCGGCAATGACCCTCGGTCTGTCTTTCTCAGTCGGCTGGCATGGCGCCAAGTAAAAGTAAAAGTGAGAGAGGGAGAGAGGCAAGGTGAGGCACCACCACGCTTGTACCACGCAGCGCCATCCCACGTCGCTCTGTGACCTCTCTTGTTCTGGCGCCGTAGTTCCGATGCACTACGAGTGCTTTCGTGCCGGCGAGACTGGTGTCAATTGCTGACCCGGAGGGCCTTGCTTTGGTTATTCTTGCAGGTTGCACGTATGTATCATGTTAGCACCCATGATGCGGCCTTCCTGTCCACGTTGACCGCTTCCCACACCGCCGTCATGATAGGTTGGTACCTGACAACTGCCGCCCGTCAGTCTTTATTGCATCAGGGACCGGGTCCTCGCGGGACAGGGTCCTGGGCAGGGTGTTATGACTGCGATGGATGGCGAGGTATGGTCGCCTCGCGGCTTGGGTGAGGAGGAGGAGTGTGTGGTTGGCAGTCGTGGTAGCACTACTGTTGCTGTCGAAAGGTGCTTCTCGACGACAGGGACACAAACCAGTGTCACTGCAAATCATTGCCAACGTCCACCAGCAAAAAATAAAATAAAAAAAAACTAGAGGGGCATAGGCATAGGCAGAGGCAGAGGCTGAAGGCAGAGCAGAGAGACGAGGAGAATGAGTTCGGTGGGAGGGAGAATTTGGCGAGCCACGCCCCCTTGACACTAATACCACATCACCCCCCCTTCTCTGTTTCCCAGTCAAGTCTCCCCTTCCCCTCCTGGTCCCTCCTCCCATTGTCGACCATACCTGTACCTACCGTACCTGCCCACGAAGCAAGGGCAGGGAATTATTATAAAAAATAGTACGGATACTATGTATGTATGGCAAGGAAAAGGGCAACCGTTGTCTCCCAAAGGAAAGGACCCCATTTTCGCCAGGTGCCCACTTCAGCCTGCTGGTCTTCCCTCCTCTCCCCTCCCCTCCCCTTCCCTTCCCTTTCCCCTACCCTGACCCTCCTCGCCGTCCACTTTCACTATCCCAGGCAAAGCCGTACCTGCCGTGCCCGGGTACCTACGGATACCAGTCAGTTTCTGGTCGGAAAAAACGTCCATGTCAGGGCGCGTGCTAGGTGACAAGGTGTTTTGCAACCCAGGGTTGGGCTGGGCTCAGCTGCTGGGTGCTGGTGCTGCTGGCGCTGGTACCGCTGTGTGGTTAGTGGCTGGGTTGGTGAATATGTACACCTTGTTCCAGCTCGTCGACTTACACCACGACCACCGTCGTCTCTCGCCGTGTTTTATATCAACATCGAGCCGTCCCTAGAACAACAAGATGCATGAGGGCCTCATGTTTATGAACAATTCCATTCAATGCCATGCGTGTCTGAATGCAATATGCCACACGAATCGCCGGGTGCTCAGTGACAGACAGAGAGAAAGAGAGAGAGAAAGAGAGAGAGAGAGAGAGAGAGAGTCCGAGGTGTTGTTGTTCTTCGCCTCCGGCCCCAGAAAATCCAAAGTACCTCTTGCACCTTTCTTGGATTCGTACCTGCCTGTGCCTCCTGCTGTCTGTCTGCCCGGCTCCTTCCACAGCTGCCTCCCACTTTCCCTAGATCCACACCCACCCTGGCCCGTCCGTCTCATCCAATCCCCTCCCGCCGTGCCACCTCGCCCACCTCTTTTTCTCGTCGCACGCCCTCTCCTCTCTCTCCACCGTGCATCTCGCCGCCCTGCAGGCCCCATCCTCTCTTCTCTCTCCCAGTCTCTTTCGCTCTGTTCCCCGTCCCGTCACTCACACAGTCTCACTCACATCCACCACCACCACCACCACCACCATCACACTCATCACTGCGCGCGCCCTCTTTCTCTTCTTCGCCCTACCCTGCCTTGCTCTCTCTCTCCCTCTCTCTCTCTCTCTCTCTCTCTCTCTCTCGACCTCCGCCCTCATCCTCATCCTCCCTCCCTCCCTCCCCCTCTGCCTCCACAACTATCTCACCTTTCTCCTCAGTCGCCCGATCGCGTGCTCTGAGTGTGGCCGACGCCTAGCTTCTCTTCCCTTCTTCGCACCGAATAACTTCAGATCAAGAGGTGTTCATCTTCTCTGCATGTACGACGACAACTGCATCTCACTTCGACCTTCCTCGTCCATCTCTCGTTTCAGCCACCCCAGTCGTCCACAGGCAAAAATAGGCTCCACGCTTAAAAAAAAGCGCCAATCCTGAGCCCACCAGAACCTAAATCAACTGGCACTGATCGAGCAAAGCCCATCTCCAGAGGCTCCACTACGCCCAACGATCCCGTCCGCTGCCGTAACCCATCGCTCACTTCACCCTCTCGCTCTCTCTCTCTTACGCACACACACTATACCTTACCTCACTCACCACCATCTTTCCCGCCTCTTTTTCTCCTCCTTCACCAACACACACTACACGACACTTTCTGTCGTGTCCTCCTCGCGCCTTTCCTCCAGAGGCGCCCTCGTCGAAAAGTCCGTCATAATAGGACCCGGTGACGACTACATAAGACGACAGACTGTACAGCATAATTCCTTACGCGTAGCATCGTCCCGTTTTCAAAGCCCCCCCGGCTCGCTTTGTCTCGACCTGCGGCTGTCCACGCCCACCCTCCACTCTCTGGAATTTCCGCTGCTCCTGGACGAACACACCCAAAAAACCACAACAACCCACCACCGACAGCCACTTCACGCCGTGGCTTCCTACTACCCTCTTTCCCGCTCTCTTTTCGAGCCGATTTCATCTCGCTCTTGCAACTTTGTGCGTTGCTGCGACAAAGACCAGGCACAGTGTACTTACTGCTGCATGGGCGCTCGGGTCCCTTCATCGACTCCACGTAATCCCGGCGACGAAAAACACGAGACGAGACCGCCGAACCACCTGGCCTGCCTCGTCATCCTTCCCTCACAACCACCACCACACGCCTATCCCCGACCAAAAGGAACATTTGCGGCATCGCAACCTCGCTCGCCATTCGGACCGCCAGCCTCTACCCGCTCGAGACATTTCGGCTAGCTCTTTGATGCTTCTGGTTGCAAGTCACTAGGCATCCTGCAGGCTGTCGACGGCTTCGTGCCTTATTGTTAGAAATCGGCGACTTTCTCTTCCTCTCGATTGCTGCGGACCTGTCACCGAGCGAACACATCTGCGATTCTTACGCATATCCCACCTGATAGCGGTCCTCATCTCGGCAGCCGCCCGACGGTCCCCGGTCCAATTTCGATCGAAGCTGTCGGCTTTGGAAGACGCGTTGTAGGGGACTTGTGTAAACCCCGTGGAAAGCGGCCATGGCCGCAAACATGCAGCACATGGCGGGAGCGGCGGGGATGATGCAGCAGCAGCAACCGCGTCCCCGGCCCTCCCAGGTTCAGTTGAACCAGTTTCTTTACCAGACTATGCTTGCCCAGCAGCAGCCGCATACGGGCTGGCAAGCCGGCGTCGCTATCCAAGAGCGCATGATCAAGTGCCACAACCTGTATGCCCTCACCTTTCTTCCCCATCAAGTGTGTGCGCCATAACTGACCCTTCCTTAGTATCACCAACATCGGCCTTGCCGTGACTAACATCGATTTCATGAAGGCGGCAGAAGTTGGTGTTAACTTTGAGCGCGAGGCGTTCAACAAGTCGCAAGATAAGGTAAGATTTCGAGCTGAGCCACAACCCCCCCAACAGTTCCTCTCGTAGTAAGCATAAACCTAACTAGAGATACAGGCCCAATATGAAGCGCAAATGAGCAACAAGACAAACGAGTTCTTTAGACGGCGACAGGCGAACGAGCAGAATCTCAGCAACAACCTCCAGGCACAGGCAGCCGCTCAGGCTCAGCAACAGCTGATGATGAACCAGAACGCCGCGATGCAGAACCAGATGGGTAGGGGAATGAGCCAGAACCAACAGCAAGGGTTCCAGCACCTGCAGCACCAGATGCAAGCGTCTCAAATACCCCAACAGGGCCAGATGGGTGTCAACATGGGCAACCAGGGCGGCCAACCGATCGGGCCTAATCAGCAAATGTTCCAGATGCCCGGCGGGCAGGTCAGACCCCAGAACGCCATGCCTACCGACGCGTCGAGCCTCACGCCGCATGACCAGCAGAAAGTCTTGGAGCTCGCTCACAAGATGGCTGCTGCGTGCCCCGAGCCTCAGAAGAACCACTACCGCAACATTGTGCAAACTCGATTCGCTCAGAGAGCACAGGAGTATACCGCGCAAGGGAAGGATCCGGTTCTCATCTGGTTCCAACACCAAGCCTTCCAGGGCCTCTCGAAAAACGCAGCTTTGGCGAGACAGCGGCAGCAGCAGGGAGGCATGCCTCCCAACTTGAACCCTGCTCAAACCCAGGCACTCATGCAAGCTGGCAGAGGACAGATGAACCCCGCCATGATGAACGCCGCAGGCATGCAAGCTGCCAACGGTGACTTTGGCCAGTTCAATACCATGGAGAGCATCATGAACCAGCAAAAGGCTGGCATACTAGCTCAGGAGGCGGGGCAAATGGTCGTTCCCGCCAGCAACGGGCCGGCTCGCAATGCGACTCCGCAACCCATCGCTGGCGCACAAGGTCAAGGGATGCCTAATCCGGCTGGACCAAACCAGACGCCTCGGCCGAACCAGGCTCAACAACAGCTCAGCATGCAGCAGGCACAACAGTTGAAGATGGAACAGCAACAATCACAACAAGCGGCACAGATGCGAGCTCAACAGCAGGCCAGACAATTACAGGGCCAACCGAACGGGCTCGGCGGCGCGCCTCCTTCCCAAAGTCCGGGCATGAACACCCTGAACACCCCCATGCGTCGCCCCCCAAGTGCTATGAACCCCATGGAAGGCCAGGGTGGAGCGCAGGCCAATGGCCCTTTCGCCGGCACCCTCGACCCTCGTTTCAACCAGGGCAACCAGAGACCAATGCCGAATGGTGGCAATATGAACCTGAACAACAACCCCATTTTCCACAACATGATGGCGAGCATGAACCCCGAGCAAAGGCAGGCCGTCCACGGACTGCCTCCCGACAAACTCCATGAGGTCATGACCAAGTGGCAGGAGCAGCAGCGCAAGATGCAGATGAATGCCATGGCACAGGCTGGAAATAATCCAGGCCAGATGCAGGGCAGGCCCGGACAGATGGGACAGTTCAACATGCCCAACGGCAACCAGTTTATGCCCAATGGTATGATGCCGCAACAGGCGCAACCCGGAGTCCCCAACAACCAGCAACAAGTTATTGCCCAGCAACAGCAGATGCTGGCCAGGCTGAGAAGCCAGGGAACTCCTGTGGCACCCGCTCACCAGGTAATGATGGACAGTATGGATCTTCCGCCGCCAGTTCTCCAGCAAGTGGGGAACCAACTACGCGCTCCTCCAGAGGTGCGCAAGTGGAAGGATCTCAGGCAATGGCTCGCGCAGAATCCCGTTCAGCCCCAGCTGCAACAGCACCTTGAGAGGATCCAGAGGTCGCAGTTCGCGACATACATGCAAAGGCAAATGGAGAAGCGCAACCGGGAGCAGCAGGCGGCCGCCGCGGGACAGCAACAGCAACAACAGCTGCCGCAGCAGCCTCAACAACAAGGACAACAGCCACAGCAACATGTGCCGCAGCAGCCCCAGCAGCAACAACCGCCTCAGCCGCAATCGCAGTTGCAGCAGAGTGCCATGCAAGCGGGCAACGGGATGCCGAACCAGCAACAGCCTAACCAACCGGGCATGCCTCCCAATATGCCGACCATTCCAGCTCACATGATTCAGGTGACGCCGACCGACATCATGAACGCCCGCAAAGCGAACCCCAAGATTGCTAGTCTCACGGATGATCAGTTGAGGCAGTTCATTATTCAGATCAAGCAACGGCAGATGGCCACTGCTATGCAGAAGGAAATGGCCATGCGTCAAGCCCAAGCACAGGGTAACCAAGGACCTGGGGCTCAAAACGTTCCTATGCCCACGGCTCAACAGCCACAAATGCCACAGCCCGCTCCTCCCCCGGCAAACGTCACCCCCACGCCTGTTCAGGCGGTGCAGCCAGCCCCGCCAAAGCAACAGAGTGCGACTCCTGACCCGAAGGCTGTTGCCAACGCTGCGGCGGCGAAGAACAACCACCGTCCCACCGCGAACAACAGCCAACCGCAACCCCCTAACCCGTCACCGGCAACTCAGCAAAAGAGCCTCAAGCGTCCCAGCACCGACGAGCCTGCCGACGTTCCTCAAACGGCAACTCAGCAACCTCAGAGGCCTGCAGCTCTTCCCGGGCAGATGCGGACCCTTCCAAACCTCACCCCCGAGCAGATAGCGAGCATGACACCCGAACAAAAGGCCAAGTACGAGGCCATGAAGAGCCGCCAACAGGCCATGCAGGCGGCGAACTCGGGCATCGCTCCGACCGAGAATGACTTTGACAAGCTTAGACGGATTGGCCAGGAAGAGCAGAGGTTGATGATGACGGAACACATGCCTGACATACCCATGACACCGGAGCAGCGCCAAGAGACATGCGCCAAGCTAATGAAGATTGTGGTTGACATGGGCAAGATTGGAAAGGCCCTTGGCCGGTGGTACGCCGCGACGCGTGACGATGCGCGCGCCAAGAGCTACTTCCGAGCTGTGAGTAGACGTGCAATCTCACACTTGGTCTCCTGCTAACGTTTTACAGCGACTTCGCATGATCAGGCAATTCACTGACGGCGAGGTTATGACCAACCCTAAACCAGTCTTCAGTGTGAGGCCCGCTGAAATCGACGAGGTCCGTCGGCTGCTCGAGAGTATGGCGCGCGATTGCGCCAACCTCGGCAAGAAGACCGCCGTGCCACCTCAGCAAGGCCAGCCTACAGCGCCGAACCAAGCCGGCGCTGGTCAAGGTGGCCAGCCACTTCCTTTGAGCATGGCCAATATGGCCAACTTGGAGAAGCAGACACAGAACCTCAATAACAAGATGCACAACCGATCCAACAGCAAGAGCGGCCCCCCGGCTGCACCGACAACGAGCCAGCCTCCTTTTCCCTTTGGCGCAAGCTCCCCGCACGGCGAATCCATCCACTTCTCGAAGCCCAAGGTCACCAAAGATAACCTACAGCTTCCGGCGCGGAAGAAGGCCAAGGTTGGCACACAGCCGACTCCGCCGCAGCAACCGAATCAGGCCACGCCCTCACCGCAGATCAGCAAGTCCGGATCGCCGGAGCTCAAGAGGCAGCCTATGCCGGAGCCCAAGGCACCGCCCAAACCGATGTTCTTGTGCCCGGAGACGGACTGCGAGATGGCGACTACCGGGTTCCCTTCGGAACAGGCGCGCCAGACGCACATCCAAGAAGAGCATGTAAAGCCTCTGGAAGACCCGATGAAGTACATGCAAGAGAGCCTTGCCCAGTCTCTGGGACTGGACACGAACGGCCAGGTCAAGATGGAGCCCCAGACGGCGCAGCCGATGGGACAAACCCTCTCCAAGCAGGGACAGACACCGGCAAGCAACACCGGCGCGACGCCCATGTCCCGGGATGCTTCGATGCAGCGCACAGGCAGCAAGATGGGGGGCAAGGTACAGGACAACAAGCTCGCAGGGGGCAAGACGGAGAGCACGCCGAAGATGGAGAACAAGCAGCCGGAAATGGCTGCACCGGCAGCGCCGATGGACGCCTGGGCGACGACAATCGACCCGCAGAGCCTCTTCAACAACCTAGGCAAATTCGAACTGGGTGCCAACGGCGTCATCAGCGACATGGGTGTCTACCGGTCCTTGACGCCAAACGACACACCCGAGTCAAGCAAGGACAGCGGATCTTCCGAGCCCAACAGCGACATTTCGGAAGGTGTTCATCTGGACATCGACCTCAACTGGCAGCCTGTTGACATGGACCTGCTCCTCGACATGAACAACATCAACATGGACGGTTTGGAAGGGCTCCAAGACGGCGGAACCGAGTTTGAGGGCCTGATGCTTGAGGAAGCGATGCCGATGGAGCAGTTTCCTAACTGGGACGAAGTGACGAACGACTTCAACAAACCCTTCCAGTTCGACAACAGCATGTACTCGCTGGACGTGTCCTCGTCGATATGAGGGGAGAAATGCGTGGACAAAGGGAAAGACAAAACAAGGTGCGACGAGTGGACAGCAGACGTGGGCGATTCATGGTTGGATACCCCGGGGATTTCCATGAATGATGACCAGCCGACTCACCGGGCGGGTAGGAGGGGCCAGCATAGGGGGAGGAAAAGCAGGGGATCGGCGTTCCTTTGGGAGGTTCCGGACTCGAAGAGTTTTGGAGTCTCGGTTTAGTTTCTTTGCCAGCGGTGTCTTTTTTATTGTTTCTTCTTTTTTTTTTTATACACCTATGGAAAGATGGTAGAGCCGCGAAGGGGACGGACGGCAGCTGGTTCAGTACTTGGGCTTTTTCTTTTATTTTTCTTCTTCCTCACCGTTATTTCTGCTTCGGTCTTGGTCTTATTTTTTGGTAGCCTGGTTGGAGAGACAGTCACGCGTTGTATGTACGTATGGCGGCAAAATGTCTTTTAGTTAGGTTCCTTGGCGACGACGGGAGCGTCGGCGACTCTTGCAAGGGCGATTGGAATGATACCCAAGTTTACAAACGATTGTCCCTATGAAGTGAGACTGATTTATTGTGCAGACGAAGGGAGACGATGCGCTAGGGGTTTGTGTTCATGCTCATGCCAGACCGCGTTGTCAGTAATTTGCACGACTTATCTGGGTCTGACAACAGGATGTTCATGTCGTGGCAGAAGGAAGGCTTGAGAGGTTCGGATAGGGGCGGAGGTGGACGCGACGGGATGAGATGGCGGGTAGCGGACGTGGAGCTTGTCACGTCAAAGGAATGATCCCAGCAGCGTGGACCCTTGGGCATCCTCCCCCCCCCCGTACGTGCATTTCACTTTCTTCAACACTAGGCCGGATGCGATCTGCAATGGCTAGCGGACCCCTGCAACGACAGACGCGCCTCTGGGGACTACATAGTAGGTACCTATGTAGGGTAAGGGGTCAGTGGGATTATATAAGCTGCATTCTAGGCGTCGGGCTTCTCTCAGATCTCCCCCTCCCCCCCCCCCTGTGAGCAGCTGTCACGCACTGTGGACGAGCGTAGGTAGTTGGGCGCTGGACATTCAACCCCAAAAACAGTTGCGTCAACAGGGGTACGCGACCAAGCCGCCAGCCACCGAGCAGGGTGCAATAAGATGCGGCGGGCCGCGATTTGGGAAGTTCGCGGTGGTTTTTGGTGTCAATTTGGTGTTAATGGGGTGGAGGGAGGAAACCGAAGAACCCCCCCCCCCCCCGAGTGCCTCCAAGGCTACAGCGATGTCCCTGCGCTGAAGAAGTGCACTACGCGGTCGTTCTTCAGCACGTTCATCAGCCGTGGCCGTTTGACAAGCGGCCCAAAGTAGGGAGGGTGCTTCCCGCGAGAGACACTTTAGGGGGCCCTACACATTTCTCGACTGCCTAGTACGCGTTTCCTTGGGACATTTCCATTATCAACAACACGTCGGTGTCTCGCTTCCTCCATTGCTTGCCCCCTTTTCCCTCCGAAGACATCTTTTCTTGCGCCGAGGAATTGCATTGGTTGCGTCCCCCGTTCTCCCTCAAAGCCATAGAGTTCGACAATACACACGGTCCTCGGAACTCCAAACACAACAAACAACAGCGGCACACTTGTTTGTTTGTTTTAAGCACAGAGCTTCCCTCCCTCGGGTGGATTTCAAGTTGCTACAGCTGCACGCGGCCACCCAAAACCGTCATTCGTTTAAACGGTCCCCCCCCCAGTTTCCCCCCGGTGCCCCCCAAGCCGCGAAACACACGCCGAAAGTCGCTCAGGCTTGTGAATCGGGTAATTGTGTGGGAATAGCTCTTTTTCCTCCAGTGCAGCTCTCACTTTCTCTCCAACCCTCATCCCCTCCCATCAACCCCCCTCTTCTCCCTCCACCCAAACACCTACCAAGAGGACCTTGACTCCCGATCCTCCTCCTCCTCTTTTTCTTTTCTTCGTCACTACCATTGTGTATCTTTCAGCCCCGGAATACCTAAAGACACGCGGTCCGATTCCCGACACGACCAGACACCATGGACCCCTCATCGCCGGCCAAGAGACGCGCCCTCGCGCCCCTGGACGCGAACGTGAACGCGATGTCGCCCACCAAGATGCACAAGCACAGCAAGGTGCCCGGCTCGCCTCGCAAGAACCCCATCAAGACGCCCTTGGGTCTCAAGAGGCCCCTCGCCGCCGTTGTCTTTGACGAGAACGCCGTCGCGAAGAAGAAGCAGTGCCAGGAGCCTGCCGCCGCTGCACCCGTCTCGGTGTCTGCGTCTGCAACTACCAGTGCATCTGCTCTCGCGCCGGTGCATGCGTCTGCCGCTACTCCTACGGCTGCTGCACCTACAACTACGCCCGAGGACACAACCGCGTCCACCTCTACACCCACGCCGACTCCCGCCGCGCCCGCACAAACGGAGATGGACACGAGACCCGACGTGAAGGAAGTAAGTGAGACCCGGGTGGTGGACGGCGTGCATCATGGTGTTCGGGACGGGAAGCTAATGCGTGTGTCTGTATGGCAGCATCAGAGCGAGCAACAAGAACAGTACGAGGAACAGAAGCAGAACGACGAACAACGGGAACAAGGACAACTAGAGAAGAAGCAACCCCACGAGGAGCATCGGCAGACGCAGCAGACGTTGCGGAATCCATCCGCGTCCCCCGACACGTCGTCTGTATTCGACAACTCCACCATGGACACATCGCAGGAGAACACGACCATGCTCACAGAGCCCGACGCAGAGCAGGCCGTCAGGACTTTGCCCGCACCGAGGCCTAGGAGGCTGTTGACGCGCGAGGAGGCGCGACAGGTACGGCGTCCCGTATTGGTGGCTCGGGGATGACGGGACATTGAATACTGACAAAGCTACCCGACACACAGAAGGCTCGAATCCTTCGGCTGAAGCTCGGCCTCGCGAACTACAAGCTCCAGACGGGACAGGAGAACGTGCCCCTCGATAGGCTGGAGGTGAAGCCGCGGCCAGGACAGCAACAAGAGATCACCCGTGAGAGGGCGTTGCCGAGGGTCACAGTGCAGCCGCCTTCCAGCCGCGACGGGCCTCTGGAGAAGGAGACTGAGGAGACGAGCGACACGAAGCAACGCGACAGGGATCCGGAACCTGTAACCGAAGCCGAGAAGACGACGGAGCAGGCCGAGGCTGAAAAGACGGCGCTACCGCGTTTGGAGACGGTCGAGACAGGAACTGCCGAAGAGGGACACGAGCCAACAAGTGCTGTCTTTGGCGGTGTTGCGAGCAGCCTGCTCAGTTTGGCGCGGGGATCTTCGTCTGTGTCGTCGCCATAACGCGTTGGAAGAGTTGGGTTTGAAGGGTTCGTCTTGTGGATGGGGTTCGGTTTTTTTTTTTTTTTGCATTGCATTGCATCGAACGCGACGGCTCATTGTCGTCTGCGTTCTCTTGCGAGAGATTTATTTCAGTATCATGTCGACACAGCATACGGGTCGAGAGCACTACATCGAGGTTTGGTTCAAGATCTCGGCTTGGGTTGGAAAATATCCTACGAGATCCCATCAGACTCACGTCATCCTGGAAAGGAACAAAGAGGTGGGGGGAACGGAGTGGCTTATTTGTTTGGAACGTAACTGTTGGGACAGCACATGTTTGTGACCAAAATGTCACCGGCTGCACCAGCTAGACGGTCGTTTAACCATCCCGTGTCGGGAGGTGCGACTGCAGCATGAGAAACGGCGTTATACGGCGCTTAGGAGCTAGAGCTGACGAGCCGGCGAAGCCATTTAAACAAAAACACGGTGGTAATCTGAGTTCTTGTCGTTGGACACGACTACAAGTTTCCTTTTTCTTTTGCATGTGTGGGGTGTGCTGTGACGCTTCGGCTGGGGTCTGTGGCATTGGCTGTGTAACGGGATGGATGTGACGTGGAGCGGAAGCTGGTAAGAGGCATCCGGACGGGGCGGAGCGGGAGAGGCAAGGGGCTGAAGTGCGATGTGGGGCCCGGCGCCGCCCCGGACACGGATCCGGCTCCCGGGGCTTCGGCCTTTGGCCACTCGTCGGTCGACGCACAAACACCCTCGACCGAACGCCAAAACAATGCCAGGATGATTATCATTACTTCTCTTCGAGACAGGCACGTCGCCGCCGACGAAAGCTTCGATGGGCGGGTGCCGCCCATGATCTAGGTCCTGGTCATGGCGATAAAACCCCGGCAGCGGGGAGGGGGTTCCGACAAGAGCGGCAGGCCGGCCTAGCGTGTGCCCCTTTTTACGGAAAGGACGTGTTGGCTTTTTCGACCGCCGCGCACGTATCCTAGGTGAGATATCCGGGGGGCAGGCGATGGGGGTTAGCAATGGATTCCAGCGCGATTGGGCTTTCGGGGGACTGGATTGGGACTTCAGGGGGCGGGGGAGGTGAAAGCCGCATGGCGTGTTGGTTGCTGAAGCGCAAGTATCGACTTTTCGTTTGATGTGTGTTCGACGTTGTATGATGATGACTTTTGGGTTCTATAACGCCGCTCGTATAGTCCGGGAAGGTGTGGCTAGCTGCAGGTAGAACGCACGCGGCTCTGCACCGCCTGTCACGAGCATTGCGATGCCCGGTAGCATGAAGGAACATATCGGAAACCACAGCCTCGGTTCTTCAAAACCAAGCAACAACATCTTGTGATCGTGCCCTTCAGGCCATAAAGCTGGGGGCCTCAGCATGGAGTAAGATTTGTCTCGGCCGAGTATACTTCCCGCCGAGGTTTCCGAAGAGGGCGGTTCGAGAGTTTCGTTTCATTTCCTCAATGTCCACCACATGACCTTACCCGTGTTGGAACACGAACTTACGGAAGACGCGGTAGATTGCGTAGAGAATGACACATGCACGGCAAGAGCTACATTTCGTTACTGCACAATCTTGGTTGAGCCATCCTCGACCATGGCTGTGTCCAAAGGTTCGCTAAAACAACACGCCAGACGACGCGGCTTGGTGTGCCCATTCGTAGCCTTTTAGCATATCTAAGCGTAAAGGTGTTAAGAAAACAGATACTGCTTCTAGTTTGTCAACCTAAACGGGTCCTCAGCAATTGGACAAACACGCTCTCTAAGAAGAAACAAAAAAGAACCCAAACAAAGAAGCATGCCTTTGACGTCAGCATCATGCCCATGCAGTACAAATCAAGTAAAACAATATGGTATTCCCGTCACTTTTGCTCCGTTTCCGTAATGCCACTCTCCACACCACTCTCAACACTCGACCCCTTTCTCATGCCATTCACCGCCTTGTTCTTGCCAAAGACCAACCCGGGATGGCCGACACACAGCGCAAACACGGCGCAGATAATAAGACTGCAACGTCACGTTAGCGCCCAAGGTCTCATGACTATTTGGCAGGCGACGGCTTACACTCCCTCGAGCCCGATAAACAGCCCCTCGTTGGTAATCTTGTCCGAGTCCGAGTACCCCTCGCTAAGCTCGTCAACACGGTACGCGCACCGCGCGAGGATCAGCACAATCGCCAGCGCGAGGAAGCCAAAAAAGACCTTCTCCCGGCGCGTCAGCGTGCGCGCGGCGCTCGAGCGCGTGTAGCGGATCATGTAGTCGGCGAACATTGTGCAAAAGGCCACCAGCACGACGACCTGGATCACCAGGCCGGCCATGGCGAGGTCGACGCCCACGTCGGAGCTGCCCTGGGAGGTCGTGCTCAGTGCGCCGCCGGCGGCCTGCAGGACGAGGCAGAAGAGGTCGAAGGAGATGAAGAGCCAGTAGATGACTTTTGTGGGGATGCGGGAGAGCTCCGGCGCGAAGGATTCGATGCTGCACGCGAGAAGAAAGTTCGAGTCAGCGGGTGTCACTAACGCCATAATGCCATAGTTTTGCTTTTCTTTTCTTCCTTTTTTTTTCCTACGGGAAGGTTTAAGATTCGAATGGTCCGAGATGACGATGTGCTGCGGGGGAAAAGAAAAGGTGTTCGTTTTGCTGCCAATGGACCATGCGAGGGGAGTGGGAAAAAAGAAAAGAAAAGGCAACAGCCGTGAAACCAGGCAAGCGGCCTCCCTTTGCGGCAGACCCATGCAAACGAACAAGCCAAACTTACGCCTTGGAAAGGGTCACGTAGATGGCGGCGGTATAGTACACGGGCCCGCTCGTGATGAAGACGATCTGGAGCATGAAGGCGATGAACTCGAAGGGGTTGTTGTACATGATGATGCGGCCGACGTAACCGACAATCTCGCTGAGGCAGCCGGCGAGCATAAAGGTCATGAACCACCAGGAGCGCCAGCGGATGCCGAGGTAGACGTGGACGGCGCCGGCGAGGGCGAAGAGCGCGAGGAACAGCGCGTTAACGGCGAGGTTCGGGCGGTACTTGTACAGGCTGTACTCGATGGGGCAGATGTCGAGGGTGCAGTTGGCCGAGGGGCCAAAGATCACGACGTTGGACGGGAGAGGGGGCGGAGGACCGGACATTCTGGCGGTTGTCGTGGTCCCTTCGTGGTGGTGTTCAGGAGGAGAGGGTGAGAGAGAGACGTAGACGGGGACGAGGATGGCGAGAGCCGAGGAGGACGGCCAGGAGAAAATCTTTATCGACGTTTACGTGCCGCAAGAGACGGGATGTCTCAAAAGACAGATGTGATTCAAGCTCGGGCCTTGGTTGTTGGAACTAAGAAGCAAACAACTAACAAGCAAACATTTCACGCAACTCGAGCGTGGCAAGCGTCGATCATATATACGCTTCCGAAGGGAGGCATCTCGACTGCGAGCCCAAAGGGACCCTCCCTCCCCCCTCTTGGCGTTCGGGTCCTGTCAGGGTGATCTACTGAACCAAAGGGGAAGTGGCTCGTCATCACTAGTGGACAAGGTGCGAGGAGCGCTCGCATTCTCTTAGGATTTTAGAATGAGAACAAGCTCGTGTAAGCCAACCACGGCGAGGGATCCTGGGCGTGGAAAGGGAGGAGCGCCCAGTAGTTGCACCGAACGAGGACGCGGACCGGAGACGGGTGGGCACTCGAGGGGAGGGCGGTGGCTCATCGTCCGTCTCTCGCACCCGCATCGACGGGAAAGGATAGAGACGTTCTTCAGAATGTCGCATCAGCGGGTGACTTTCCCCAAGGGTGGGCCGCCAGGGAGATCTGCGGCAAGAAAGAGGCTGATTTCGAGAAATGTGGTTGGGTCGACGGATGGCAGAGACGGCCTGTCTCTGCCGGTACCAGCTTATTTTTTTCTTTCCGTTGCGACTCCCTGGAAGCCTGGAACCACGCACCAGGTAGGAGAAGCCACATGCTTGACTCAACGTCCGGTCGGGCGGGCGGGAGGGTGAAGGAATGGGATTCGATCATCGGCTTGCGTGGTGGGCGTCTTGGCTGTTAAGCGAGTGCGGGAGCGGGGCCGGCTTTCTCAGTTCAGTCAGCGGTCGAGGAAGAAGGAAGCTGTGGTCTATGCGTGCCGAATGCGAAGCGAGGCACGCTAACGCTGTCCCTGGTAAGGCGTCCATCTGGTGTGGCATGGGGTCGGCGGGACATTGGATGGCAGCCTCGATGATGACGGTTGGGATGACGGTGAAGACTCTGGGCGAGAAGGATTCGGACGATTCATTTCTGTGGCTTTTGGGTTGCCATGCTGATAACGCCCGCTGGGTAGCCCAGGCTGTAGGGCTATGCAACTGCGTTGCATCGCAGAGCAGCTTTCCGGTATCCTAGGTTTCGCTGGGGTGTGGGGCCGACGTGTCATCGACGGGACGCGGTTGTGGCTCTGGGTGGTGGGTGACGGTGCTACTCTGTACAGTGGGCAGGCTCTTTCGAGGGGCTCTCTCAGGAAGGGCCGCCGGCGGATGCGTGTGTTTGCTTTGATGGTTTCATTTTGGGACATCCGTTCGCTCGCGGGAGATGATCTGCGGGTCGGAGTCGGCGTCGGCGTTGAATCGGATCAAGTCAACGGGTGGAGTCCCGACCTAGTGACGAGCGCCGAACGCCCAACTCATAGCCCGGTTGAAGGGCCATTGCTTTGGGGCTACGACTAAGTGTTGCATTGAACTCGATCAGTCAAAGCAGATTGACGAGAGAGGACGCGTTTAATTGACTGGGGAATTGTCCACTGGCACTTAGTCCGGGCAGGGCGCTCCCACCCAGACATTGACCTGCTCTGGACCCGATGTGGTGTCTCCGCGACGCATAACTGCAAGCCGGCAGACCTCAAACAGATGTCAACTGGTATTGTGACCTAAACTGTTTGACGATGCACGCCGTCTTGGCAGCTCAGCTAGAACATAAGGGTGGGTACCGAGTTGATCCCGAAGTGGGGCCGCCCGGTGCCCGTCCCGTGGCGATTGCCGTCCTGAGCCGACCTAGATCGGGACGGCATCCGCGCCGACAAAGACTACAATGAATATCAGGGACTTCTTCGCCTTGACCAGCTGCCTTGGCAATGCCTAAAATGACAATCAGCAATACGCACGAAAATCTGAATTTGTCGTGTAACCGCTTGGGTTGACTGGGCTGCTTGGTGTCTTGTACAACCTCCAGACATCAGTATGAGCTCGATCTCACTGTTTGCTTGTCAGGCCTCACAATGACCACTATACAAGCCCGAAACCGTACCGCTCATGTGACAAAAATCATAGCGATATAAGCTTGACAAGCTGAACGAGGGCTTGGGCGCACTACAGTTCAACGAGGCAAGCGACTCTCAATCGGGACGTTCATCAGAAGCGAACCTTGGCAGCAACCGGAGATGGCCGAGCAGACGACCCGTTCACCAAACATCCAAGCTTGCTGCATCAAATAGTAGGCTTCGGTCCTTTGCCGGACGCTCGGATATCCAGAGGGTCGCCGCAATTGGAATAGACAAAACATGCCCCGCCGGCGAAAGTGGTGTATCCCAAGGCCCGTGGATGGCGCACCTGCCACTGCGACGCGAGACTATCTTTAGTCTCCCTATATTGACTTGGCCAACATGAGCCGAGGGGCGCTTGAGATGCAGCAGCCCTGTCAGATGGGGCCGGATGTATCCCAAACGCAACCCCTGTCGAAAACAACTTTGTTGCCTCCCGCTTTCGGTATTTAGTTACGGCCAGCCCGAGTTTGGCTCAAAGGCAAAAACTGAGGTTCAGAGATGCCGCAGGACAATGTGCCTAATTTTAACGTTCAATGCCAATCTGTCGTGGTGGTCTGTTCCAAAGCGAGCGAATTCTCGGGTAGTACGAAAGCAGGAAGGCAGGAGTCGGAGCATTCGCATCCGTGTGTGCATGTACCTCGTATGTGTTATGGCCCGGTACAAAGAATCCCTTCGTCGACCCTAGCGAAGCAACCATATCCGTCAGTAACCAAAGGCTGGCAGTCTGACGTAGAAGCCAATGGTTGTTTTGTCTGGGAACTATCTCGCGGGGGTTCGGGTAAGCCAGCCTTGGGTCTGGGCAACTGAACCGCACAGCATCAATACTTTCGGGTCTCTGGACGTAGTGCACCCATGAATGGTAGGCAGGCAGGAATGGAATGTTGCGGAACGGGCCAGTAGCTATTCACACACAGAATTGAACCTTTAGTGACGTTTCTAAACTAAAGGGGCCGAACGGCTGGCCGCGTCCGCGTCCCGCTCGTCTCTTCTGTCCGTGATATAGACGGGAAAGGCTCCATGTAGCCTGTCAATAGGGAGCGAAGACACTGTCGTACTTTGAGACTCAAACTACGAGATGGGGAACTATTTTGATGGTAAGGGCAAGCCGACGATCTGTGCTAAGGTCAACAACTCCATCCAAAGGAAACATACGGGAAACCCATGCTTGGAATGATGGCATTAAGACGTAAAGAATGATGTGGAAGAAGGTTGAAAGTATCACCCAAACATTAGAGATAATCGAAAACTTTTTCGGTCCAAACCCCGCGGCTCTGAGGAGAAGTCCAGTCCGAAAATCAACGTTGTCCTCGAGTGAAGCATATATCCCGAGGGCTTTCCATCACCTTCCTGCATGAGCCGTTCGGGGCGCTAAATGTCACCAAGAATAGCAAAGCGAAGGATGGACAACCCCTCAGAAAGTCCCAGCACATCAACGTCGTGCTCGGGCACCAGCTCCGCAGGTCGCAGCCCTCGAAGCCCATGACGTAGACAAACCAATGCGTCCATCAAACGGTGGTGGGGAAACGCATTGTCGATCACCACCGACACATCCCCTTGTCCAACTACACCATCAACATGTCCACATACAAAATAGAACCTTCATTTCTATCCATGAGTCGGATCATATCAGAACCAGCCGAATGGTCACTTGTTACCATCTCGTCCCGTCTCCAGATTTCCAAATCCGGATGCAGAGGACCAAGTCCTCACACAACAGAGCCAGAATCCCAGAACTCGAGATTCCCCCGAAATGAAAGGTGGGAAGGGAAGGGAACCGCGTCCCCCGTCCTTCAAGGTTTTCCACTCGAGAAAAAGCCTTCGGTTTTCATTGCCCTTCTGTTGCGGTGCTTCCCAGCGGATTTGTTCGCATGGATGTTGAGTCGAGTGTTCCTCCTCCCCCACCCCACTCCTCTCTCCCGTCGTGTTTTGCTCGGTCAGTGAACCTTGACCGCACTTTAGGCCCCCCTCGGCCTATCGTCGTCGTCTTGCCCTGGCGATCCGATTGCTTTCTGTGTCGATCCTGCATAAGATGAAGAGAGGACGGTTGCCTTATGCAAGCAACTCCAAAAGTCGGGGACGCCGTTCATCCCATTAGGCGGGGACAAGCGTTTCGTCCATATTGAAGCGCTGTGCCTCGGCCAATCACACGAAGATTCTCGCCCAAATCGTAATCTCCTGGAAAGTCCCTCAGTTGGTCCTGGCGGTATCCACACCCCTTTTGCCCGTGGACGGATTTCCACGCCAAGGCGCTAAAAGCAGGGATGGGACGTTACTTTGGCCAGGCGATCTTTGAGGGCGGCTTTTCATCCGAACCGGTTTGGGTTGTGGTTGTTTCCGCCTGATGCTTATTTCGTCTGCTGATTGTGTTTTGTCTGTCGGTCAGGAAATGAATCGGCTGTCGTCCAGGGGGACGGTTAATGCTGCCCGGGAAAAGTTGTAGGTTTCCCGAGTCCGGGGAACATCGATGCATAGGCGGCTGTCACCTCACTTGAGGGAACCTTTTATCCCAAAAGGATTGGCTTCTTTGGTTTTTATGGGTTGGCTGGGGGGTCACATTGCAAGTGTCACATCAAATCAGATTTCCCCAAACACTTCGTCGTTAAAGCCAGGCCATCGGGTCCCGAGAGACATCTCCTCGCGCTCGGTATCCTCGATCGCAAGAAGACAACTCCCGTTCCCTGGACGTCCCCCAAATACAATTAGAAGATTAGGTTACAAATGGTATTTGCCATTCCGTTAAGATGATACATGTACAAAGAGAAGTGCTCTTTTTACATTTCCTCTCGACACCCAAGCAAGAAACCCGCTAGATTGATCGTAAACTGCCATAGCCTCGGTTGGCTTTCCTCAGAAGAGCTTTCCAGGAGAAAAGATTTACGCGAAGACAAAGGCGGCAACACCGGCGATGGCGGCCAGGACGGCAGAGCCGGTCAGGCCAGCGGCACCAGCGGTAACGGGGGTCTTGGTGGGAGCGACAGCACTAGAAATCGAGTTAGCGATCTAGAGTCTCGAGGCTCATGATGCATCAGGTAGTACTCACGTTCCGTTGCCGCCAGTAGGGACACCAGGGATGGTGGCAGAGGGCGCGCTGGGGGTAGGGCAAGGAATCTGGACGGTCTCGTAGATGACGGTAGGGACGACGGTGGTGACGCTGGTGGAGATGGTCTTGACGGAGACTCCGGGGCAGACGGAGGCGGCGCTGGTGGCCAGAGTGGCGGGCTTGGAGACGGAGGGAGCAACGCCGACGGTGGTGGCGGGAACGGGAACGGGCTTGACGCCGGTCTCGGTGACGGGCTTAGAAGGAACCGCGGGGACGGTGCCGTTGTTGCTGGCGGGGGGAGGGACGACAACGGGGGCGGTGGCGGTAGGCTTGACGGCAGTCTCGGTGACGGGGCAGACGGTGGTCGAGATAGCCTCGGTCTTGGTGACGACCACGGTGGAGTGGGCGGGGCAGTTGGTGACCTCAGGAGCGCAAGAGGTGATGGTGCTGACCTTGGTGGTGTAGATGGTGGAGGTGGTCCAGGGCTCGATGCTGGAGGAGACAACGGTGCTGCGGGCAGGGCAGTTGGTGACCTCGGGAGCGCAGGAGGTGATGGTGAAGAACTTGGTGGAGAAGACGGTAGAGGCGGCCTCTTCATCGCCGTGGGCCATGACGGCACCAGCGACGGCAAGGGCGGCAGCAGCGTAACGCATTTTGAAGGTGGTTGAAAAGGGGGAAGGGGTTCGTAAGAACGAAGTTGGAGTGGTTGATTAAGAGAATGTGTTTAAGCTGGGAGCTGTTAAAGAGTGGACGACCGAAGTCAAAGTTGAGTCAAAAGCTGATGCTTGAGATTGATGAGGCTTGTTTGGCTGGAGAGGGAAGAAAGAAGAAGTCGGAAGCAAACGGGGAGGGCGGCACATATTAATAGCCATGTTGGACAAGTGCGAGTCCTCGATCCAAACGGCCCCTCTCCCGGCGGTAAGGTAGGTGAGCGAACTGAGAGAGTCAGTCAGCTTCCCTCCCGTTTCCTCCACTCGGCGCCGTCCACCATTGCCCAGCAGCAGCGAGGAGGGAGGGAGTGACATGGATCGAACACACAAAGTGGGAAATTACCCAACGCCTGCCACCATCTGGCCCCATGGACGCTAATCCAGGGGTTCGGTGGAGGTTAGATGGCACCAAAAAGGGCACTTGGGCGAATTGGCCCGCAGAGGCCAGGCCGACCATGCCACCCATGTCTTGACCCCGGCTATTTGGCTGTGACCCTAGGCCGGGGTTGGATCCCATCATCTGCATAGAGCAACATTAGTGTAGGAACAGAGGGGAAACGGCGTTGCCACTCTATTTGCTGGGCTGTGCCTTTGGTTGCGGTGTAGCCTGAGGATGGTGAGAAGAGATGAAAAGCGAGCGCTTACTGGGGGCGAGAACTCGCCCGAACAGGGCGCCATTGCTCAATGGCAGCCGCTGATTTGTGCGCCGGCTGCGTTTGGCTTCATCGCATCTCTGGCACGCCTTTTCGATTTTCCTCGTTCGTGAAGGCAACGAATCGAGCACGACAATTTCGCTCACTCCTAAAAGACCACCACTTGCGCCAACGGAAAGAGGAGGAGGTACACCGATGTACTGCAGAATGGCAAGCCGCTGACGCTAATGGCGGGTGATGTGCGGCGGGCGTCTACTGACTGTCCAGCTGGACACATCTTCATTGAAGTATAGACATTTGTGCAGTGGCCATGAGAGCAGTGACTGGCTGTCGGTGGTTAGGCTCGACAATCTCGGTTCTCCTTGTCGGATTGACGAAAGCGTTGCGTTTCCTCCGACCCCGTGGATCCTGGATGGAGGAGGAGGCAAGGTCGTCGGGCGCGAGTCAATCAATCAAGGACCAAAGAACGAGGTTTGAAGCCGAGTCAAATAGTGGCACATTCGACGGCAACAGGGATAAGTTATCTGATTGGGCAAGTGGGTGGTTTCGGTGAGACTGTGTAGGCGGTACGGTTGGCCGAGGTGTAAGGTTGTGCGATCCGGAGCCTACGCTGCTGTACTCGCTACACTAGTTGAGCGACAGAGCAGTCTCGCAGATCCAGGACGTCGTTATTTCGCTCATGTCTCCTGGCCTTGTTCTGTGCTGTCGGCTAGATAAAACGAGCATCAGTGTCCGAGATCCGTCCAGGGCAGCACGGATGAGCCGAGAGATCGGACGTGGTTGATAGAAGGTTTGGCCTGAGGAATGCGGAAGCGAAGGCGGCCACGTTGCTGTGGGCGGATGAGACGGTGTCCGCAGCTGAGATAAGGGAGAGATTGTTCTATAGGGAGAGACAAACTGAAGTGTTAGTCGCCTCAAGAAGATGCAGAGCTAGACAGACCAGCCAAGACGGGGAGGATTGCGACAGAGCCGAGTCAACGAGGCAATCGAGCTGAAAGGGGGGATACAACGGGCGAACGGCGGGAACACAGTGCAACGTGGAGGCGAGGGAAGATCATCCGTCGGTCGCACACCAAACCAAAGGGGCCAAGGTCCAAGGGGAGATGCAACGCAACGGGAGAAGAGTGGGAGACAGAGAGGGAGCGAAGAAAGAGCAGGGTTCTCCGCCAAAAGAGGAGAGGGAACGAACTTGACCAGAGAAGACAGGGGGGGGGGAGGCGTTCTCTTGGCAAAGCCTTGTGTGTCTGGCGGGCTTGTCTTCTGCCCTGTGCCCCCCTTGCTCCTTTCTTTCTTGACCAGTCTGACAGTCCAGCAGGGGTCAATTGGATTGGTGAAAGGACCTTGCACAAATCAGACATAAAGACGAGTGGCACAACCCTTTGGTTTCTTGGACTAATGCAGGAACAACAGAAAGTAGTGGGCTCTTGTTTCCTAAAACATTGATGCGGGAAAAGGGAAGGAGGAAGTAGTGTGGTGTACGTACCCGGTACGTACCGTCCGTTCTCTCGCACGCGCCGGAAACTGCAAATGATTTTCAGAGATTCCCCTTTTCAGTCCTGCGCCGTCCATCATTCTCCATTTCACGAAGCGTAGCACATTACGGCTTAATTTCCCGTCGATGGTTGTCATGGTTGACAATCAGAGGAGGGCCACTTGTTAGTGTTCATCAATGGACCCTACCTACGGTAAATCCCCGTCCCCCCCCCCAGTTTTCCCGAAGCGGAAGACCATCACTCAGACCAACACGGCACGACCATGGGACGCCGCTCACTCACTCACATACCATCACTCGATGAAGCCTACGGAGCCGTGGGACTCGGGAGGCCAAAGCAAGAGAAAAGAGGCATGAGGTCCCCCGGGATTGTCATGGTAAAGTTGGACCGCCTCCTTGATCTCCAAGACCCAAAAGACCCCTCTTTTTTTCTTTCTTTTTTTCCCTTCGCCAATCCCTCCTCTCTCGATGGACATTTAGCGAAAATACTCCGCGGCATCGTCCAGCGTTGCGAGATCACCGTTGTCAACACGTCAGAACCACGGACCATAGCCCGTGTGTTTTCAAGCTCATAAAGCCAATCTTAATCTCCAATCCATCGCCTTTGCCATGGGTAGTAGACCGCCCCGGCACTTCTCCAACGCCGCTGGAACCGGCTTAGCCCCGACGTCGTCTCTTCCTTCGGCCAGCCAACTCCGGTTGACAATCCAGAGTCCATGGATATGAATTTCAAACCCATTGTCTAGTTGCCGCCACATGAACCACGGCTGAGCCAACTGGGTTGTCGGCGTAACCAACCATCAGCCATGCTTCTGTGTTTCCGTGCAACGGCCTTCGTGATTCAGCTGACAAGGAACCCTTATCGCACATTGAACTCGGAAAAAGTCGTTTCGACAAAGCCAAAATTCTGCCAAATTGTGTGCTTGACACATCCATGTCGATTTTCATCAACGGTATCTCAGCAGTCCCCACGCGACAGGCAAGGCAGGCCCGGGGGCTCCAGCGACCTGCGCGTCGCGCGTTTCACCACTGTGGGTGCACAAGATCGTCTGATGCTCCCTCAACGGCTCTCCCATAACCCTTATGACGTCGCATAAGCCCTGCGATTGACCATGCTGGCCGACGACCCGCCGAAGAGCTGTTCGATCACGCCCATGTTAACGATGTCGACGGCTACTTTCCGCCAGAGAACCATCAGAGCCCAAGGTAGCGACGAGGTCTGTGTGTGTGACAGGAGGAGTCGAGGAGAAATGATAACCTTAATCCGCCGCGACTCAGACCCGTCACCACCGACGACGAGCTACGGATGCGGTTGAAGCGGTCACAAGCCCGAGGCCACTCATCTCGCACTTGGAGTCCGGCACACGGCTCCAGCTGCCCTTTGGTCTGCGGCCTCATCGGAATGCCGCAATTTGGGGAGCGCAACCATTTCAAGCACACTGCCACCGGCCGCCAGGCCAGACCTTGTTTTCCCGCCATCTGACCGACGAACAGACCAGCAGCAAGGCCACCACCACCTGCCCAGAAATAGACGCAATTTCCAGAAAAGCGCCACGCTCTCGGCAAGCCCCCGGTCAACCGAGAAGGCGTCGTCATTTGCCATCGTTTGGCTCAGAGAAGCTTTTGTCCCTTGGCGGCTCATTGATGAAAGGCAACAAGTTCCCTCTGTTGGCGGTTCTTGGCAAACGCTGGGCCCGTGGTACCACCTCTGTCACGTTGGATGCGATTTCCTGCTGATTTCCCGAGACTCACCGGTCCTCGTTTTCAAGCAAGAGGTCCGGCAACGCGCTGTCTGGGCTCTGCCAACTCAGCTGAACCATGCAGCTCCGCCTCGCCAGACGCTCGGCACCACATCAGCTTGTAGATCCTGCAGCTGCCTTCCCCATATTCCTCGTCTATCACCATTACCCTCGTCCATCAAAACGGCGGCCACCATCCGAAATCGAGATACTTTGTGTCTCTGCTATTTCGAGATGTTGGTCCTTCGTCTCTTTCCGGAAAGTGGAAACTAGGGCCCGATTCTATTCCCACCGCACTCGTACTGGGGCATTTTCGGCACAATGCCCGGTGGCAGACTTCTTCGTGGCCGAGAGGCAAAAGGACGAGCAATCTGACCATACGAAGTAAATCTCGGGCAATTTTTGCGACCCTTGACCGACCCCGCAAATTCCCAAAGTAGCAATGCATTCGATGTCGCTACTTGAGGCAGGTCACTCGTTGGGCCAGACTGTGCAAGCCGACCCCAGATTATCCCTCGGCATAAGCAGCCCATGCAAGCCTCAGGGGCGCTCAAGAATCCCAAGATTCGAGTGTGTCTGCTGCCGGGTAATATCAGCCGGCATACCTTCTGCTGACTCGACTATGATTATTGAAATTATGGCCCTGAGTGAGAGGGTGCTTGCTTGCTGACGCTTTCAGTTCTCTTCTGGTCACCCTACGAATTACCTTGCAAACATGATCACTCATTGGATGGTCTCCTATACTATCTTGCATGACTACGGCGAAGGCTCATGCTCGAGATTTTTCGATGCCTAGCAGAAGATGAATGCCGTCCTGTTCAAGCAGACTTTTGCTGCTCGAGCCAAAGGATCAGCTGGGCTCGATGTTGTACCTGTGGGTTATGGATCAGTCCGGGTATCCAACTCGGCTTAGCAAAAGCCGCTGCCTACGTATACACTTGTCGCTATCTCGAGCTGACTGCTACTTGTTTCGAGTTGAAGACAAGGGTATGTGCAGCTTGGATACGTCGGCCAGCGAAGCCAAAGATGGGTATCACTTCATAGAAGGAGAAACCAACGTTGTTTTCCAGGCCTTCGTCGCGACGCAACTTGACAACCGTGGATCCAAACCAGCACCAGCAGCCTCGAAGAACGACGATAGCAGCAACCAGATACATGGTGCTACTCGGACACAATCACGTCGATGGACACACAGCCTCCAACTCATGCTAGGTATGGCTGTGATGGCCACGCCGCAAGGTCTGGTGAAAGGCCAGCACAACCTCCAAGAGGCTACTCGGTAAGTCGAATGATCTGAGCAGCACAACATATTTCGCGGCAACACAAGTTTCAGGCGCAGTGTTACGCAAGCCTATTCAGTGAGACAAGCCGCACAACAATCTTTTTGTTTTGCAATGTCGCCGCACATACTCGTGGCCAGCGGGCGCTTTATTACTCTCATCTATTTAAGGTCTGTATCCTGGAAGACAGTGTCTAAATACCATGCCTTGTCTTTCCTGCAAAAAACCACACGCAATCAGATCATGTCTCGGACGTATCTATTGACTTTTGTCTTGGCTGATGGCTTCATATCCGTCTTATTCACCTGTAAATATCAGGTAATCTCCCCAAGATTCATCACAGCCTTGCTGGGGCAGCGTTGGCGTACGGGAATACAAGAACCGACAAGGTCTTAATGAACCAGTACAACCGCCCCTTACTCTCAGCTACTGGAGTAGTCCACGCAGATATATCCTTCGGCAGGCCATCCGCCGACTTTTCGTCTGAAGGATCCAACGGCTCCTCGTTGCGGCCCATCTGACACATCTGCGCCCACCCGACAACGCAGGCCCGAGGCCGGACTCCTGCTCGTCATCCCACGGCTTGATACAATCCTTGAGGCCGTTTTCGAATATACCACTTGACAGCCTTGGCTCTGTGCAAGCAGGCCGTCCGATGCCGACACCGTCGAGCCCGATCTGTAGAATATCCACCATGGCGCCGACCGAGCGAACACCGCCTGTGACGAAGGTCCTGGTCTTGCTTCCGTACGGCACAATCTTCTCCGCGAACTCGAGGAAGAAGGCTTCGAGGTGTTCCGGGTCGATAAGGATGTTGCTAGACGGCAAGATGCGTCCTGTCATGGCACCTTCCAAGAGCCGGTTCAAAGCGATAATTGTCGAGAAGGAGAAGCTCAGCGACTGGACTAGGGGCGTCGGGTCAGCGTCTTGTCGGCCGGGGTAACGAGTAGGCATCTTGAAAGGGTGACTGCTAATGGGATCTTCCACCAAGTTCGAACACGTGCAATACTCACAGATGATACGCTGGGACGAAATACACAACGAGCAATCATTTGAAGAGAGACTCAATGTGAACAACGGTGGATCTACACATATGGTCCGCTCCGTACCGTGTTCACACTGGGGAAGGGCTTCCAATGAGAAATACCCGGCCCTCTCTTTCCGTAACCATTGCTGACAGAGAGCTGGGCATAGTTGCATCTCGAGTGAGTAGTAACTTACTGAAATGGAGATTGGCCTACAGCATACAGTTAAATACCACACATGCCTCCAGTGGGGTTGTCAAGCCGATGGGAGTCTCAAGGTCACAATGGATGTGCGATATGTTGGCGAGATTCGAGTCCCGCGAGCTGCTCCATGAGCATGCTTGGGCCTTCCGGGTAAGAATCATTGAATCGTTAGTCCTTGCTATTACCTCATAAGCAGTAGGTACAGAAATCGCGGAGTTGATGAGGCTGCAGGAGGTCCTTGCTCGTTGATGCTCGGGGGACACTGGACTCAGAACCCTCAATGAAGGAGATTCGAGTGCCTCACGTGTTGCAAGATGTTCTCTACTTGAGAGGAAGTGAGTAAATACGTTTGCCTGCTTTGGTTTTTGCTAGTTGAAAAGAGCCTTGTACGTCAAGACAATTTAAATAAACCTGATGCTCCTGTAGCTGTACTTTTTGACCATGCTACGTTGCGTTAACTAGATCTGCCTCGTTTACCAGAGAAGCATACCTAAGGACTAGCAACCCAAGATCTAGCTGTTGTTGGGCACGAGACCTACGTTTACAATTGCACCATTCTTGACTACGGCTCTCTTACAGCAGTTCTCTTTACGTTCTCTGGCCATTCTGCTCCCTCACTTTGGCTTTGCACGCCCATCCCCATGCACAATGCCGACCATCATCCGACCGCACGACAAAGTCGTGGGCAAATGCACACATGCGCCATCACCTCGTCGAGACTTTTTCAAGCAGGTATCGCGCGAGGCTTCATCTCGGGAGTCTGTCCAAACATCCGTATCCGACGCAGACAATGGCACTATCTTAGCCTGCCAAAACAGGTTCATGTACACAGTGCTCCGCGCCTGGCAGCAACACTTACACCTCGGGCTGCGGCCCGATGATGTCTGGTTAGCCGTGCTCGTCCAATTCAACTTCTTCGTCAACGGGGCTAGCCGCGCTGAAGCCTTGCGCGACCGCTTCGTCGCCCACGAGGGCCAACACGAGCTCGTTGTCGGAAGCGGAGCCGGCCAGGCTATTGAAAAAATCGACGTGGCAGCATCGACGGAGCTTCTTGTTGTTCTTCTCCGCAAGAAGCTGGTCGATGCCAACCTGACCGACTGGCTGCTTCCGACCTTTAGCACGACCTTGCCGCGTGACCGCTCGACTGGCGCCGCCGTATTTCTAGGGACCATGAAGCATTACTTCACCTACGGCATGGTTGGTTAGGTGTGGCTTTCCCTCCATTACGCTACTCGGTGGAGGCAGCGACCGGGTCGATCTGGCAAGGCGTGTCGTCCGACTGGCAGAGTTCAATTTCGATGCATTGGATGGCGAGGGATCCTCTATATTGGATAGGTCGCGCTGTCTCGCCGTGGTGGTTGACTGGATGGTCGCCAGCTTTGATAGGCCCGACGACGTCGACGCGCGAGGCTTTTGGGCGCGTGCTTGCCACTCGGCCAGCGGAAACATGTCGGGCAGAGTCGTCCACTTGTCTGGCTGGTTGACCGCCTTTTTCTGGTGGCGAGCCGACGGGGCCACGCAGAAGGCGTACAGCGACAAGGAGCTGGCAGACTCATGATGGGGGAACAACTGGCAGAGGCTGGACTTATTCGGGGTTAGCTTTCCGAGCATCGATCAGAACGAGATACCAACCAGCCTCACGAGGGTCCCTATCACGTTCGATTCCGGAGTAAGAGAAGAGGGATGCGGGGAGATGAAGTTGATACTTCTGGCAGGGTCCGGCGGCATGAAGCTGTTGGATAGTCAAGGCACGAGGGTAGCGCCGTTTTCAAGCTGGTGCTGTAGGAGACACTTTGACGACTCCACTCTGAGCACGCTCAGGCTCGGAGTGAGCTCGGCTGCGGGTTTTACTCGTTCAAAGGAGTTGATTATGAGTTGACGGGTATACTGGGACTGAAGCTGCGACGGGGCCAGCTTAAGATCAGTTGATACAGCCCTCTTTGTTCTGAGAAATCCTGCCAAGCGAAGTTTCGTCATAGGAAGCCGTAGTGAGGGGCCAACGAACTAGAGGAGGCTTGACTGTGTCCATATTCATGGTGATACCCACGATGTCATTGTTCCAAGGCATAGAGACAGGGAGCAATCTATTGGGACGAGCCGCTTGCTGCAGAACGAAGTTTATCTCGTTGGAAAGCCAATGTCTAGCCAACGATCCCCGAGCCCTTCATCGAACCCATAACTTGACGTGGAGCCAGAAGCAGCAGAACAATGATACAGCATATTCCAGTAAACCAAGTATTTAAACGGAATAGTTATCTAGGTAATGTCCTTAATGTAATACTTGCAATGGTAGACATCACTCATCATGCCTTTGCGATCTTGTCGCTGTAAGTGGACGTGTCTGAGGGTTTCCATGGGCGATTCAAGAAGCGGAGAGCAGAGTTGAGACGGTTCATCTGATCATTGGCAGTCGAATGCTAAAGCTTGAGCTACTTTAACTCCAAGTCTGCCCCTATGGCTCGCAAGTGGGACTGGGGATTGTTCCGTGGTCGTCGCCAACCGAGATATACAACACACAGAGCTTCTTCACTCATCAAAAAGTGCAAAGTGTAAACATACAACACCAGGTGTTCGTTGGTCGTCACCGACCCAACTACTAATCCGGCCCTTAGAAGTCTCTTCTAGATGGAGCGTAGGCAGCTTTCATCGTGATGGCCTTATTAACCTAAAATGGTGGGCATTGCTCTTTGAAACGAACGGAGCGGAGTATAGTAAAACCCATGTAGAGGCATCTTAGACGGTGAACGCCTCTGCCGACGACCCGCCGACGGAGACGGGAATTGTGCCCTTTATTAGGCGTACACTGCTATAGAAGCCTTGAAGGTGTAGTACTTACTTTCCCAGCTAAAGGGCTCTGGTGATTTTTATACACAGCAGAGAATTTTGATATAGTTCTCGAGGCGGCTATACTGCTTGTCCTTAGATAGGAAGTTACCCTCCTGGCTTACTCTGCATCGCTTCCGCCGGCGATAAAGTGCACAACGACATGGCCTTTACTAAGCTAGTCGAGTATTACTAGTGTTTTTGCGGTGACGACAGGGTAAAGAGTGCTTAGCCGTGAGGCGATAATAACGCTGACATTTTTGGTTACCGCCGTAATAGTTGCACCATTTATAAAGGGGTCAAATAAGTTTAGGCCGTAGTCGTCCAAGTTCTTACGAACTATGTGGCCACCTATATATATCCGTTGCACGATATGACGACAACTGCAAGATAACCACGCCTTACACCCCGATCTGATTTCGGCAAGGGGTTCCCCAGTGAGATGTCACCATAACCCCATCGAAATCCAGCACGTTTGATCAATCTGGAAAAGAGCAGCATTTTTCTTGTTAGCTGTTTTGGAGAGCCTCAAGAGAAAGTCTTCGGTTCTTCAGCGCAGCTTGTTGTCGGGCGGGATGCGATCGGTGCGCAGTTACTCGGCGACGCGGCCCCAGACCGGGGCAATTCCGTCGAGATACGCCAACCGGGACCTCACATCAGCATCAGAAACCATAACCAAAGATTGATCAGTTGGTCGTTAGCTTCTGAAACTGCCGGATACATCTATCAGCACCAATTTATCCCGCTCTTCGCCAACACGCAATTCTCAGGATCAGTTCCACACATCCACAACTTGGGGCTAACGTCGGACATGCCCGCACACTTGCAGCCCTGAACGGTCAATATTGGCTGATGGAAGAGGCGGAGTGCCCCCGACGCGGATCTTATCGTGCCATTTTTACTAAAAAATCAACGATTGTGCAAGAGGCAAATTATTATAGTGATTTGTCAACAGATATGGAAACAGAATCCGGGAGCGCGCCTCCGCGGCGTGCAACCTCCCCAACGCCCAAAGTTGGAATTGCCTCAAGAGCGTGCAGTCTACATCGAGGGAAGGAAAAAAGTTATGTCCCAGTTGCTTGATCTGAGAGATTGTTTGTTACTGAGATGTTGTCTAAAGTAACGTTAAACTCAGACTTTGTAACCACATTGGGCAGAGGGTGAGTACCTATTCGGCTTCAACTCTCTGCCTACTCTTCCGGACTTCAACAAGTGACAGCTCGTCAAACGCCCAACTATTATAAACAACACGATGTTTGACCAAGCTTAGTCTTAGGATCAATGATTGAAAATGGATTTTATTGAAATTGCCTTGCTTCGATCTACCCAACTTCCGTGGAAGCCTGGAGCAATGACTTGAGTGTCCTTCAATCGTAGATGAAGGCGACGTTTTGACTTTCGAAATCTATCTTTAATACAGCTGATCAAAGTACCACATAACCAAAAGAAACATGTTCCCAGGAATCCATGGGTCGAGTAGGTTGAGAAGTAAATGAAAATGTGAAGTGGCAAGTGCTAAAGTAGTGATGATGCATCCTTGAGCCCTTCAAGAAAGCCAATGAAACACCGAGGACATCTTTTCCCCTTGTATCCCCAATGGTTGAAACCAAGATGATTGAAGTTCCTGTTTAGGAAGACTTCTTCTTCCAAAGTTGAGCCAGTGAGTGCTTCTTCGGCACCCGAGCCAGCCAGTACAGCGACAAAGCTGCAAACAGATTGAAGATTATGTAGACCCACATCAACCCATACGACCGCCATCGTTTGCCATACGACGTAGAAGTGGTAGCCAAGAATTCATCTGTCGTAGCCAGTGGACAGAATTGGCAGGCGTCGGTACTGTTAGGGTTGAAGACACTGCCGCCGGCCATTTGCATGTACGGCGCCATGTAATCACCACACGCGGTTCCATTTGCCGGACTGAACTGCAACAGCTCGAGTTGAGAGCACTCAACTTTGTTGTGTGCTAGCCCCGTTGACAAGAGACCCTCAACGAGGTAGGTCAAGGGTGAAACGCGGTACATGAACTTCCAGAATCCCGGAAGGGCGTCGATCGGTACAATGACACTGATGATTCGTCAATTCAAGATGCGAAGCAGGTTAGACTAGTGTTTGGCTTACCCGCAAAAGATCAGACACAGGGCGAAGAGTAGGAGAGAAACAGTTGCGCCAATCTCCGCCGTCGGTACACCGGCGACCACCATATCGGCAAAAGTCGACTCAAAGAGCATGAAGGCCCAGATGAGGAGGAACATGAGGCCGCCACGTTCCGTAACCGCGTCCGTTGGGATAGCATTGCGATACATGCCGACGAGATAGTAGAATGGGAAGAAGATCACGATAGCAGCCAAGGTGTTCCAGGGAAGTTCGACAATGATGTTGACCAGCACGAACACGTACCAAGAGTACGCCTTAGAGGCGCGCTCTCTCGCCTCATATTGCTCGCGTTGCAGGATGAAGTTGGGCATCGTCTGGTAGACGAGAAAAGCAAAGACCACCAACAACATGAAAATGGAGAACATCTGACTTTGGAGGCCTTGCATTGTGAGTGGCGAGTTGTAGAAAGACACGCCGATGAACAAACTCTGTGCAAAGTGTTAGTTGGAGGTTCATAAGGTCAACTAATAGGCCTTGAGACTAACCGTGCCACCAGACAGGATCAACTTGGAGTAAATGTACGACGGCGTGCGCCAATACTGTCGGAAGACTCTCTCAGTGCACAATACAAGCTGAACATGGAACGGCGCAGCATAAGTAGACATCTCATCGTGACTTGTCGTTGAACCATTGGTCGCTAACCCCTGCTCCAGACGTTCGAGCTCGCGGCGCATCTCGGCATACTCATGGCTCTCCTTCCAAGTACCGGGCCAATCTCTCTCGGCCTTGGCGCCCGGCGCGGCGCCGATGACTTTTAGCATCCATTCGGCAGGGTTCTCGTCCTGTCCGCAGGGTGTTGCTCCGTACTGCTCAAAGTAGCTCGTGAGCACGCGGGAGTTCTCGCCAATGTCGCCAAAGTAGACTGTTCTCCCGCCGTGTGCGAGGAGAAGAAGACGGTCAAATTGCTGGAATAAGAGAGCGGAAGGTTGGTGGATTGTCACGAGGATGGCTTGGCCGTTTTCGGAGAGCTTTCGGATCAGTGATAAGATTGACCATGCTGTCTGGCTGTCGAGGCCTGATGTCGGTTCGTCGAGAAAAAGGAGGAGATCGGGTTTCGCGGCGAGCTCGACGCCGATGGTCAGTCGTTTTCTCTGCTCGACATTCAAGCCTGGAAACATGAGTTAGCTGTGACTCTCCATGAACGGGATTTAAATATCGGGTTGAACACTGACCTTCTCCGGGCACTCCAACAATGGCATCTGCATAGGCCTCTATCTCTAAAAGCCCAATCACCTCTTCGACATAGTCGTACTTCTCTTGCTTGCTGACAGATGCTGGCTGGCGTAGCATGGCACTGAATTGCAAGGCTTCCCTAACAGTGGATGTCTCGAGGTGAATGTCTTGTTGCTGAACGTACCCAGCCTTTCGCTGGAAAGACTGGTCTCTGGGAATGCCGTTGACCAGAATATCTCCAGTCACCACGCCCATTGTCACTCTGTTCGCTAGGACATCAAGAAGAGTAGTCTTGCCAGCGCCAGTAGAGCCCTTGACTGGTCGTCAGTACAGATCCTTTTCCATAAACGAGGTCCACTTGCCATCAAAGCAGTCAGAGTTCCAGGCTTCACCCATCCGCTGGCTTTGTCAAGAATCCTGCGGTTGTTTCCCTTGATGGAGATGTCATAACAAACGTCTTTCCAGTGGAATACCGATTGGCTCTTGTTGATTGCCGTTTGTTTAACACCGGACTGAGCAGCATGTCCTTCAGACTTTTCGTGCTGGTAAACACGTCCGGATTGGCCGGTCTCCTCGTCGGATGAGTTCTTTGATAGGTTCGGAGCCGAGTGGCCATGCCGGAAGATCAATACCTCGCCCTTAGAGCGGTCTGTGGTGATGTACTCCGCCGCGAGCAAATAGACACACATGAAGAAAACGATAAAGGCAATCAAGATTCCGAAATTCCTGGAAAGAATGTTAGAATTATTCACTTCAAATCTTCATTAAGGAGGGAACAAACCTCCAAATATGAGACTTGTAGTAACTGAAAGTGGCATTCATGTAGAAGTCACCGTCAACAAAGTCTGCACCAGGAGCAGCGCCAGCAACCGAGCATGTCCTCTCATTCGGCTCCGCGTTCGGGTAAGCCGGAACGAACGAGGGACAGGGGAATTGCCGACCGTTGAACTCGTTGACGACCAGGCTCTCGAACGCGTAGGCGATCGGGTTGATGTAGTTGATCCAGCGGAGCCAGCCCTTCATATCGCGGGTAGGGAGGATGAAACCGGTATAGATAACGAGCGATAAGATAAAGATCGCGGCGGGCGTCAAGGCTTGGTGAATGGTCTTGGAGGTCTGGCCGATGGTTCTGATGATCATCGACATTGAGAGAGTGGTGGTGAAACCGAAAAGGAGGAAGATGAAGAAGGCATCGGCCTCTTGGCGGAGCTTCGCCATGAAGTATAAGGGAATGTTGAAGGCCAAGGTCGATAGAATCTTGCTTGGAAGATCGCAGATTGTCGAGGAAATAGCTTCTGAGGCGGGTGATATAAAGCGTAGCGAGCGTGTTTTTCGACAATGGGTCTTTGGACGTATAGCGTGAGGATCTAGACATCGTTATGTTAGTTTACCCGGCTTATCGTAGGCCATATGGCTGCAGAAAAATGACATGCCTCAAGAGCACTGCTGAGTCCATTGAACAAGATCGCAAAGAACAGCAGAATGCAACGAGAGTTCATGCTCGATGCATCAGATGGCAGGTCGAAGAAAATGCTTCCAAGCACCAGAGAAATGACCAAGTTGCCACCAACAGTGACAACGAAGAACAGCCAGTCACCCAATAGACGCTGATACCCACGCGTCATGCAGAGCCATATTTGCATAGGCAGAGAGATGGTATAAGGTGATTGCGGCGTCCTTCTCGACCGTTAGCGAATGATTCTCCCCAGTTCCTTGATTTCCAATGCCGCTTACACAAAAGAGGCTTTGTGGGCCTGGCGCGTCGCGGCAAACTTGTCGATCCCTGAGCCATCGAGAGGATGCTCCTCCTCAAAGGCAAATATCTCCTCCATCAGGCGTGCCCTGACGTCGCTGCTCTTCCACACAGTTGCAAACTCGTCTGATGTTCTGGGAACTCTGTTCTCGAATCCTTTGCGGACCACCCGTTCTGCGGGATTCGTGAGAGACGTGAGGAAGTCGGCGGTGGTTTGACGGTCGGGGCAACGGTATCCCATATCGACGAAGTATTGCTTTGCCAGCGCCGTAGAACCAAAGTAGATCTGTCTACCTTCATAGAGTACCGCGACCTTGTCGAATACCTGGACAAATGTAAGTCAACAACGAGACACAGTGAATTTGTGGCGGAAATACGAACATCATATGCCGGCTGCGAGGCCTGATACATCGCGACAATGGCAGAAGTCTTGGCCATGTTCGTAGATAGCCGCAGAGTCCGAGCAAACTCCAACGCAGTAGCACTGTCCAACCCGCGAGTGCTGTTATCCCAGCACTGGATAGGGCCCTGGCTGAGCGTGACCTCTGCGATACTCACGCGTTTGCGCTCGCCTCCGCTGACACCTGTGAAGACATATTTAGTCGAGGTTGCCTCAAAGTTGTCAGAGGCTCAAGCCACTCACCACGGACGAAGTCGTTTCCAACCTTTGTGTTGATGGTGTGGGAGATACCAAAGACGGCCATAACAACGTCCCGCAAGTGTTCGGCGTATCTCTGCCTGCTGACACCGGGAAGTCGGTTCTTTGGCGTTCTTGCTAGTGAGGCGAAGAGGAGTGTCTGTCCAACTGTGAGGTGGGGGAAGTGGATGTCGGTTTCGGCTTGGTAGATGACTTCTCCTCGGAATCGCTTGTGCATGGTTTCCATTGGGATGCCTGTTAATGGTGCATGATACAGTCAGCAACCGCGAGGTCCTGCATAATAACCTTAATAGCGTCAAAAACGATATTGTCACTGACCTTGATAGCTGAAGTGTGAATGATCCCCCAGATGAAGACCCTGGGTCTCGCCGGCGATCGTCTTGAGCAGGGTAGAGACACCACTGCCGGGACGACCTAGCACCAAGAGCATCTCACCACTCTTGATGATACCGTCAAACTCTCTCAAGATGTCAATCTTTTGGCGACGGTTGCTGAGAGCCTGCTTGATCATCATAGGTGCTTGCCAGAGGACGTTAAGAACATCCTTCTGGTAGTCGGTATCAGTACCGTACCCATGAACACTCAAGTTACGATACGCAACTCCAGCTTCAAGCCTAGGGTAGTCTTCGGGATGGTGGCATGAATGCTGAAGGAGGGCTCGGGCCCATTTCTTGGCGTTGAACTCTTCGCGGCAGCTTGGGTTCAATGATGGATGATCTGATAAGAATGGGTTGATGCCAGGGTCGAGTCTCGATGTGGATCGAATCAAGTCAAGACTGTAAGGCCGGACAAGCTCGTTGATTTGGGCATCGTTGGCTTCAATGTCCATATCATTTCGCTGGTGGTCGTGCTCCCGTATGACTTTGGCGTGCAAGGTGTCATCCGACGGCTTCGTCATGACGTTGCCGCTGTCACGCTGCTGGTGATGCATATTGTGACTTGATTCGATGATTGCACAATGCGCAGATAAGGAAGAAGAGCCTGAAGATCGCAAAAGAGAAGAGGCTAAAGCAATGTCACCCAACGAGGATCATGAGGAATTTATAGCTTGAAAGGCTTCCCAGAAGAGGCACCCTCCTCATTAAAAATAAGTTTCCACAGCCAGCATGAGGCAGACATGTGAAAACAACAACACAGATACGCATTTCCAACGTCAATACACGTATTGTCGGCGAGCTGACATGGGCAGGAAGAACCCGAAAAGCAGGGTCCAGATCACTAGCTTCACGTCACGTTGCCGAAACTAACATCTCGCGAGCCGAGCCTGATGGTACAATTTCCATGATTTGGCTGCATATTGTGCGAATTTTTTTTATGTTAGCCAGCTCGATGGATCAAGTCGGCGCCGAGGAGAGAACTCCACAGGAAAAAGGTCGACGATGTTGATGAGATAGCGGCGCAAAGATCCCGCCCGCAGATCCGGGGATGGCGGCGTCGTAAAGTGGTCCGATGCATGTGTAAAGTTACCCGATCCGGCATCTCGGCGCCGAGGCTCCCTAAATCCCCACTCTCCTAAAAGGCAAAAAAGGAGCCGAGCTCCTTTCAACATGAGCTGAATTGTCTTGGTCCCTCCTCCCCTTGTGAACCAGATCCTCTCATACTTGCAGATCTCGTCTCCGACCTACTCGTCTTCGTCTCTCGGTGCTGTTCTGTTTCTCAGCCTACATTTTCACTTCATCCTTCGCGAGCCGAGAACATGACTGTTGATAAGCCCGCACTCAGTCCTGCTGGTGTTGGTGCTGTGTCCCGAACCCACAAGTCCTGCGATGCTTGCAAGTCACGCAAGGTTCGCTGTCCTAGTACGTGACTCGGGAAAGCTTATTGCCGTTCCTTTCCATCACTCACGAACTGACGGATCAACTTTGACAATAGGCAACGGTCCGCCTGGACCTTGCGCGAATTGCATTGTAAGTAAAGTCAACCGGATTTCCTCCCCTGGCATGACGTGCCCGTTTGCTCACAAACTTTGACCCTGAAAGCGTCGAAAAAAAGAGTGTCGCTTTAGTTTGAAGAGGCTAGCCCATAGGCGCAATGGTAAGCATGAGCAACTGAACATTCACCATACGACTTACCCTTTGAAGAGCCAACACAACATTTGGGCGATTTCCCATGGCGAAAGATTGCAAGTCGCTAAGTGAGCCCTCAGTTGCCGGACAGCTTCTGCCAACAAATTACTCGCCTTCAAGCAATCGAGCACCCAGCCTCCCAGACGCCAAAGCCGTGCTGGACTTGTCGACATCAGATGGAGAATCGAAACCAATAATTCTCCCGGATCGCACATCGCCAAAATCTCCTCCCCACCACATCCAAGAGCTCTACGTTGATCGCGTCCTCGCACAAGCACAGAGACCAAAGACCTCTACTAAAAGAGGCCGGGAGGAAACAGTGTTTGTACCAGTAAGTATCACTAATCAATATTTCAAAATTATATACACTTTTGGAAGCTAACAGAAAATTATCAGCGAAACGGCATTCTTGGTATTGAAGCGCCACATGCGCTCAGTGGCCTGCACGTACTGACAGATCAAGGGGGCCGGAACAGCCTCACGTTCTTCTCCGACAACAGGCTACTTTCCTTGTCGACGCGCCTCCAGAACCAAAAAGTGAACGAGCTTGTTGGGCGCATCTCCGTCATTATTCACGGACGATTGCGTAGCACCGACTCGAGCACCACGAATACTCGGAGGACGCAACCTCCCGACCTGGGTACCGACCTGGGTACCGACAGGGCGCGTGCCGCCTTGTACATCCGCCGTAATTACTTGTCATTGCCCTCTCTGTAGCCTCATTGAATGCGGAAGAAGCTAAGCGTGGTCAGTCTACTTTGAGCGGGTGCATCCCATGTTCCCGTTCCTCGACCGCACGACTTTCGAGACGACAGTGTCAAGTCCCAACTTCCCCAACCTCCTCGAACGGAGCAAGCCATGGTGTTGTCTCTACCACAGTGTCCTTGCTCTCGGGTCCCAGTACGCTGATGGTGGGACGTTCGAGCCTGGCAAGGGCGAGTCGTGGCGGCTGTTCTCTGTCAGTTTGAGTGGCTTTTCGGAGCTCCTGCTGCTTCCTGATTCTCTCACTACCTTGCAAGCACTAACGGCAATGTCAGTGTATGGCCTAGGGATCTCGGGCTTGGCCGTCGAACCTGTCATCATGTCAGAGGCAGCAAGACGGGCTCAGATGATGTCCAGTCATAGTTTCACTGGCCCGACGGCTCATGCTTATCAGAAATCTTTCTGGATTCTCTACGCCGTTGAGAAGATCACTAGCTTCCACTTTGGGAGGAGCTCTGTAAGTAATTGGAGACTCTCCTCCTTGCTACAATAATGTCGCATTTCGACGCATGCACACTTTGATTTCTTACACTCCGTCTGCTAACATTACCAAGGGATTCGTGGACAGCGACATCTCTTGTACTATCCCCGTCGTTCCCGAAGCAACATCAGGAGACTTCAGCTGGTTCCTGCACTTAGTGCGCTTCGCTCGCCTCCTGTCTCGAGCATATACATCGCTCTTCTCGGTCGGCGTGTCGGGTAACTCCGATTCGTATTACCTCGACGTGATTGACCAGTTGAACGGTGAACTCGAGGAGTGGAGAGCAACCCTGCCCGACAATGGCTTCCGGCCGGGTGGAATTCTGCGCCCTCAAATCGTATCCGGTCCCAACGCGAGATCGTTGACTCTCATTCTTCATTATCTCTACTACAGCATGCTACTGACTCTCGCGAGGACCACGCTGTGCTATCTGCCTATCCCTGAAACGCCGGCGGTGACAGCGACAAAGGATGACAAGATGAAGACCATTTTGAATGCATCGAGGGCCATCTTGGAGTTGACTACGATGATTGAGGTTGAGCCATACACGGCCACATGGTGAGTTGGGGACAAACTCCTGACTTCTCGTCTTCTCGCCATTATCACAAGATGGGTGCTGACAGTACTGAAGGGTCCTTGCGGGAATTCCCATCACCGCACTTTTCGTCTTATTCGACCTCGTGATTCATGATCCTCGGCAACCAGACACCGGTATCAATCTGGCTCTGCTCGACATGGTTGCCGGTCACTTTAGTCGGATTGAATATGCCAGCGGCGGCACCGTGCCCGGTTCTTTGATAGCCGAGTTCGCGAAGATTGCGCGGGACTACGTCAATGAAATTCAGCATTCCGAGGCCGGCTTGATGAGTCCTGCGAGACCACATGCACCCACGAATCCTTCCGCGATGCAAATGGTACAGCAGTCATCAGATCTTGATGGCGGAAACAACAAACAACTGGCCAGGCCAACACAAATGACTCTGGATCTATCTGATGTAAGTTGTCGATCCTATATGGTCGTCGTTGGGAAAAGACTTGTCTAATCGTCATTTGTGTCGAAGACTGTGTCGAGGGAGTCCATGATATCCGGTCCGGTGCAACAACCAGGATACACCGACTTTGCTTTCGACAGTGGGATGAGTCAGGTGTCCCCCAGTGCGCTCATGGGAACCGACGTGATGGGAATCTTTAATTATTTCCTGCCCGATCTGGACCCTATGTTTTACCAGGGTATGGCGCAGGAGTACGATCTGCTGCCGCAGCAGCATGGAGGGACCGTCCAGAGCATGGACAAGTGATATGATGCGGACGGGGTCCGATTCTTAATTTCCGTCCGTTTACCAGGCCGGATACAGCATGACCTCTAGTAGTAATATAAGAAGCTAGTATTTTAGGTTGATAAATAACTAGCCCAAATCATATTTATAAACACCTAGTTAATCAATAAGGCAATATATTTTACCACCGGTTTTCAGTCAAGTAACCCACTTTCCGCCCACCCAAAAATAATGTAACAGAACGCTGACAGTGACGCTCTGTGGCAAGGACCTTTAGACTCCGCGACCATGACCAATTGACCCAAAGGACCCAAAAGATCCGTCAGTGCTTGCACGCGTGCAAGCCCTGCTGTCAACACTGCTTATATGCCCTTGTGACGTACAACCATCTGGCTAGGGGAGTTGTGCTGTTACAAATAAGGCCATCACAAATACCACCACTTTGTTCAATTAACTATTAACAACTTCATAATGCCACTATAATACAGCTGCCAGCCTCACTAGGTAGCTCTGATATGCTATTTCTATCTATATCTCTTACAGCGTCACTAGTCTACAAAAGGCCTTTGTTAAAGACTAGATACCTACTAAGGGTACCTTTTCGTGACCCACCACAGCAGAACACACACACCTTCGGTGTCATAAGAAACACCAAAAACATACAACACCAGGTATTCGCTGGTCGTCACCGACCCAACTACTAATCCGGCCCTCATTGGCTTATCTATGGGAGAGCGGACGGGATCCCGAGTTTTCCAATGGGTATGGTCGTATGTGGTGGTTCGTGGAGGTTAGATGGCTTGTATTGGGAGCAGACAGTAGCTCTCGGACGACGCCCGACCTGTCACCACTGCAGTCTCCAGCGTGGTTAGTCCGGATCGATGAGAGGAGGATAATCGGAAATAATGAACATGATTACTTGGTTTTGGCCGTGGGTATTCGGGACCGTGCCTGCTCGTCTCGCAAATGGCAACAGGATGACGGTGAAGCAGCGACATCCAGAGGTCCAATATGGTTGAGGTTCTACACGTGTAATCGTCACATAGAGCTCTGATGAATAGTAAAGTAGAGCTGTATACAACTAAGGCAATCATTCCTTGGTTTCTAATGAGACCTAGCTGTTTGGAACGTGGGTAATGATAATTCAGAGACGATTTCGCTAGATATTGCCAAGCCATTCCGCCGTTTCGCACATATCGGGACTTTCACGTCATCTTGCATACTCCTAACCGTCGAGGCTCTCTTGATATAACAGTCAGTGCGTTTCGCTAGGAAAACATTGGGACATCCAAGAAGTTGGCGTGTAATGGTGTTGCGGTAACTTAATATTCGCATGGGGTTGGGATAGACATAACAAGCCATCTTCTCCAGCCGTATTTGTTACATTACATAGTTAATAAAAAAAGTATAAAAAACCTTTTGACGGTCCTTTTTTATAAACATTTTATGCAACAGAATATTGGTAGAACTCGATGTGTCTTTTGTTTGATTCACATCCCATGTTAACTCGTTTGCTACCAACACGGGTACCTGTTGTAGTTTCTGTTGGCTACACATGCGCACGGCTGGCGGATGAAGTGGAAGCTGTGGTATTTTCAACTATTGTCTCTTAGAAGGCGGTTGTATTTGAGGAGAAACACAGTCACATGAGACTGTATTCGGTTATGTCTCTTCCATTCATGCAGCACGACCGCTTACCAGACTCCAACGTCGTCAGTTAACCAGTATCGAACGATACGCACGAGTTGAATGATGCTCACGCTAGCTCAAGATGCCGGGCCAGTAGTCCTGTATCTCTTCCAATCGCCCCAGAGAAGAGACGTTTTTTAACAATTGCAGGTGACATTGAAGACATCTCTGGACAGTGATAAGCATCGAACGTGTGGACGTGGATGGCCAGCTCTAGGTATACGAACTATTATGCAAGGCATCAAAGACCTCCTCATGCCACACTTGTACCCCCAAGAATCTCTATTCAGCTTCGGCCGTCAGAAAATGTCGCCCAAACTCGTGCCAGCTAGAGGAAGGACAACGCCCGACACCAGGACACTATAGGAGTCAGTCCTCATCAGGAGCCTTGAATCCCGACCATCATGCTCATGAGCCTTAAACGTCATGATAAGCGCATAAGGCACTTCTCCCGTCATCTGCCTCTCTCTCGCCCGACGCCTGTAAAGAATGTCAAATTCTCAGTTTCCAAGTAGATAGGACGGTGAGCGCAACTGGTGCTTCTGGTGTTAGCATCACGCCGATGGTCAGTCTTGCGTACAGCCATGTCAGCCGTACAGCAGCAGCATGATCACCCAAAGCCTCTCTCCAGCGTCGCCCAACAAATCTCCTTAGAATACACGCGGGAGCGTGCAAGGTTATGTACGATGGCGCGTTACGGGTTTCGATTGGTGATCTCAACCAGACTCGGTGCAAGGATATAGTCAACAGTGGACCTCCCATGGGGACCCAGAGTCTCTGATCTTGCCAAGATAACGTGCTCTCTGGACTATGTATTTTGCTCTGCGCAGGCTTTTTTTTTTCTGTGCTGGATGGTTAAACAGGGCCTCTTGTGGGGGTAAAAGTAGTAGCAGATTGCTAGGATTTAGTAGCTGGGTCTATGTGACGCGCCATCAAGGACAGCCAAAAGACCCAACACCGGACGACCGGGGAGACAAACATTGGTCTATAGAATAAACGAGAGCAATTAAATGACAGCATCAAGCCAGCGTCAGCAAGCAGAAAAGAACAGAAACACGACAAAAGCCACCATTCCCTTGAGACACCTCCAATATCAGCGGCATGGATGAAAACATGATTCTTTTTGTCATTTGTCGTTTAATCTCTCTAATGCCTCCCTTAAACTCCAAGGCGATGCGGCCAGTGGATATGTAAACAAAAAAAAAGTGGCCAAGACGAAAGGAGTTTCCGGACATTTCCTCCCCTCCGCCCATAATACCTTCCTTTCCACCCATCGTACGCTTATGATATCTCTTCCTCCCACCATATGCCCCATCAAAATTCCATGCCAGACGCTTACCACGCCTCATCACCTACGGCTCTTCAGAAGCCCCTGCAGATAACTAGAGAAACCCTTTCTGTCCACAGACGTCGACATAGACCGGAGGAAGTCGGACCCGTCGATACCCAGGTGTGGGAACAGTGACGACTGTAGGTGTTGGATGAACATCTCGCCCGTCTTGGTATAGATGGCCTGTTCAAGACCTGCGATTTCGTTGAGGACCTGCTTGCTCTGCGCGTCGTTGTGAGGTCTGAAGTTTGGGTCCTGAAAGACCTCCCAGCAGAGCGGGTGGAAGCGATCGATCATGAAGCGGTCGAACCCGGGAATGGTCGGGTTCGGGGAGCCACTGGGCGCCGAGGGGTTCTCCGCGATCTTTGCGCAGTCGGGGCCACCCCAGACGACAACCATGCGCGATAACACGCTAAAGGCCAGTCTGCTAGGCCCAATGTTCTCTGCCACAAGAGTTCTTCCCAGGGTGAGGACAGAGTTGATCAGTGACTCGAAGAAGCCCTGGTTGGCCTCGCTGATGAAGACCGACTGCAGCTCGTTGTTCAAGATAACCAACAGGAACGACAGGTACTCCCTGCGAAGCTCTCCGAGCTGGATCTCGTCATCGGTGCCGGTAACTGGTTCGGACAGACCGGCAAAGATCCTTTGCAGTAAGGGGGTGAGCAGCATATTCAAGACATTAAAAATCTCGGCCTTGAAACCGAACACGATCTGGTCGAGAAGACGCAAGAAGATGGCCATCTCGTCCTTGGATGAGCTCTGAGACAGGAACCCCTCAATCCACTGAGGAAGCTGGGGCAGCACTGCGGACCCGAGAACGCCAAGCAACTTTGAAAAGGACGCACGGCAAGCAGTGCGGATGTCAGTAGAGCTATTCAGCTCGCTGAGTGCGATCAAGATGGCTTCAGCGGCCCTCGAGAACTCATCAGAAACAAGTTTGTCCGGAGGAGGGCGATTTTGAGCCGAGGTGCTTCCAGGTTGCCAGTCTGAGAACCCGTGGGCAAGTCGACCAAGGGCCAAGATGATATGATGTATTTGAAGAATGGCTTGGGCATCGCCGGATTTTGCCTTTGGTAGATGGAATTCCATGTCACTGAACAGCGGATTCATCACAAGCCGGGCATAGTAAGCCTGCTTGTCTGCCGGTGTACTTCCAGTCGACGCAATGCAGCCAATCGCCTCGAATAGGTAGAGCTGGCTGGTGAACAGGGCGTCGGCGGAGTGGTCAGATTCGTCCGAAGACATGTCATCATCGCCGTTGTTTTCAGAGACTTCGGCCTTGATCGGAAGGAGGTCGCTGATGGACTGGATAACGGTCTCCGCGACGTTACCGACCTGGGCCCTTAGGAACTTGACAAATCTCTGGAAGAGGTACCACGATCGTGTCTTGATACGGACATGGTCGTGATGTACCAAGCGCACAAAGTTCTCCAGTACTTGGGGATGTATTCTTGATGCGCATCAAACACTTGCCAGTACCGGACACTGATTTCCATGTACTGGAGCAAAATGGCGGGGTGAGGGAAGTTGGCAATTCCTGTTTCGAGTCAGATTTCGTCCAAAGGGTAAACAGAAACGTCACTCACCGGACTCGACCATCTTCGTCACCATGATGGTCAGTCGTTCTGTTGCTGTGCTAGAGGGTTGGCTCTTGGTACCCAACCCATGGTTCGGCAGCGCAAGCTCGCCAAACAGATACATCTCGTGGAGCGCCAGGTCGAGGTCCCTCCAGTCCATCTGGGACCCTTGTTGGTCGAGGGTGCTGAAAGTTTGAGACACGAGGTTGCTCAGAACCTCAATGTAAAGCTCCTGGTCCACGGCCGCAACGGTCTTCTGGAGAACCTGCAGTCGCTTGCGCAGCTCCTGGAATTCGGCCTCGTCCGTCTGCTCGTCCTCGTCGCCCCAGTTCGAGGTCTCATCGTAGCGCATCTTCATGATAATGGCGTTGAGGATAGGCGGCAGCATCTCCTTGTAAGAAGCGGGAAGGTTGGCGCCGACCTTGCGCAATAATGTGAGGAGGTCGGTCAGCGAGGGGATGACAGTCGAGCAGACTTCGTCGTACTCGTCAGAGAAGAAGCGGAGGAGGAACGGAAGAAAATCGTGGAGATGCTGCTCGGACTTGGCTCGGGTATCGTCATTGGCTTGTCCATCCTCAAGAGCTCGCACAATATCCGCCATGACGGTGTTGACAAGCTTCGCAACGGCCTCGGCGAGATCGGTGTCGTATTGGGGGGTGGACTTGAGCTCGCTAAGAGGGGCGCTGGCAATGAGCTGGGCCACAATATCGCGCAGGTTGAGGAAAGAAATCAGCTCCATCTTCTCGGGGCCTCTCATCTTCTTGCCGACAATCTCGGTAAGGGTGTCAATGGCGGCGTCCCTGACCTTGTCCTCACTGCCAGAGTTGTTTGTCCGCCCAATGACGGGAAGCAAGAGGTTGAGCATGTCTTGGTTCACTATCAAGGAGATGTCCATCCAGCTAATCCATTTGCCAATGACCTTGAGGACCATCTCAACAATGAGATCGTTCTGGCCCGAGTATTGCGCTAGCAAGTCCTTCCAGGACTGAGCAACCTTCTGGACGTCGCGCGCGCGTAGCTGGTCCTTCAGGTCGGTATTGCGCTTCGCATCGCTGCTGTTGCGCGTCAACAGCATGTCGGCGATCTCGTCGTGGATCGAGCCAATGATTCGCAGGTAAAGGACAACGCCGGCCGTGTTGTTGGGCCTGCTCGCAATAGCGAGGAAGTCGTCGATGAAGGTGTCCCAGCCATCGTTGTAGAGGAAGACGAACAGGTAGGTCAGTGTTTGTGACAGCTTGTTCTGGAGACCGGCCTGGTCGACCTGGTCTTGCAGGGTCTGGCCGTAGATATTGCGGACGTATTCGAGGAGATTGTCCTTCAGCCACGTGAGACTGCCGCGGTCGAGACCTTGGGTATGGATCGCATAGTTGACGACTTCTAAGCAGAAGAGGCGGACCACGTCGGAAGGCCCCTGTGGTCTGGTGAAGAGGCTGGTGCAGACCTGCCAGGCCTGGGGGTCGGCTCGCAGCTGGTTCAGATAATCGAAGGCTTGTTGCTGTAGGTTCTGGTTGCTGGTGGGGTTGAAGGCGGCCTCAACGGCCTTCTCGATCTGCGTGACACATGGTTAGCTCCCGTTGCAGCAGGACAGCTCCCATTCTCTCCCATATCATCATCGGTTCAGGATCCCGTAGCCAGGGTATGCTACGGTCGGCCGAGGCTCACCGCAGTCGGTCCATGCAGGCAGCGGTGGGATGGGTGACGATAGAGGCTGGGATGGCGGGGCAAAGGCCCGACAATTTTGTGCAGACCGACCGGCGCCGCACGGTAAATCGCATAGGCGCTGCAAACGTACCTGAACGTCCATATTCAAGACGGTTTGGCCCACGGCGACAGAGCTAGGACGGCGGAAAAAGGATCAAGGGAACTTTTAAAGCGGAAGAGAAGGAGAGGGGAAAAAAAAAGCGGCTAGTTTTTGCGGTATCGAAATGCTGCTATAATCCTGGCAGCCCTCCAAGCTGTGCATTCAGCATTCTTGCTTGACGTAAAAGCGGCGACGTAGTAGCTACCGAATTCTCATGGCCCGGCTCGGTTTGATAAGGTAGAACAGGTAGGTAGGTAGGCAGCCTGGGTGCAGTGAGATCGATCGGGCTGAGTTGGGAGATTGTACACGCGAGGGGTACTTTGGTCGGAGACGAGAGAGAGCCAACGTCGAGGTCGAGATGCAGAGCCAAATAGAGGCGAGGTACCAATATTCTGAAGCGACCGTAGGTAATAGGTTTAGTCTCTCGAGAATGGCGATTGGAGAACGGAGAAGAGAGAAAGAGCGGGAGAGGGAGAGTGGGAAGAAGGTAGGTGGTGCAAGGCTGAGGGGATATCGCAGCAACAGAGCAAGACTCAGCGGTGGCAGGTGGTGTCGGTCGTTGTCGTGGTCCGTTGCCTTTGTGTTTTTTTTCTCTCTTCTCCATTCACAATCCCAAAAGTCGGTGCAAGTGCGCACCTCAGTCTCGTGCACAAGTGGGGTCAACTGGTCTGTGAGGACAGCATGCCTGTCCACTGTCAGGTTGTTCAGTGTTGTATTTTACTGAAGACCCGAAGCTAATTTTAATGAGGGGCCAAGCATAATTCTCACCTCCCACCTCCCACCTCCCACCTCCCACCTCCCACCTCCCTCTCTTTCTCCTTGGCCTCACGGGCAGGCACCAGGACCAGCGCAGCACCTGCCGTCTTTCGCTGGCAAGGGCGGGGTTCCTGGCTTGGTGTGATACCTCTCTATGTAGAGACCTTACGTTATTTCCCGGCCAATTATCGGCCAAGTCGTCCCTTGTTTTCCGTCGTGGTATCAACACATGAGCCGGAAAATTCGCCTTGGCTTCTGGACCTTTCCATAGCCCACATCCGGAATGCCCATCCATGACACAAAGCAGCACCCCGCCCGCGAGGTAAATGCTTTTGGTGACGATATTGGTGTCCAAACTGCCCCTCACCCCTCATTTTGTCCATTTCGGCCGTGTGCGTCCCCCTTTCCTTGAGTGATCCAGGTCAGCCCTACTAATATACTTCGCCAACCCCAGCCAGCTCTTTGGTTGTGTTCGTCTATTGTCGATCGTTGTCTGAGAAACCAACCCCGGCGTGATTGCAAGTTGCATGGTTTCTAAAAACACTCAAGTCATGCTTGCAGGATAGAGGCGACGTCAAATACACGACTGCCATGTCCAACTCTGCAGAGCAGTTCAGTACTCACAAGGCCCATGGCATAGGAACTCAACTACACTGCACTCGCTCTCATTCGGATCAGATGGAAATGTTCTGCCGGGCTTCGTAAGGGCCCCACGTCATATACAGGAGATAGGCTCCTTACGCCTTCGACCATTCGGAAATAAATCATCCCAACGCCTACATAATTTGAAATGGACGGACAGCAGCTTGAGAATACAATTAAGTCCGTCGAACAAGTGCCACGCCCTGCAAAAGCCGTCTCCACCCGTTTGAGCGTCTGGTGATGTTTACAATAAGTAAATGTTTCGAGTCTCTGGAGCAAACAGCCACTCAGCAGACGCGGACTCCGCACACCTCGACCCCCTTGCCCTCAATGTAGGGTTTCCGGTCAAAGTACTTGGCCATGAGCTCCTTGACGAATTCCGCATCATGTGCGTCCCAAACGTCCAGGCCCATGCTCTCAAGTGCATCGCTGCCAACTCGTACAGCGCTGCGCTCTGACTCGCTGTCGGACCGAAGAGGAACATCGTCTGCGTCCTGATCCCCCTCATCGTCGTCGTCTTCGTAGCGATCGCTCGAGCCCTCGACGAGATCCCCCATCACCGTCAACATTTGCGCCGTTAATCGGTGAAAGTATGCGATGACGGCGAGCTCCGTTCTTGCTTCATCGTCGTCTGGTCCAACAGCCGGCCGCGACACGACGGACCCGATCGAGTCGGCCATGCCGGCCGATGCCGAGGACCGAGATTTCGGAGGCTTCGACATACTCGGGGTGTGGGGCGTCAGTCCCAGGTCTGCCAGCAATGCCGCATCGTGCGCCGCCTCTTCGTGCTCCTCGCTCCGTGCCTGTTCGCCGGCACTCGCCCACCACATGAACCCACTGTATGCCAGCGCTGTCCAGCTCGGTGGCTCGACGATCTTGTCCAAGGCCTCGTCGTTCTCGAGGCTTGGGGCAGGGAAGGCGCCAGTAGTAAGCTTGAAGCCTGCCGATGTGTCTGATCTAGGGCTTTCCGCTGCCATCGGCTTTGGCGTAGTTGCTGTCAGCCTGGCAAGACCAGATTTCAAAGCGCGGAACCTTCTCAGATCCCGTTGTGTTGCTTTGAGAGGTACACCGCGAGGATATTCAACTGTGGGCCACACCTTTTCCTTGGCATTGGGTGCATAGGGTGGGGGCATGGTGATGAGCATGTCCCAGAGGGTGTCTTTCATGGCAAGAATGCTGTCGGTCGTACAGGCAATCCAACCAGAACCAGACTCATCTGCAAAGTCGTCGTTGCTGCCGACCTTTCGCCGCTTCGAAGCCTCAAAATCTTCCATCAAGAAGGGAATATCGTGGACTCCGATAGTGAAAAGGGGCCTGAGGCGTTGCGAGGATGATGTCGGAGCCAGTAGCTCCGTTACTGTTTGAGGAATGTTTGAGAGGACAGAAATGTTGTATACTAAGGTATTGTCAGTGTAGGCCCCAGTGTCGAGATCATTTCAACGCACCAAAATTGCAAATCTCACGCACTGGCGCATGGCATGAGATTAAGATGCGCTTTCGCAGCAAGGCCGCCCTGTGAATGGGGAAAATAAGAGGCCCAAAGGTATCCAAGAGGGTCGTCAGGCTCCAAGCTGGATGGTAAGGGGAGAGTCGGTGGCCGGACGGTAGCAGGGAAGCGCCGTCAGATGCAGAGCGACTCCGGTTGTGAGTAGCTTTTTTGGGTTGGGCGGCTTGGGCGCTGAAACTGACGGACGGCGACTCCATCGCCGGCCGTTCCTGTTCAGCTCCTTCTTTGGCCTTGTTCTTCTCCCAGTATGCATCCAGAAGGCCGGTATTCTTGCGGTCCTCGGCGAGTTTTCTGACAAAACAATCAATACGGGCAATGGCTGTGTCGTGCTAATGTTCACTTACGATGCAATGTCCTTCAAGCCCTCGGCATGCCTCCATGCCCGGCCAAGGCGGCCATAGCTGAGGGGAACCAGAACACCAACAGCAATCATGCGCGCATGGCGCGCCTCCTCCTCATCGCACGGCGTGTTGATGAACGCGCTCAACCCGGCGTGTTCCCCATCGTGAACGAAGTATATCAGGTCGTCGGCTACGGTGTGAAGGCCCGATGGCAGACTCTTGTACTCGACGAGGCCCTCGAGCTCGATCCCGGGTGCAGCCTGTTTCCAGACAATCGTGTACCCAGCCTTGACGTCGAAATCGATGAGGAAGAGAGCGGCTATGGGAGGCAGTTCGGGCTGCGCATTGCCCGTCGGCAAGCGGACAGAGAGGGGGGGTTGTGCCCGGCGGGAGGGCATGGTCGGAATTTCAGCGACTCGAGGTCATCCTACGGCAGGAAAGAGATGCGCCGATGGCGGAGCGATAGTCTTGTAGACGTTGACTTGTATGTGCAGCGAAGGAATGACAGTCGACGGCGAGAGGATGTTTCGAAGAACGAGCTCACGGCGATTGGTGATGCGCTCGACGATTGTCGTGCGATCAAGGTTGCGAAGCTCTTCGCTGTCGGGCAACAGTCACCGACGCCGAGCCCAGGCCCCAGGCCCCAGGCGGACGCGCCGGGATTTGGGTTAGTCAGCAGAGTGTCACTATTGCTTATCGATAAAGATCCCTGCAACGCAGCGCGCACGGGTACCTTGACTTTAGGGATTCACTCTAGGTACCTTGGCCATGGTAACCGTATCCTTTGATCTATATTAATGAGGCTCATGAGCTTCCGAGTGACTGGGAGGGCTTGGTAGTCCTTCCTGAGATTGAGGTGGAGCAGGCAAGGTGTCTCAAAAGCACTCGAGTGTCTGGCTTAGCCGTCACGAAGATTGCACCTGTGGACGATGGAGTGGCTCCAAGACACAGGCAGACGGGTTGAGTTGCTGGGAAGCCTGCCTGTCTGTGTCTGGCCCGCTGCCACATGCTTTTTGGCGACATTTGGGGAAAGGGAAGAGGGGAAGCCATTGGCCCCACCAGCATTTCTAACCTCCCCGTCAGGGAGACAGTGACAGACTGGTTGGTGGTGGGTGGGAGGATGGAAGAAAGGCACCGTCCGTCTTCTTGCTCTCGCGCGTCTCTTGGCCTGTCTTACGAGTTCGTCCTCAGCATTTTTACACGTGCCAGATGCACCAGCTAGGCCTGTCTCCATCCAATTAGTCTCCCGCCCGGTCTCGTCCTGGTTCCCCAACAGTAAGCCAGCTGCCGCTCCAAAATATCGACTAAGAAAGAGTCGTCTCAAGATCTGATGTCTGTCTGTCTCTACCCGCCCCCCTCTCTCATCAGGTGTCCCGCTCGTCCGCTCTTGCAGCCAGCACATGGTATACCTACAGACCGCATGATGACATGTGCTAGGGGCCTATCGACGGGACATCAGATCCGATGTGGTCTAGCGTCCACAACGGTCTGAGCCGGCGTTGGAAGTTCCTGAAGATGTTCCGTCTCAACCTCGCAGTTACACGGCTTGACAGCCTTGCTGCTGCTGCTGCTGCTGCTGCTGTTGCGCACTCAATGCCGCACAGCACAATCGGCCGCAAAAGATGTCGGCGGTACCGGACAGCGACCGTTCTCCCGGCGTTGCTGCGCGTGGGCCGGCAACATCGGCCAATTGCTGATTGTTTCCCAACGACTTGCACCTGGGGGGCACTGGCATCTCCCCTCTCCCCCAAGGAGAGTTTAAGCCATCCCACCAAAAAAATATTCTCTGGGATGGACCAGGACAGGGAACCCCACACCTCTTCCTGACCTCGACCCTGCTGGATTGTGCGACCCAGTTCACGACCCATGACCGACGACCAGGGCCGCGACCGCCCCCCCTTCGCCAATCGAAGAGCTTGCGGTGTGCGGTCTAGGTGCAGCAAGTGCAAGTGCAGTTACAGTCGCAGTCCTGCCACTTGGCTTCCGTTTCCACTTCTATTTCCTCTCGCCGCCGCAAGGTACTTCTTTCTGCTCATCGGTCCGGCCACCAACACCGATTCTCTTACATCGTCATTGCGCGACTCTCGTCAACTTTCTCTCCCTGAGACACACCTCCAACTCACACATTGCGCGACTCCCCCGTAACATGTGTCTTCGGGAGCTGTAGCCTTCACCTCTCCCCGTTCTTCTCTCGCTTCGTGTTGCAATCTTCCTCCCCAAAGTCCTCCGATTTGTTGCGCCGCTTCGCCTCGCCCTTGTGACGATCTTTCGTTCCACTGCCTGAACCCCGCGTTCGAAGCTCCCTTCTCAACATATCCGCCCTGAGGCGCGCCGCCCCCCAAAGAAGCTAAACGCCCACCGTCCCGGCTATCATCTCTTTCTCCAAGCTTCCGCGCGCCTGTCTCCTTTTACGCCAGCTGCCGCCGCACCGACCAGGCGCACATTCACCAGCCATGTCGGCTTTTCTAGGCTACATCTTCTCCTTCTTCAAGGGTTATGCCGCCCTCGTCATCGCCCTCTACATGCTGTCCTTTGTCATCCCGAAGGCCGCCTTCGCCGCCCGCGTCCTCGCCTCCTACATCTCGTTGGCGTTGGCAGCCGGCTGGGGTGTCTTTGCCTCCATCTTCTTGCGCCTCATCGGCGAGCAAGGCATTGCGCAATGGATGACCGGCCGAGCTTTCAGCTACCTCATGGCCCTTACGACGGGCATCACCTTCGAGGTCATTGATCCCAAGAACGTCCTCAATACCACCCGCCCGGCCGTTTTTGTCGGCAACCACCAGACTGAGCTCGACGTCCTCATGCTCGGCGCCATGTTTCCCAAGTACTGCAGCGTCACCGCAAAAGCCTCGCTCAAGAAGACGCCCATCCTTGGCTGGTTCATGACCCTGAGCGGCTCCATTTTCATCGACCGCAAGAACACCAAGGACGCCAGGGATGTCATGTCTGGTGCTGCAGACCAGATCCGCAAGAGGAACCAGAGCGTCTATATGTTCCCCGAGGGCACTCGTAGCTACGCAAAGGACCCCGTGCTGCTGCCTTTCAAGAAGGGCGCCTTCCACCTCGCTGTCCAGGCCGGCGTGCCCATCGTCCCCTGCGTCGTCGCCAACTACAGCCACGTGCTCTGGCTCAAGGGCCTCGTCTTCAACTCTGGAAAGATCCCCGTCAAGGGTAAGTCATGGGTTCCCATCTTGATCTAGTGAGTGGTAACCACGTGCTAATTCGAAATTACGCAGTTCTCGATCCTATTCCTACGACTGGTCTGACCGCTGCCGATGTCGACGAGCTTACCCGCAAGACCCGAGACCTGATGTTGGAGGAGCTCATCAGCCTCACCGAGAAGGCCCAGGGCAGACCTTTGAAGGTCGCCCACGATGTCGCTTCTGCGAAGACGACCGGCACCGACGCTACCACGGATACCGTCTCGGCTTTGTGAAGTATCCATACTCTACAAGAGGTTGAGAGCCACAGTATCAGACGAAACGGCGAACTGGAGCCTCCCTTAGACAGGGAAGGCAACTCCATGTAAGCATACAAAACTCGCGTCAAGACCGGGTCCGATAGCAACATTCCCATCATAGAGGGTGGCTTCAAACAACAACAAGTCTGCATGGTTGGGTACGGGTAGGGTAGATTCGGGAGGGGGCATTTCTTGATACCCTATAGACCGAAAGCACTTACATTTTCTCTCTCCGCTCTGTTGGTCTATATTTCTGGCCTGCGGGGCCGCGAGAAACTAGAGGTTTGGCATGACACGTAGATGAACACGGCGTGCAGGCAGCAATCTTTGTTGAATGGCATTCAAATTGGTTTCTTCATGCGGTTTCGTTTGTGAGGGCTTTGAAACACGGCGCTTCATCCGCTCGAGACCGCAATTCTGGTGGCATGGTGAATTCGATGTCGCCTGATCTTTGATTGATCCGGGCCAGTCGAATTAATAGTCATGTTGCGCCCCTTAGCAGAGGGCCGGTGTGTGGCTGTGGATGGCTCGGTGGCGCGGATAGAAAGGCAGAATAGCCATGCAATCATCGGAATAGTGGCGCCAAGTTGCTGTTGTCTGCATTCGAGACAATAACGCAAGGTAGTTGGTAATCATCGCAAGGCCCCCGGATCGACAGTGGACTGGTCTTCAACCGTCATAGAGGTCATGACTGTAACAATGAAGCCAATCTATTCATTTACGCGTTGTCTAACTCATGCTTGTGTCATTATTTCCATAGCCCTGGCCATCCTGCCAAGTCCAAACGTACAGCAATTTCGAACCACCAATTCTCCAAAGTCTCATGTATCCGAAGAGGCCTGAGTCAAGTCGGTGTTGATAATCAGGTCGTCTTTTCCCTTCAGATGCATGACAATAGTGAGCCCCTCGACACCCAGATCACAGTTGTCATCCGAACTGACGTTAACCCCAACGTCCACACGATCGGAACTATTGCGTCGTTCTTGTGACACGATCTCCGCTTTTAGCTGCCGCACTTCGGCCGTCAAGTTCAAGTATCGTTCCTTCCAGGAACACGTATGGTTAGGCGGCATGATGGGCATGGGGCTGACGACCTCGACCTCACCAGTGTAGTTCCAAGAAGGCTCTATACCGGCTTGTTCAGCGCTGTCGACAATAGTCTCCTCGGCTGCAAGCGATCCTAAAGTAGAATTTGCATCCTCGTTAGTCTGAGAAACGTGTGTTACTGATTCCACCTTCGACGTTGTTATGGTTCTCGAAGTTGATCTTTGAGAGCTTGAAACTTGGATCTTCTCCAGGCGCTTCTGCCTCAATCTGTACGTCTGGTCATTCTGGTCCTCATGTTCTGCATTACTTATCCCTTTGGATGTCTTTATGAGAATTTCTGGAGTTGTTTTGATTTCATCAGCGAGAAGGAGTGATGGCGAAGGCGTCTCGTGACGACAAGTCAGACAGGTATCAGTTCGCTTGCGGTCGCCGCAGTTTGCATTCGCGCCATGCTGTCCACTGGGAGAATCCGCATCCAGCGCTTGGATCTTTCGAAGCTGCGATCTCCACAATTCAACTTCGGCGGACTTCTGGCCCTGAACTTGTGGTGTCATGTTTTCTCCCTTCGGTACCCGGCGCAAGAGTTTCTTCATCCACAGTAATGGCTCCTTGTTGGCTTCATGTGTTGTCTTGTGGACCACTTTCTTTAGCTTCGGCCACTGTATTACCGGCTCACTTGTCACGGACCCGTGCTGTTCAAATGTGTTTTGTAAAAGCTGGTTGCTGCTTCTTGTGCTGTGAAGTGATACCGCAGATGCTGGAGGTGATGCCTCTGGTTCCAACGGAGACATGACGGCGGAACTGTTTGAGTTTGGGTTCTTCAACAGAGGCGTACTTTTGGTCTCCATTGCAGCCAGTCTACTCTTCATCCGATTGGGACTCTGCAGCCAAGACGGCGAACGAGCGAGCCGGCTCCCTGCAAGCACAGGAGTAGACTCCGAGCCTCTCTTCTTGATTGGATCCACATCAAAGGACTGCGACCTTTCCAGTTCGTGAACATTCAAGGCCCTAGTGCGCTCAATACCCTCAGTAATGGCCATGTCAAAGCTAATTTGTTTCTCTCGGTTGAGGCCGTAAGTGTCAGCTTGGGACGCCATGTGTTCCATGGAGGGTGTCGACAATTCTGTTGCCCTCAAGACATTATCCTGAGAGGGTTGGGTTTTCCCTTCAATCGGAATGAAGCCTGCGGTAAGGTGCTCCATGATGTGTCGAGCACGCCTGAGGTCTTCGGTGTGGTGGTACATCTTGTCAATCTTGTCCTGGACTGGGTCGGTCAACGAATGATGTGAAGGCAATTGGTTCGAGCCATCCATCTTCTCCGAAGAGGCCTGCTCTACGATGCATGCAGTGCGGTGACAGCCAGGGTGATGGCCGGCATGAGTGACATAGCATCTGGGATTCCTATAGTCTCCGTGCGTCTCCCCGATGCTCGAGTCGGTCTTCTTAGGCACGCAATCTGATAGTCTCGATGCCTGTCCTGCCCGGACGTTTGTGTCAGTGATCTGAGGCTCGGCCGCAGTGGTTTTGATTATTCTGTCTGCACGGATAAAAGGATTGTCCTTCAGGGTAGTTAAAGTGGGCGTAGCTCCCTGGTTCGCCTGAGAAGCTTCCGCAGCCTTCAAAGTGGATGAAAATCGAGCGTGCTCTTCGGTAACCGTGTTACTTTCGCTCATCAGGGTTCTTTCCTGCGTGATTTCTGCGTGCTCAATATCAAGTGACTCCTTGTCGTCTGATATCTCGCTTGCACATTGAGGGCATACCGCATGCCCACACGTGTTGCAAGACGTTCGGGATGTAACTTCAGCTCCACAAGAGTGACAAATGTTGGATACGTACCGTGGAATGCTGTTGGTTCCATCTTGGTGACGTGAGAAGTCCTCTCCTTCGTCATCAGAGAGCCATCCAGACGGGCGAGAGATGCCAAACTCTGCAAAGATATCCCGAGCATGACGTCTTCGGATGGTTGACGTGGTGAGTTCAGTTCCCCGAGAGTAGCTCGAGAGAGCAGACTGATTGGAGAAGAGGCGGAACTGCTCTGGGTGTGATGAGGAATGCATTGAAAGTGTGGGTCTTATGGGATGTCGACTCTGTATCTTGCTTGGTCGTGGCCAGAGGCGGCCTGTCAAGGCGGTCTGGCGAAGTTGTGGGAGACCCAGGTTTGTCTCTTGTGGAAGTGTCAGATAGCCTGAGTGCTGCTGACACAAGACGGTTGTGGCACCTTGGCTGCTTCCCTGAGAGCCTCCTTCCTGCCCCCAGCCTAAGAACGAATGGTCTTGAGACGGAGCTTGGGATTCGGCAACCAGTGTGTTACGCGTTGCTGGCCTCGCAAAGATGTTGTTGGTTCGCTGACCCTAGCCGAACCAAGTACTCTCGCGTTCTCTCGTATCTAGAGGCGATGGCTTGCGGCCTACTACGCGAGTGGATGGTCGCCTCGTGAACTTCTGGCGTCTCGCCGACACTAAGCCCTCTGGGATGTCGCCATGGTCGGGCAGCACGATTGCAACATCGGCACGGGAAGGGCGGCAGCTGTCAACGAAGGGATCTTCCATATCAGGAGACAGTGGGTAGTGATTATGAAATGCTGTACAATGCTGGGATGAATGTAAGATGGTATTGTGATGGATGGGCCGTGGGCGTATGAGAAACAATGCTCCGTGACGGGCGATGCGGAACATTACCTAGGGAAGAGGATTTGCCTCAAGAGAGGTCAGGATAAATACGTTTTGGGGAAGTCGGGAGACTGCAGATAGGCAGGGACCGCCTCGCAGAAAGTGGACAAGACCGGCCGAGGTCCTGGCAGCACGAGTACCATCACAGGACGGAAGGGCCACCCCATACATGTAGCAAAATGCACGGCATGCACGAAGCAATGTTGGAGGGAGAAGGAACGCTAGAAAACGTCGCAAGTGGATTCAATTATGCGATGTTAGATGAGTTAGGGAATCCGAGTCTTTTGATGTACAACGTCATGTCACCCACGACCTTCTTTTACACTCTATTTCAGGGCAGCCTGCAGGCTCTCGAGGACCTGAAAAACAACTGTCAGCAATTGAAGAATGCAGACTACTGCTCGTGAAAACTAACCTCCAACTCAATCTTGGCCTCGGCGATATCCTGCTCGCTTCCGCTGCCGGAGGCAACCTTCTGGGCCTCGGCGATCTGGGACTTGACAGCCTCGGCGCTGAAGTCCTCGATGGGGTATCCCTCGGTGGCGTTGATGCTGAGGACGGAGTTGGGCTGGACAACGGCGAAGCCGCCGGACACTGTAGACAACATTTCCCGTCAGTTTTCTCACTCTTGTCATCCCTTGGAGGGCTGGTTATGATGTGACGTACGGAAGAACTGCTTGCTGGGGCCGCTCTCCTCGATAACCTCGACCAGGCCGGACTTCAGCTGCTCGATGGCGGGAACGTGGTTGGCGAGAACACCCATCTCGCCGGATTCGGCGGGGATGTTCACCTGGACAACATCCTGGGACTTGTAGATAGACTGCGGTTGCGGCAATTAGCTCCAATCCTTCAATTGACTCCCCCGTCGCGCCGAGTTGTTGTCATCGGCTCGTATCTCGTTCAATGGGCTCGTAAAACCCTGCATTCGTACCTGGTGAGGGAGCGACAAGCTCAGCTTGATCTGCAAATTGTTAGCGGGAGTTCGGGGGCCGGCTCGGAGGATGCAGGGCGGTGCTTGCCTTGTCCGGGACGGCATCTGCGTAGGTTCTGCGCTGGAGAGGAGCGCGGATGGCAGCGGGGCGGGCTCGGAGAGCCGCGCGCGCGAAGCGGAAAGAGTTCATGATGGGCTGAGCTGGCAATGGGGATGTGATGCTGAAGACAGCTCGGGTGAGGTCGCTGGCAGGAATCTTTCGGCTGAGTCCATTCGCGATTCGGCTAGCGGGAGAAACTTTGGTCACGCCGCAGAGCACATGACCCGCTGTGCACGGAGCAGCACCGTTTGTTCATAACAAGCTCTTTGTCGAGGCGAACACGCATTGGTACATTCCCCCCCTCCCCCCCCCCAAATCATATATGCATCTAAGCAGCTCCATAGTACCTGTCTACAGCGATCTTGACATCGCCTACTTGAACGACATGACACTAACGCTCCGTTTACCCGTGATGATTTTATTTGCTCAAGTCATTTTCCACACTCTAAATCCGAGTCTTCGTGAGTCTGGCTATTGCCTTCAACGACGGATTCTTGAACTCACCGGGAAAGCACCTCGTGTTCAACTTCACTCGTCAAATTGAAAAACTGGGCCTGCTGAGTAACCTTCGCGGAAAGTACAAGAAAACACCCGTCAAGATGGCAACTTAGAGCTCGTCCTGCTGATACAAGAGCTCTATGTGGAGAATTTAATTGCTATTGATGAACATTTTAATGACTGACTGGCTGAAGCCGATGGCTTGAACCCAAGGGTGCTCGGACAGCCGCCGTCTTCTTTCCAATATAATTCACCTAACTTTGTTAAATAACCACATACGACCATACCCATTGGAAAACTCGGGATCCCGTCCGCTCTCCCATAGATAAGCCAATGAGGGCCGGATTAGTAGTTGGGTCGGTGACGACCAGCGAATACCTGGTGTTGTATGTATTTTTTGCGTTTTGTTTGATTTCATCCCGCTGCTGGTGAGGGGAGGCTTGTCTAGAAGAGCGGATTCCCCTACTGACTAACCCTTACGCCGTTTGATAGGTCAGCCGTCCGGCCATATAGCGTTGACTATTTGCTTCTTTTATTCTTTTAACAAAAAAACGGCTGTGACTCCTGTCCCCTCTCAGTCCTATGCGGCTTAACCCCTTCACCCCTTTCTTCTCTTGTCATTCACCATTTTCTTCTTTCTTTTGTGCCTCGCGGCTTTTCGGTGGTATTTCTTTTCTCTAAAGCATATTGGTTCTACCTTCTTTCGACTACCTACGCAATATGTCACACCTATCATTTAACCCATTAAGGTATTGATTTATTGCTATGGTTTAGAATACCAACGTGTTAGTTAGAGATAACTGTTATTAGTATTATTATCAATTGATGGCTTTGCAAAGAGAATGTTCTCTTCAAACAAGTCTTCGTCATAGGTGATGCCGACTTCAATAGGAAAAGCCGCATCCAATGTAGGCAACACCGAGTATGAGGAACGTGCAATTCGCCAACATATGTAAGAATCACCGTCTAGTGATGGGTTGCAGCCATAAGCAATGTTGTACCTGAGTGTGGTGTCGCTTTGGTCGGTATCGGGCCACTGGCATATCCTAAAGGCCAGTCTGGCTGCTGCTGCCACAGCAGGTATTTCTATCAAGCCGCCAACAATGGGAATTATTTGATTGATTAATTTTGTGATTGCCATGTATTTGTTTTCCCGTTGCGACGCAGCGTTTTAAGGATGTCAGGGTTCTCATCCTTGCCCCTGACTGTCGAGGCTTATACCCCCACCCTTTAGCCCATCCGCTGGTGCATACGCCGTCTACCTATCTCATCACACGGGCTAAAATGTCGAGTGTACTAGACTTGAGCTTACCATTAAGTAACCTTGCGTTAACCTCCTTAGCTGACTATTTCCCCCCAAACTTGCTTAGCCTAGATCGAATCTAGTCTAAAGCTTTCACCCAACACGGCATGCAATACCCTTCTTTCCCCTTCACCCGGGGTCGATCTACGACCTGCACTTCCCCATATACCTCGTCCATGGCCTTATGCCTTATGAACATGAATCTTAGCACCAAGATTGCCAAACTGACCTTGAACTCGGCAACCGCCATCTTATAGCCGGGACAGCTCCGTGGCCCGATTGAGAAGGTCATCAAGTGGCTCCATCCAGGCAATTCTTTCCTCGCCTTTTCACCATCACCCGTCACGGTGCGTGGCAGCCCGCCATCGTAATACTCATGCTCGGGATCCTCGATCCATCGCTCCGGCCTGAATAAGTGGGCTGTAGGTCCCCAGAACCGCGATGACACATTGACCCATTTCTGCGCGATGACCACGTCATCGCCACGACTTAGGTGTATCTTGTCTACCCAGCTTCCGTCACGTAGCTGTCGAGATCTACTGAGCGGAATGCAGTCGTCCCTTGAGACGGTTCTGGGTATCGAGTGCGCCGAACTATACATCCGAAAGGTTTCTTTGGCGATGGCATCCAGATAAGGGAGACGCTCGAGAGACCTGAAATTTTCTTGCCAGTCACGGTTATCCGGCGGCGGGCAGATGAGCTCTTTTCGCAGACGGCGCTGTGTCTCGGGGAAGTTTGTAAGCGCGAAGAGCGCATACGACATCTCTGAGGCGTTGTTGTCGTACCCTCCCAGGAGGAAAGTTGGGACCATGGAGACAACCTCGTCATCGTCCAGACGGGCCCCCCCCGTAGTGCTGATATTCGACTTGACGATGAGACTAAGAATATCTCTAGCTCTTGCTGTCTCATCGCCGTCCTGCATTTGAATTCTCCTCTTCGCGTTCTCGACGAGATCTTTGCTAATTCGCCGGACATGCCGCTTGTACTTGTCTAGGGTCTTCTGTTCCTGGCTGAACAGGCTACCCAGCGTGCCAAACCAGTTGAAATGAGATCTCAGAGACGAGTATATAGACCCTGTCGCTGCACTCTTTGCGACGTTGACTAAAGCATCCTCTAACTCGCTACGCTGTCCACTCAGTGAGTGGAAGTCATGTTGGAATCCAGCGGTGCCAATGATATCCAAGGACAAGGCCTCGAATTCCCGGTAGGCGTTGATCTCCATACACTTTGTCTCCTGATTAGCTGTACTAGGCAGCTTCTGTGTCCATCGATCAGCCAAAATGTGCGACTTTTCATAGAAAATGGCCGCCATTCCCTCGACTGCAGCAGACGTCAAAGCGGGTCCGATGACCTTTCTTTGCCTCCGATGCTGCTCGCCGTCCACAGCCACAAGCCCATCTCCAAAGAGCATCCGAGCGACTCTCATCTGCACCTCAGCTCGTACATACGTCTGGCTGTTATTCAACACGTAGCTGATGGCTTCTGGGTCCCCTAAAACACTAGAGAAGTTTGTATGACTTAGTGACATACCATCATAACGTTCAAAGGGAAGAGGCGCCGAGAAAGGCCTGGTGTAGGTTTCTACAGGCATGCATACATTAAAAATAACGGATACGTACATTGTAGGACGTCGATTTGCGAAGGGGGCATACCACACACCATCGTAATCATCGCAGAGTTCTAGCAGCTTCGTCGACATTTCAAAACACTCGATCTCAGAAGGGGTGAGAAAGCCGAAGAACCAGTGTTTTATTGGCGGTCCTCGGAAACGTGCGATGGCTGGCGAATAAGGTCGTCTCCAGTACACCCATAGTGGAATCAGAATGTACCTGAAGGCGGCGAGCACCGTGACGTGAAGAAGAATTGGAACGTACAAGGAGACATCAACGGACATTCTGACGATGTTTCGGTAGAAAGTTAACTCGTGGTTCGGTGATACGTGGCAAGAGGGGCCTGTTGTTATCCAAGCACTGGGCTTTATGAAGCTCAGATCTTCCCTTTAAAAATGTCGCTAGTTGCCAGTCGCCAGCTGAAGCGAGCATGCATAGAGGTAACAGAACACCTACACGGTCGCTTTTCTAGGACGACTTCCCTTTTTCTAGTTGTTTCTAGCAACTAGGTTCAAGAGCTGGCCTAGTCAAAGCGACGGTAGCATCATAAAGCCCAGCCTCTTTGGTTGTGCAGTCTGACGTAGTTGCTGACCACCCTTATGCATATAACATGTGCTACCTGCCTTAGTCACGGCAAACATCCAATCATTTATCTCAAGGAAGCAGTGAACAAGGCTGCCGACTGCAGAGTTAGGAGACGTCATCATAGTTGCTGCACTTGACGCAGGCAATATCTACAATTACCCCTCCATTCGCCTGTCCCTTCCACATCCTTTCATAATACTCTCCATGCCCCTGCCTCAGCTGCCTGTTGTGGGATTCACATTTTCGGCACCCGGCTGCAACAGGAGATATCGAACTACTCTATAGTACAACACATATCTTGCATGTGGAATCCATTCCCTTCGGAAGACGCAAGCTGACTATGTAGCGATGTCGTTGGTATAGAAGGAACTGCCGAGAGCTTCGTCGCCTGCGCCAGCAAGAATTTGATTGTAAGTCTAAGCGGTAGCTCACGATGAGCCACACCTAGGTTTGGGCTTTCACGTATGGTATCACATATGGTGGCTGACGCGCCGAAGGTGAGAATTCAGACTTCGTCTGCTCAGGTATCATCAACCTAAGCAGACCGGCAATGATGCGACTGCTTCACCGCAAAGATGACGGCGGCTTTTGCTTAGTTCAGTGTCCCGAGAACCAAACACCTCACTATGCTATACTATCCCACACGTGGATCGGAGACGACGGAGAGGTTACCTTCGAAGACATGATGGACGGAAATGCTCATTTGAAGGCTGCCAGCTACAACAAGATTCTCTTTTGTGTGGAGCAAGCTGCCAAGGATGGCCTCGAATATTCCTGGGTAGACACCTGTTGTATCAACAAATCAAGCAGTGCAGAGCTGCAGGAGGCCATCACAACGATGTTTGCCTGGTACCGCAAAGCCTCAAGGTGTTATGTCTATCTATCAGATGTTTCGACGACACAGGGTCCTCTGTGGGAATCGACTTTTCGGAACAGCAGGTGGTTTACTCGAGGATGGACTTTGCAAGAGCTCATTGCACCGACGTCCGTTGAGTTCTTCTCAGTCCGGGGCACAAGATTAGGCGATAAGAAGTCGCTCGAGACGCTGATTCATGAGATCACTGGGATCTCCCATCAGGCTCTACGCGGCGCTGATATGTCGGATTTCAGTGTTACCGAGCGACTGTCGTGGGCGGAGAACCGGCAGACTCAACGGAAAGAAGACAAAGCATACTCTTTGCTCGGAATTTTTGGTGTTTTCATGCCCCTGATTTATGGAGAGGGAAGCAACGCTTTCATACGGTTGCAGGAAGAAATTGAGAAGAAGCATGCGGATGTTGCCAGACAGAATGAGTTACTGTCGAAGCTGCCCGTGGTTCCTCAAGCGACATTCAACTCATTAGAAAATCAGCACAGGTCCACGTGTCTTCAAGGCACTCGAGTTGAGCTGCTGAGAGAGATTTTGGAATGGGCTGATGGGCCAGACAAGAGTTGCATCTTCTGGCTCAATGGCATCGCGGGCACGGGTAAGTCCACAGTTGCTCAGACGATAGCCAGGACGTTTCATGATAGAGGGTGCCTTGGAGCAAGTTTCTTCTTTTCGAGGGGCGGTGGAGACGTCTCTCGTGCCGATAGGTTGTTTACATCTCTTGCATGGCAGCTGGCAACAAAGATGCCGCAGCTAAAAGGGTATATTGGTGAAGCGATCATGGAGCAGCAAAACATTGCGGACCAATCTCTCCGCGACCAGTGGGACCAACTAATCCTCAAGCCACTTTCGAAGCTTAGTAGCAAGGCCTTCCTTCCAACAATCATGGTAGTGATGGATGCGCTGGACGAGTGCAACAGCGAGAGAGACGTTCGAATAATCCTTAGGCTCTTGGCCTCGACTAAGTCGCTGAAGAACATTCGCCTGCGGGTTTTTGTCACAAGCAGGCCTGAGATCCCTGTCCGCTGCAGCTTCTTCCGGATACCGGAAGCGGAACGACAAATCTTTGTTTTACACGACATTCTGCCGGAAGTTGTCGATCATGACCTCGGTATCTTCTTTGAGGACAGCTTCAACAGGATCAGAGAAGAACGCGGCTTTGCCAAAAGCTGGCCGGGAATGCAAATTATCAAGCGCTTGGTCAATATTTCTGGTGGCCTCTTCATCTGGGCTGCGACAGCGTGCCGTTTTATCCGGGAGGGCAGAAAGCTTGCCACGAAACGCATATCCAATCTGCTTGTTGGTCAGTACTCCAGCGCCGGCCCCGAAAAGAAACTGGATGACATCTATACAACCGTTTTAAGAGGCTGTATCCAGGCAGACTACGATGATGAGGAGAAAAAGGAGGTTTGTGGTACGTTGCGGGAGGTCCTAGGAAGCATCGTCGTTCTATTCTCGCCACTTTCAATCGACTCGCTGTCACATTTGCTCCCCATGTCGTCGAGCGACATCAAAGACACACTTGCAGACTGTCACGCGATTCTCAACATACCCACCCAGACAAACCGACCAATTCGTCCGCATCATCCGACATTCCGTGATTTTCTTCTCAACAAGGATCGGTGCTACGACGCAGCCTTTTGGGTGGACGACAAGGCGGCACACAAGTCAATGGCGAACAACTGCATACAGCTCATGATGAAGACACTCAGAATAGATATATGTGACGTGCGGTTACCAGGCACCCTTGCCAAGAAAATTGACCCAAATTGGATCAAGGAACGCATTCCTCCAGAGCTCGAATACGCAGGTCGGTACTGGGTGCATCATTACCGCGAAAGTGGAATGGAACCCTATGATGGCAGTCAAGCTCATCGTTTTCTTGAAGACTTCTTCCTGCAATGGATTGAGTTGATGAGCCTGACGGGTCACGTGTCTGAAGTCGCTATGACAATACGGATGTACGAAGCTCTAATTGTGGTGAGTATGCTCTCATTACGCTGCTTGAACAAGCTACAAAAGGGCGGCTAACACGATGTTGCTTAGGCCAACGAAAGCCCTCGTCAACTGGGATTTGTTCGAGATGCGAGACGATTCATTTTTGCTTTTCAGACCATCTTCGAAGTGGCGCCTCTTCAGACCTATTGTGCTGGCCTTGTGTTTAGTGACCCCAGCAACAGGCTGCGGTACCATTTCTGGAACCAGATGCGAAACTGGATTGAAGATGCACAAGTCATGGAATCTTCCGCGAAAAGGATAAAAAAAACCAATTACGGGCAAGACGTTCTTTGCTAACGACATCGAATTCACCCCAGATGGCCGACAGATTGCATCTGGGGCTGTGGTCGAAGCGGTGAGACTTTGGGATGTAGCTACCAAAGCTAAACTGGGCACACTCGTGGGTCAGACGGAAAAGGTCAGCTCTGTGGCGATCTCGGCAGACGGGTCAATGATCGCGTCGGGGGCGGACGACGCGACTGTCATGATCTGGGATTTCAGATCAAGGGCTGCGCTTCATAACCTCCAGGGGCACTCACGCTGGGTGAATTCTGTGGCTTTCTCATCGGATGGCAAGCTCCTCGCATCAGGATCAATGGACGAAACTGTTCGGATATGGGATGCTGAGAAAGGAAAAGAACTCTACGCACTGAAAGATAACTCGAGCTGTGTCAACTGCGTAGCTTTCTCTCCTGACGGATCGTTCATTGCTTCGAGCTCAGCAGATCGGATGGTTCGCGTCTGGAATGTTCAAAACAGAGAGATGTCTATGTTGCTGGATGGCCATGCAGGTGCTGTTAACTGCGCCCGATTCTCCCCCGACGGGCAGCGGATCGTTTCTGGAGCCGATGATACAACTCTCAAGCTGTGGGATATGAACGCAGAGACAGAACATACGACGCTAAAAGGTCATCGTGGAAGAGTCATGGCTGTTACATTCTCCCCCAATGCTCTTCTTATCGCCTCGGGTTCCGAAGATATGACAGTTATGCTCTGGAACGCAACCACCGGATCTTTACTGGGTACGCTCAGAGGCCACACAAGCGGCATCAATGCTGTTGCGTTCTCTCCCGATAGCCGACTTCTAGCATCAGGTTCTTTCAATGACGAGGTGCGACTTTGGGATGCCAGAACCGGAGAGTCACTTGGGGAGTTCGATGAATTCGTTGAAGATGACCTGCCCTTCCTGCGGGAGAAACTAAAATCCCTTAGGTTAGAAGCCAACGCAGCTACGCAAGAAGGCTTAAAAGGGCATTCGAGTGCAATAAGCCATTTGGTCCGTTCTCCGGATGGTCAGTTAGTCGCTTCTGGCTCAAGCGATACTACGATCAAATTATGGACTAAAGACGGGGAGCAACGCCTACAACTGGAAGGCCATACGGACAGTATCAGCTACCTTGCATTCTCATCAAACTCGCACCTGATCGCTTCATGCTCAGCAGATAAAACAATAAAGCTCTGGAGCACAGACACGGGAGCAGAACAGCACTCATTCCAGAGGCATTCTGACAGTGTCCGCCTGGTCCGATTCTCCCCTGATGGCAGGCTCCTTGCTTCATGCTCTACAGACAAAACAGCTATTGTTTGGAACGTAGAAACAGGAAGCATGACCATCAGGCTCTCTGGCCATGCAGACACAGTGAATGATGTCCAATTTTCTCCGGGGAACATTCACATTGTAGCTTCGTGCTCAGCGGATGCGACTGTCAAACTATGGGACATTTCTACTGGGACGGTGTCCCAAACGCTCGAAGGCCACACGGAAACAGTAAATTCCGTCGCGTTCTCGTCGGACGGCAATCTTCTGGTGTCTTCGTCAGCGGATACGACTGTCAGGCTTTGGAATGCAGCTGGAACTTCCCACGGTGTGCTTGAAGGCCATACACTTCCCGTCAACTCCGCAGCGTTCTCTTCAGACGACGCGCTTGTAGTTTCTTGCTCAGATGATCTGACTGTTAGGATCTGGGACCTGAAAAGCACATTGATACTACGGATATTCAGACTCAAGGTTGCGGTTTGTGCCGTGAACTTTTCTGCTTGCCGCCGGTACATTGAGACTGACAGAGGGGTACTGGCTGCCAGTACGGCTTTTCCCGGTTCTTCTTTGTCCTTGAAAGATTATGTATCCACAATTTTTGTGTCGAAAGATTGGGTTAGAAAGGACGGAGAGAATGCTTTTTGGCTTCCGGATGAGTATCACGCTACTTGCGTAGCCATCCTGGAAGATACGATTGTCATGGGACACTCAACCGGAAGCATCGCATTTATTCGTTTCTCTAAATGATAACTACACTCTTTTTGTTACGCTGTATCCTACAGCGTACGAGACCGTTTGATTTGAGAGAGTTTAGCAATCTCATGGAGGAAGTTAGGGACAAACTATGGCTTTCATAATTGTGCTCTACAGAAATCTGCCTTCCTTTAGTCAAATTGTTAGCCTTACGCAAGCTGTTTATGTATAGTCATAGTAGTTATATTTATTTTAACATTCTGTTATGTTCATTTGGTGATTCGCGGAAAGGGTCTGGGCCCCACGTCCTCATGATTCAAAGGTACAAACTGCTGAATACTCAATGGTTTAGATCTGTCAGATATAGGGAACCTTGACCCCTCTACTACCTTTTACTAATCAAAGGACTTTCCGCACTCAAACTGCAAAGATCGTACGAATCCAAGCAAGCCTGTCGACCCAGCATTACAGCTTCATGCCCCCTTTTCGTCATTTCCGCTTCATAATCGGCTAGTGCTTCTCCACGAAGCTTCTTGCCTTGGTGCCATAACTTTAGTTGTTCCTTGAGGTTTGCTGCATCCCTAATTCCATGATTAACTGCTTGGCCTCGGTCTACTCATTGATTTAAGTCAGCTTGTTGTACAAACTAAGAACCATTTGAGACTCATACACATCGTCATGGCATGGGCTGCATCACCAATCAGTGTGACTCTGCCGTCAAAGCCTGGCCACGAAACTGTAGGCCAATCCGCCAAGGTGATGTTTGAGACGAAAGTATCCTCAGGGATATTTTCTATAGCCTCTCTTAAGGTCCTTTCGAAGCCAGTGCCGGCTGATGCTGCAGATCTCATTTTGGCAAGCCGGCCGGCATTTGTCTTTGGTACAGCGTCCTCCGGCCCCTTAATGACCCAGCTAATGTCTAACTGAGCCTCGTAGTAAGGACTATCTGTTTCAGAGCTTCCATTTACGTCTGGCGTAGAGAGAGTTGAGTAGAATAAATAGATTCCTGTGTCAGAATGACTGCCCTGGAACATCAAAGGGTCGATACTCCGTAGCGGATCAATTTCTTCATGATTCAGTCGCACTGTGACGGACAAGTAGTGTGCTGGTAGCAGATTCAGGCGACCCAGTTCTTCTCCCATCAGAAGCCGCCTAATTTTGCTTCCGCTGCCATCCGCTCCGACGAGTACCGAGCCTTCGACCTTGGTACCATCGACAAAAGATACGGCAATGCCGTTCTCAGTGCGTTGAAAGCCTGAGATGGATTTGGCCCAGTGCACATCGATTCCTTTGGTAAGCAGTCTTCGTAGTTTCAGACGGCTCACTCGACGCCTGAAACTGGGCGGGATAACGTATCGAGGCTTTGCTGTCTTGAGATCTAGAAAGAAATATCGTCCAGTATCTGACACCATCGTTGCACCGGATCAGCATAAGCTCGCTTCCCCCCATTCGAAACAATAACTGTTGAGTAAACTTGCTGTACCTTTGAGACCTTGTTGACGATCGACTTGGATGGAGTCCAGTTCCTCGAACAGAAAAGGAGGCAGACATTCCTCCAGGGCGGGCAGAGCCCAGTACAAAGATAGACCCCAGCCAGCAGACCTTGCGTCGAGACACTGGTCACGCTCATAGATCTGGAACGGTATGCCTTCTTTCTTAAGACTCTGTGCGAGCGTAAGGCCGACGATGCCTGCTCCGGCTATGATAATAGGCAACTGCTGAGAAGGTAACATTCTGCACGGTTAGCTCCAGCAACTCAGCATGCTCGATCATTAATGTCAGTTTTGGAATAAATATACTCAATTTACCACCTGAACCAGCCGGGAGTCGGCAACTAAATCACGCGCTGCTGCCACCCCGAGGAGGATGAGCAGCTCTATAAGTAGGCCGAACCAAAGGAGCACGGAACGGAAGAACTATCCCTTCGGGTGCTGCAACACACCATATTTGTCAAGAACTGAAGTATGCATTCCACACGGGTGACAAAAAGGATGGCACACTAAGCCACGTCACTACTTCCCCGCACCAACACCGACACCCCCTTTTTCGATTGCTTCAATCTCGCTAACATCTGCCTATTTCTCTATTTTTCTGTTCTTGCTTCACAAGTCAGATACTAAAATGGCTGGAAATCCATGTGATACATGAATAGAGCGAGGATCTTTGGTGTCTTCTAGGTCATATAACTGTTCTAGCCAGGATACCCTGAACAGTAAGCGTTGAATAACTGTTGGATTGGTTTAGAGTATAGGTTAATTTTGTCAAAAGTAGGGGTAAAAGCAGTATATTGAACGTATGCGTGTTATTCGCAAATGATTGTACAATTCCGCCGCTTTGGTCAGCAGCATAGCTATGCTTACTCCCAACTTTACTCGCAGCAACTTCACCTACAAATTAAACCAATGCTAAGGGCAAGGCTCAAGGTGACTAACATAGGCTTACCCTCTTCTCACCTCTACTCCCCGTCAGCCCAAGTTAAAGCGGCCACAGATCAGTCCCCACACTCAATGCGGATTTGGGACAAAACTCTTGTTGCGGGTGACTATATAGGATTACTGACATGCCGCTGACCGCTTCGAGCAACTGCACGGGGCATAGATAGAGGCGCAGCACATTGTGCTTGCAAACTACGCATCATCCAGTGCTCGCCGGGCGCGTTTGGTCCCAAAGCCAGCTTTTCTGGAGAAAAAGGACTGGCTTTGCAGAGCAGCTACGGAATACGCCGGGCTGCAAGTTAGAAAAGAAAGTGGGAATGTACCGTAAACAGGATTGATAAGCATCGTCAACCTATCGGTTGGTCAGGGCCTGCGGCAGTACTCTGCACTGGTCATTGTTCAGTGGCTCAGTCCCGAACTGTAAAGTCACCTAAAGCGCTCAGGCACCAAGAGCGGCCAACTGTCGACTCAGACTTAACCTTGTTAGAGCGACATCCCTCATTGACAAAACGCTAAAATACCACATAAACAGTCAGGCTTACTTTCTGAGATGTCTCTGTGTCGGGCTCACCATGTTCTGCTCCGTCCGTTTTGAGGAGCAATGCCCACGATTTCAGGTTGGTGAGGCCATCATGAAAAGACTGCTTCCGCTCCATCTAGAAGAGACTAGTGAGGGCCGGAATACTAGTTGGGTCGGTGACGACCAGCGAATACCTGGTGTTGTGTGTATTCTTTGCGTTTTGTTTGATTTCATCCCGCTGCTGGCTCGAGATTGATCTCTGTCTTTACTGCTCATCTGACCAGGTAGGTTCGCAAAGATGCAGAGGATTGTTGAACGGCTTCCCATTAGGAAAGACGTTGTGGCTGCTGTCCTTCTAAACGTGTAGTTATCTTTGGTAACTTGGGATACTTCAGCGACTGTAAAGGACTTTGGTAGCGATTCCTCCACATCATATGATGCTCACTCTTTAGCTTCTCGTACTTAGTTGCATGCGCCTCTGCAATTCCGCCGTCAGCCGAAAGCTCCTTCAAGGCACTAGCAGAACCCGGCGTATTACCTGCATATTCTAGGACTTCCCAATGTTCAAGAGCCAATAGAATCGCCGCAGTACATCCCTCGTCAGGCCCACTGTCTAATGCGGTGTCAGCCGTTCATGGCTACCTGGAGATGCATCTTCTCGTCTTACAACTTCATGCTTACTGATATCGTCCCTGTGATATTCGTACCGCCGTAGCCCCGGGTGAAATATTCAGATAGCACATGTCGCGATCATGTCGCTTTGCGAATTCTGCGCAAAACTCAATATTGAGCAACTGGACGCGACAGACGTTCGTTTCCACCCCAACCTAAAGGCGCTCCAGCAAAGCGCTGCTACAAGATGCCCCTTCTGCACCCTTTGCTACACCCGTGTCATGGAAGACAGCCACCACAGCATCACCGACGCTCTGCTCAATGATCGGGTACCAGAAGGCTACGAAAAGGAATCATTCTTCCCGAGCGTCTGGCTTCATGGCGAAGTGAGGCAAGCCAGCCGTGGTGTCTCTAAAGAAATTCCAGGATGTAGTATTTGGATCTCATGTGGAAGGCTGCATCCGGACGGTGGTCAGGGAGAGACCAATAAGCCTGGTATGCCATTTGCCTCGCGTCTGTCTCTGTTTGCGTAAGTTTCATATCTAGTACTCGTTGCTCTATTCTTGGGCGACTGAATATGCTCACAATCTGAATACATTGGACAACATCTAACCATCAGCAGAGGCCTCACAACGCCGGCAGCGTCCAAATTCATTGAACGGTTCTCGAATGCAGACCACGATCCTGACCTTTATATACACTTGGCCGGTTGGCGCTTGAGAAAGTGCAAAGCCTCTCACAAGCTCTGCAAGCCGAGGTCGTTGGAGATGCCAACTCGCATCATTGCGGTTGGTAAAGCTAGCCAGAAGCCGCGGCTAATAGTTACGAATGGCCTACAAGAGCCATATATGGCTCTGTCCTACTGTTGGGGTCCTGGGAGAGACACCTTCACTTTGACCCATAAGACCAAAGATGAGCTTCTCGGTGGCGTCATAGAAGAGAAGCTGACCAAGACTCATCAAGAGTCAATCCACTTTGCGCGCTCTCTGGGCATCGACTACGTGTGGATCGATGCACTTTGCATCACACAAGGCGATGCTGATGACTGGGCTTTCGAATCGCAACGCATGGCACAAGTTTACGGCAACGCAGCTTTGACTATAATCGCCGGTCGTTCGACGGACGCCCGTGACGGCTTCCTCACAAACAGACTTGGTCAAAAGGTCCCACCGTGCGCTCTACGGCTCTCGCCAGACACAGAAGACACGGTCAATGTCTGTCTTCCAAGGTCTACCGTCATCGGGCCGGTATCCACGCGCGGATGGTGTTTCCAGGAAGAAAAGCTCTCGACTCGGGCCATCATATTCGGCCAGGAGCAGATCATTTACCAATGCCGCACCGAAAAGAATTGGGAGGATGGTCAAGTCGATTTCCAAGACCTCAAACCCACCTTCCTTACCCCGGGCTTCTCTACCGGCGTTGCGCATTCGGCAGCCGATAGAGAGACTACCCTTATGATGTGGTACGAGTTCGTCGACATGTACACAATGCGGGCTTTATCGAACCCTCACGATGTCTTTGCAGCCATTGCCTCCATCGCGAAACTTGCTCAAGACGTGCTGAGATCTTGCTATCTCGCTGGGATATGGGAAGAAGACTTGGTCAGGGGCTTGTTGTGGAAACCGCGTCATCAGGTACACGCGTTTTTCAAAGAGCCATTGACACGTCCGAAACCAACTCCCTTCGCACCAGCGCCGGTAATCCGCGCGCCATCCTGGTCCTGGGCGTCTGTAGAAGGCCCCCTGCGTCGCATCTACAACCCGAGAAAATCAAAGTTGTTCCAGGATAGCAAATATGTCAAGATAAAGCCCCGGCTGGGAAAGAGGTGGACGGCAACAGACGACTGCGGCGTTACAGCACTGCATATGCCGTATTGTGAACTGAAGATTCTGGGACGCTTGGCAAAGGTTATTTTGATCAAGACTGACGTGGTAGAGTGGTTCGAGGCTGACAAGTCGAGGAAGCGATGGCTCCCTTACAAGAAGATGTTGAATCATGCAGTCTTGCTTGCCTCAACCAAGGAAAACTCGGATGCGGCAAGTTCAGGTGACATTGTGGTCGCTGTTGGGGCTTTCGATGTAGCTGATGAGGGAGAAAAGCTTGAAGAGGTCTGGTGCCTTCCGCTGATCGAGACCGAGGGTTTGATGGTTATACAGAATGAGGCCAAGTGGAAGCGTGTCGGTTGGTTCGTTTTGAGGAACGAATCTTGGTTCGAGGACAAGTCGGAGGTTGAAGTAGATCTCATCTGACGTGAAATCAGTTCAAGCAAGTCATCCGTCTTCGTAGCAATCATCAGCAAGAACCTTGTCTCAGGCTGTTATTGTGGTCTCAAAGTCTGCCGCTGTCTTGTCGAGGCGAAGGGACTGTCGCCAGCCTGTTGAAAAGTGATTAGCTCGGGGGTTCAAAGAGGTACAAGGGGCCTATGAAGGGCATTGGAAACGTTTACAAAGTGGACGAGCTCTTGATTCATCGCGAACAAGCCCCTGAGTACAGAGTCATTGCAATGCCGACGAGGATCAAGTGAACTTGATTGTTCCGAGACAGTTCAATGAATACGGGTCATTGGTATGTGTACTGAGCTGGATTTCATCATCAAATCAACTTCCACTCCATATCAGTTGAATCTTTTCAAGCAAGATCCGCTGGCAGCGTGAGGCAAAACAGATCGAATAACTGTTGTAATTTCTCCATGTATGGCTTGACACTTGTCAACATGAACAGAGACATACCAAAGTCCTGTTATCGATGGAATCAGAACCACAAGTGAAATGTTCAGCTGAGTTGTAGACCAACTGAGCGTATGGTCTGTCTATCTACGGGCTTATATCAACACAAGTGACCGTCAATGATACGAGCAAGAAGCATCCGCAGGAGAATAGAGGTAAGAGCTGTTTGATTCTGAATGGCAGATGGACAATGAGAGCTCAGATACTGAGGGCGATTAAGCTCTTATAGTCAAATAATGCAGCGAGAAGCTATTGAGAGAATCTCATGTGATGAAGTCTATTGACTATCAACATGTCTGTGAACCATGCAAGACGTACTGAGATACACATACGCAACTATCATAAACAGCAACACACTCCAATCCGCAGGCTTCATAGCCAGAGGCTAACGTCTCCTCGAGTTTCCAGCGAATTGGTACACATGTCGTCAACAAGCAACAGATAATATCCACCTGGGAGGCTCAATCACATCAAGAGTAGGACTATTCGGCAGACAAACTCGCTCATCGACAGCAATTCTCGGGCACTAGAGCGAAAGAAGCCAAAGGCAACGAATGCACAGGAACAAGCCCCATCCGCGGCTGACACGTGCCAAGTTACTGACCGTCTCCAGCCGGGCCAGTATCAACACAGGACCCAGCAGTCATTACAACTCAACGCCAACTATGGCACATATCACATATCACACACTCTTACGACCGCTCTACTCAGCTCGCTTTTGATTCACATGCCCAACTATCACCTCGAGTGAGTCAGCAAGACCATATGACTTATAGAATAACAACGAAGAAAAGACCGCACAAGATCATAGATCTGACGTTCCACCACATCCTCATGCCAGAGCACCCGAAAAGGGGAATTGATATACAACCTTCCGCCCCCTCCCAGTTTCAGCACCCGTCTTCCGTCAAGCGTTCAGGACCCGGCACTCTCCACGTTGTGATAGCCGTGATAGGCAGCGGCTGCAGTCTTAGCTTCGTTCCCACCCGTCTCTCGCCGATCCGGAGATGCGCGCCTGTTCCACCGCCCAGTTAATGATAGCCCGGCACGCACTTGCTCGACCACTCGTGGCGACCCCGTGACCGGAGATCATCTGCATCTGTAACCGTCCGTCAATCACTTCCACATTGCTGCCCCCTTCCAACCAAGCCAACCACGTTTCACCGCCGCGTTTGTCGTCTGGTATTTTGGCCCAAAGTCAGAATCCGCCCTTCGCCTTGACGGACCGCCACCTCGCGAAATCCCATCCTGGAAAAAGATGGAAAATGTATGTACACCGTACATGTATCAACGTAGGCAAAGGTATACCCGTCCGTAAATCCTTTAAGGTAAAAATACGCTACGGGGAATAATACCTCCGACTTGGGGCAAAAAAACAGCTTGGTAGGGCGTTGCTGTCCCATCCCCCCCTTGGCCATCCTTTTTCGAAACGAAACACCAAGCCAACGGGGATCGACAACGCTTTCCAGTCCCCAGCAGTCCCCTTTCCAGCGCCCCTCATGATCCGAAAATGGAACAACGATCATCTGTTCAGCAAATTGACTGGACCGACTTGGGCAGGCCGGGAGAAGGCGAGCATAACGGCGGCAAGCGGCACAGCCGCCGTTCTCATCGCCCCCTTTCTCAATAATAGAGATAGTTTTCCCGCGGGAGAAGAAGATCCGCGGTTCTTGAAACGCCAGGAGGCGAGGTCACGCTCGCAGTCCGTGACTCGCGAGCAAACGTCCCCACGGGCACCCGACGACCGATGGTGGGTTGGGAAGCAAAAAAAAGGCAAAGTAAGGGAAGGGATGAGGCTCGCAGCTTATCTTGCTCACCGCCAGTTGCCGTTGCCACAGCCTCCCGGCCAGTGTGCCATTGGGAGAGACAGGTGCCTTCCCTGGACGTTCTAGAAGGAAACGAGGCCGACGATGGTGACATTGGACGAAGACGAGGCACCGCACGGGGCAATGGGGGAAGGGAGGGAGCAGGGCCACCACGGGCTTGAATGGAACAGAACACCCACGTCTCGCGTGCCTTGTATGCGACAAGCTTTGCCGGCCGAGATCTCTACTGTCCTGAGACTCCTTGGCAAGGAACGAGCCGCCTTGCGGCGGTGATGCAGTCGCTCTTGTTTCCATCGTGGAAAAAGCAGATGCAAAGGGAGGCGGACTACGTCACTCGCCGTAGAAGTTCGTGATGCCAAAAAAACCTACACAGACTCGGTGGGCAGCCCGTCCGCGCAAACACGAACTACCGACATCCTTTGTGAAAACCTTCCGAGCCTCCTCCGCCCCTGTGTGAAGGTAAAAATCCAGACCCTGAATTGGGGAGAAAGCCAAACGAGGAAGAAAGGAAGAAAAACTTCGGATCGTGACGGCATGGGCCATGTGACAAGCGCCCGTAACTACGAGGTCAATTGCTCCTTCAAACTATCCTCCCTCACGTAGCCTCTGACCAGCATAAAACCAAGGAAAAGCAAACCACCCCTCCCCCATCCACACAACGGCGACCATCTGGGGCAACGGAGGGGTGACCGAGGGGGCCAGTCGGGCGAGGGAGCTGACTGGCTTTCGACTAGGCTGGCTGGGTTTGAATGAGGGTGGTTTATTGGTGCAGCAGCAGCAGCAGCAGCGGCCAGAGTCAGCCCCCCTCCGTCCTCCAGTGTGCGCGCCAAAGCGAGAGTCGGGAGTGTCCCAATGCAGCCTCCCGAGACAGCCTCCCTTCCCCCTTAGGTCCGTCCATTGTGCCGCTTCACCGCTCGGGAAGTGGCAGGATTGGAGGGGGATGAGGGAGGGGGGGACTAGAGTAGCCTTTGCTTCCAACGTGTCGGAGTTCATTGTCAGAGAATCACAACTTCAAACAAGCAAGCTCCAGCTCCCCAACTCGGTAGCGCCGCGCCTACCGAGAGATAGCGCGAGCAGAGCGTTAGGGTGGCATTCTAAGCTCTCTCTCTCTCTCCTGTAACCACTCCCTGACCGCCCACCGCCAGAGGACCCGTCGCAATTTTTTTCTTCTTTCCATGTGTCAGTGACAGTTTTTCTAGCAGCGCCGGGGCGGTGGGTGTCGCGTCTTTGGGCTGGCGGTAGACCGTCCAGAAGCCTGGAAAGGCCGTTTGACGACAGCGACGAGGATTTGGAGAGAGAAAGCAACGGCACTACACTAGTAGGTGCGGTTACCCGAGGCACGGCAAGGACTACTACACACACTGGTTGCGACTTTGCAGCTTGTTTAGTTTGCGGGATAGTGAGCTTGACGACACGAGTGCATGAGCAGCACCAACGAGACGGAGGTGGCAGATGCCCGAGGAAATTTGGATGTGCGAGCAGGCCGCTCGCTCGCTCGCTCGAGGGGAAACCCTCGAAAGATCTTGGTTGAACCTGTCGATCCTTTGCTCCTCTTCCCTTATGCGTTTGTGTCGTCTGCAGCGTTGCGACGACGGCTTGCGTAGGTTTCTTCCAGCTGACCAGTCACCGCGCCGCGGCGGGTTTCCAGCGCTACGCGCCGCTGCCGCGTGAAGATTCGAGAGTGAGACCGAAGGAGGGTGAGGTGCTGCAGGCGCGTGAACACAGCAGGAGCACCGACAGCAGCGGAAGCAGGTTGGCGGCGTTGCAATCCCATGCCCCCTTTCGGAATGCGGGGTAATATCGAGGGCCTTCATCACCAGAAAGTACAGCTCCGCCCGTTTCCAAATGGAATCGGAGGCTGGCAGGGGGCCGTCGATCAGAGAGATGCGCCGCGCGGGGTCTGCTGTGTTGGCTTGCTTGCCTGCCTCTCCGTCCTCTTCCCAGCCGCCTAAATGGCAAACGGCGCTGTCCCTTGGTTTCGGGGACGGGGGGAGGTGCAGGAAGATGAGGAGGAGGACAACTCACACATGCAAAAATGAGGAGACATGCAGGCAAGACATCTCACGCCGCGGAGACTGAGAGAGTGCCATGAGTCCATGAGTCGTTGTCGCCAACGACGGGGGGCGGAGACCAATGATGAGTGAAGTATGTCGTAAACGCTCCATCACGCCAAAGACGTGTGGTGTCGTCAACAAGCAAACACAAACCGGCCGGAAATGCTAGCGACGGCTCAACTCAAAAGTTGGGTCCCAGGAGATCTGGGCATTGGCATGACATCGTGAACCTTTTGGGTCATAATCTTGGGGCAGGGCCGTACCCAGCTCGGAGGGAAATGAGCAGTACGGTGCCGTAAATGCCTTGGAACGACATACACACACACACCCGAATGTTGTCAGTGTTGGGTGCTGGCGTCAAACGCCCGCTGAATCGCTCGCGTGCGCGCCCACATCGTGCCGTCGACCGGAGGACGCACATGCCCCCCGGAAAGCAGCGTCAACAAGCGAACAGTGGAGGACGGGTGAGGAGATTGGATGGAGAGACCGAGAGACCGAAGGATGGAAGAGGGGGCCAGCAACGGAAGCATGTGCCGGACAAGCAATCCATTTCTCTCACATTGTTGCTCCATTCCTCCTCCTGCTACTGCACCGACAGGAGGAGTCGTCGAATGGACGGTGGGGGGAGATCATCGCGGCCGGC